TAAATATTAGGCCCGACCTGGCCCGAACCTGATTATTTTAAATAAAATGCCCTAACCCGGCCCGTAGCCCGTTCGGGCCAGGTACGGGCCGGGCCTAACTTTGAAGATCTCTACAGTATATACCGATTTAATATCGAAGTAACATTATTTAAGATTTGATCTCTATTGTTTGGCCTTGTTATAGACCTATATTTGTTTTTCATGACTCCAAAAAGTTTCCAATAGGATTTAATTGTGGTGAATATGGCGGAAGATATTCAATACGATTTTTATAGCTTCTCGATAAGATGACACTAGGGTATTGCGGCATTATCCATAATGTTAATTGCATCATTTGGAAGAATTATTACTAATTCTCTCGGATAATCAAGAAAAAGCAACTCATCCTTCAATAATTCGATAGGTTATAAGGCCCCTAATTCCTATCGTACATAAAATGATAACGTTCTTCCTTTTGGAGTGGAACTATCACAGTTGGTGTGACATTGTAGGGGCCCTAGAATACACAGGTATAACATGTAGGTTTATACCTGTTTCATTCAGAAAGAAATTTTTTCCATAGGAATGTTTAGCATTTTAAGGCAATAAGCCTGACGAATACGAATTGCTCCTGATGTATTTCGTCGATCGGGCTCTTTCCCTGCCCTTTTTTAGACCATCCTATTTTTTAAAATATATTTTTGGATGGCACCCTCATTTTTTGGGAAACCTGGAGGTAAATTTTCTATGATATCTTTGATAGTAGCTCAGATGTGTCTCTTTTTTTGGATTTGATATTGCCTCAATGGTCCCCCTATAAATTCTGGAAAGGTTTCTTGCCTTAATTTGTTTACCTAAGTCATTGACATATCAATATGTTTAGCAATATCCTTTATTTTCTCTCTATATATAGGGCTGGGATAACAACTTTGTTACTATATCAATTTTCTCTTTATTCCAACAATTGTATTTCCTTTTTGGGTTTTAAATTGCTGGTTAGTTTATAGGGTTTATTATAGTAGAATTGACACATATGGCAGATTGCGAAAATGCTGGAATGGAAAAAGAATAGATAAAAAGGAATTATTATTAAATAAAGAGATATTTCTAAAACTATTATTGGTATTATTGGATAAAATATTATTAATATTAAACATTTTAAATTATTTTTTTTGTAAATAAAAAGTTTTATGAGAAATTTTTATTTAATTAATAAATATTTTTTTTAATAAATAAATGAGGTATTTCTGTTTTTTAAACACATCAAACCTATTTATTATACCACTTAATAGTCTTTGTTTTTTAGGTATCACCAAACCCTGTTATGCGACAAAAACACTAATAATTGGTGCGTAAAAAAGGATAGTATCATAAATATAGCATCATATAAATCTGTAAAACAGTGACAAATATAAAAACTCACATCCCAAAAATTAAAATATAGTTAACCCAAAGGAGGCTTCTTGTACGCAAGATTATATCAATAACAGGAAGAATATATATTAAATTGTATAAATTTGGAATGTACTTTAATCTTAAAAAAGTTATATTAAATGATTAAAGAAAGATATGGTGTAGAAATATCAAAAAATATGAATGATATTAAGGCTACTCCCTGGATTTAAGTATAGTTAAAAGAGTATCTCATACCAGTTAGAGAAAATACAAAATCAAATATCGAGATTTGCAAAGAATACGCTAATTGGTTTATTAATGTGAGGCTATATGAAAAAAATTTATCTTTATTGATGAAAGCGGGTTTTCAATATCAATAAGACGGTTATATGGATATTCGCAAATAAATAAAAAGACTATTAAAAATGTCCATAAAGACAATCAATTCTTTTCATTCTCCTCAGATATTCCTCTCTGTCCACGCTCTATGAAACGAATTAATTCCTCCTGGTCATTAAAATTTTGATTTCTGCCAAATCCTTACATTGAAAATAATAATTTCAATGGGATTAAGATAAGGACTTTCATTTTATTGTATGTCCTCTCCTTGTCCTTTCCATCGATTCTCTAATTGTTTGTTTATGATAAAATGTAACATTATGCAACACAAAAAAATCATTAATCACATTACTTTCTTTCAAATGATTTAATATTTCATTTACAAAGTTTCTATAGTATGTAGCATTGCAGGGACATCAAGAACCTCTATTCTAAATATTCCCGCAATCGTTAGAGCAGCAATGATTGTATAATTCTTTGTCTTTATCCCTTGTAATCATAAGGATAATGTGCACTCCATATTTATATAATTGAATAATATTCATGTTTTTAATTTCAATCGTACATGTGCGCCTCCTTTGAGTAAACTGTATTTTATTCCATTTTTGAGATTAGGGAAATTTAAAACCTGATTTCAATTAGACCTAATTTTATGATATCTCGATGATGGATCTTTTGGCGGATCTTTACCCCATGTTATGTAGGCATAGAGTTGTATTTGAAGCTTTGAAAATTGATCTTTCCCTAAATACAAAAAAATGCAAGATATCCTCCCTCAACAATAAAAATATTATCCCTCCCCCAGTCCTTAAAATGATTCCGCTAGAGGAACTCTGACTTTTAGGATCACCTATCGGCTTTCAACTTTGTCAAAATTTCCTTGATAATTTGATTCAATCTCTTTTAAATTCGCTAAAGAAACTTCCTCCTCTTCCCACGCATCAGTTTTTTTCCTCACCCAAACTTGTCTAAATTCTTGCACATCTTTAAATCTTCCCCTACTTTCCAATATAATTCCCTCCTTAAGTTCTTCAAATTAAAATTTAAACATTTCATCGAATCCTATTTGTCCTAAAGTTTTCTAATTTTAACTGGTTATTTGCCTTTTTGCCGACTTACCAGGGAGGACTTGGATTTTCACCTCCCCCCTCCCTCCATTTAATGCAATTGCTTGCTTTCTTCTCAGATATCTTCATATCGAGTTGAATGATCCACTTTTAGCATCGGCCAAACAATCTTGGCTTACGTTTCCAGCCATTTAAAGAGCTTCCTAGTTCCCATGTTTCAATGTGCATTTGTAAAACTTTGTTTGTGCCCCGATCTGATTTACCTTCAACTACTCAGAAACCCCAAAAAATAGGAAATGTTACTCACAAACGATGAGTTTCAAATTGCCATAGGTTAGGCTGTCTTATCCCATCTGTTAACATTTGTGCTGCATACAATACAATAAGCAAGTTGATCTATTTTCTAGGCATTGTTTCTCTTGCCTTAAAGTCAGCGGCCGTTTTTTGTGACATAAACTAAATAGGTTGATCGGCAAATCTTTATTCGGCCAGTTTACCCAATAGTTTGGAGCCGTTAGGTCTTTTAAATAAGGATGCTAAGCGTCCCGATGACATTCTTTAACATCTTGGCTCGGCGGCAAAAGACTTGTCTGAGCTGTGTCATGTGTTTCCTCATTTGCCAATAGAAACTCTGACCTCTTGGAACAAGAAATTAAAAAATGCTATAAATATACGTCCCTCTTAAATTCTTTTATTTTTATCCCTCTAATCTCTAGTGTTTAATAAGGATTCTCAAAAAATGATTTAAAGTTGAAAAAATAACGCATTAATGGGAAAAACACATTGACGCTAACATACATTATTGACAACATCCTCTACAAATAAATATTTTTTTGAAATAAATTTGGAATAAAAGTTGTTTTTGTTTTTTAATGAGTTTTTACTCCATATATAGATCAATTATCAATTTCATCTCAAATCTATAGATGATTAGTGCGGTATTTCAATGAAGCATAAATGCAATATCATTGATGAGTATTAATTTGTCCAAATTTTGAATTATGATCTAAGTCCTCAGATAGAGATATGACCCCTAAACTTCAAAAAAATGAAATATTGACATAATGGTATATATTGCATACCTAGTTTCAATGAAATTCAAGTGGGTCACAATGAAAAAAATCAATATATGTCGATTTGAGATGGAATTTATTGATCATATACGTTTATAGTTACCTCTATTATAACTTTATTTTATAAAATAAAATTTGAAGATTAAAAAAAATTTTAGGCAAAAAAAATTCTTTTTGTGAGCCTCCTTAACTCAAGTTAGAAAGGTTAGTGATTTCTACGATTTTATGATAAGCTAAATATAAGCCAGAATAGTATTTCAACTGGATTAAATTTTTTACCTATCCATTATCTTGAGATAAATGAAAATATTCGATTGCCCTCTGATAATATAACATAAATACAAAAAATTTATAATACAATTATATAAAAATAGTTAAAATGCTATATAAACAATATATATAATTTATTATTATAACTCATTATTTCGTTGGCATGTTACTCCATAACTCATGATGTCAATATTCTTGCACGTGTAAAATGGATAAAATACAGATCTTTTGAAATTGGATAGGAATCTTTGAACGGAAGAATATATTTGAATGTTATTTTCTGATTCCCTTTATAATCTGATATCATTTTATTAGTTTTTTTTATTATTATCAAACCGCCTTATATGCCTGTAAAAATTATATTATTTCATATTTAATGAACTATCTTAAATAATGAATATAATTTTCTGGGATGTTTAAATACATTCAAATCGAGTCATTTTCTTTATAAATTTAAGACATAAGGAATTGTTATTGCAATGAGTGGTATGACCTCCATATGTGATCAATTTAAGTAGTCAAAGAACATTATTATAATTGAACGATATAAAAAAAATAAGGTTCTATTTTATTTACCAATAAATAATCAAATGTGAAGTGATCAGAGATTTCTATCTATTTGTTCACATCTAATTTTTTTAACCCAATAACATAATTTATCCAATATAATATATCTCGAGTATTTTATAATATAAAATTTAAACTTTTAATCATTCTTTTACCTGACTTACAAATTTGAAATGATATACATTAGGTCTAAAATACTGAAATAATGTACTATAAGCAAAGTTGTGTCTAAGTTATTCGGTATGTGATCAAAAATGGCATCTCAATTCGCCAGAGAACTAATTTAACGAACCAATAATTCAAGAAAATATTCAAATATAAATCTGGCTTATTTATTATAATACAAAAAAAACTATACATAAAAATAAAAAATACATCATTTTTTTTAAACAAAATATATATAAAAACAACATTATATCATATTTTTATTATTAAAAGTACAAAATCTTTCGGCGTTAATTTTTATAAATATAATTTTATAACCTATATCAAACTCTAGCCCGCATCTATAATCCTAACTCAGTAAATAATTTGAATATATAATTCATTTATTAAAAAAATATATATATCTATAAAATTTTATTTAATAATGAGCTAGGATGAGAGTTGTATTGCAAGGCGGGACCTAGTTTAATACAAATAAAAGAAAGAGAATGGAAAAATTATATATTCTATAATAATAATAAAAAAGGGCTAGAGCCGACGTATATCCTTAAATTAAAATTTTTAAAGAAATGACTGTCAGGGTGGCTTTGGAGTTTGGGACGACGGGGATAATTTCATCCATTCGTACCCATGTGTTTTTAATTCCTTCTCTATCTTGACGTAAGGCGGCATCGAGGGTTTAAAAAGACGCGAGAATGTGTGGAATTTCATTGTTAGATGGGATATAATGTACTGAAATGATATAATATTAAATTTTTTTCTTTTTTATAAATGGGATATATTTTGTCATCGTAATCAATTTTCTTTTAAAAGGTTGGGTGAACAAAAATATATAAGTTAAGATTACCGAAATATCATTAAATAAATAAAGAAAGAAAAATTGATAAAAATCTCCTCATAATTTATGAAAAAAAATAAAAAATGACTTTATTGAAAAAGTTTATGAATTTATCATGCTAAATCATAATATAACGTGCCTTATAATTGTCTCATTTACATTATATTATTGCTCATTTTCTATATTTAGTTATTATCATTTTTATAATAATAAAAATTTACTTCCACTGTGATAGACAATAAGAAATTAGCTATTACGAAGGATATAATTATGAATCTAAAAGTCATATGCATAGACTTTTTGGATGATATCAGCTATAATTTTTCCAAGATTAAATATAAAAAAATTTTGATTAGTAAATAACTAAAGCAAAATTTATAAGATTGTTAGTTTCCTATATATTACTACGAGTATAATATACACAAGCCATATATGTAAAACATTACTATTAAATAAAACCCCAAAAATATAATAATTTAGTAATAAAATCTCTTTGTATATTACAGCTAACATCTCTAACTAATATTTTTGAGATTCCGTTTTAGGATGATATAATACTCAGTAAAATTTAAATATAAATAATGTAATATTCATATAAATTGGTGCCTTGCACTGGGCTAAATTTTTAGGGGCAAGCTCGATTATAATTTAGAAACCTCTAGTTCAGGTTTTCAATTTAAAAAAATAGGGCATTTGCCAACATATCTGTCCTCTAACTAACCCAAAACTGCCCAAGTCCGGATGAGAGACCGAAACAGTGCAGATGACTAACATTTAAAAAAAAATATGTAATAAATTATAAATATAAATTCAATTCATAAATATTTACGGAAAAGAAATTTTCAAAGTATCCATTAGGGTTGACGATGAACAAGCTATTGAATACCAAGATGGCGATTATAGTTAGGAGGAATAAGTCTAAAAATTTAAGTAAAAATTTAAGCTTATATTAAAAAAATTTAATTTTATTAATAAAATATATTTGCTTATAATATAATAGGTAAAACAAAAAAATGAAAATAATGGAGTATAAAAATCATATATTTTAATGTAAATTTAAATATTTTTGCAATTAATAAGCAATAAAAGTGATTTGTAGAAAATTAATTAGTTACTTCCCTAAGACTAAAATTTAATTTATAAAAATATTTTAAATTTTTTTTAAATATATGTCGTATCGGGATATGGAATCCGAGATTCAAAATCTCTCACGATTTTTAATAAACATCTGATTTGACCTGAAACGTATTTCCGTAGGTATATAGTACCAACACTGTAAATCAATTTTTCATATAAATTGAAAAATAGACAAATTCTAATTTTAATTTTTTTTATATTTAAGCTGGAATACATATCCGGTCAAAACAGACATTGCAAATTTAAAACTTGATCTTACTAAATTATATAAAATGAGAGATTCCGAATATCCGTGGATTCCTTATCCAATAATATGACATATATTTTTTAAATTATGCGATCATTGAATTTCATATTTTTTAAAAAAACATATGAGATTATTTATTTTTTTCTATAATATTAAAAACATTTTATACAATTGGAATATATCGGTTTTCGAAAGGGTTTTCCGCGCGAAAAGACTATAGCCATAAACAAGTACTGGAAGCAAGAGATCCAAAACACGACCGTAGTATCCCAATTGATTGTTTCATTATTTTCGTATAGATTATCAGTTGCGTGTTTCACTTTGTTATACCTTTTTTTTAAAGTTGTTTCATGATTTAAATCTAACGGAACTTATCCGATTTTGAGACACCATAAAAAAATTGGGAGTAGGGGTGCATTCATTTATAAGTAGGAGTTGGGATAATTTTCGTAGCGCAAATTAGAGTGCTGCACACGATTTAAATTTATAAAAGGTAGATGCAATTTAGAATATACTATCCCACCATGGTAATGTCCTAATACGTTATTAGATAAAATATAAATTTTACTCCTAAAATAATAAACATTTCCATATAATATAAAATTATGGAATTTTTTTCAGGTAAGGTCCCCTCCAGACGCTACCGTTAATAGCTTCTTCGGTATGTGTCTTGTCCCAATCTTTTAGACGCTCACGTCCTGAAATTACTGTATCATTCTAATATGAATAACTTTAGAATCAACTATAAATTTTACACATCATTAAACCATTTTTGTAATAGACATTCTCTGATTAATAAATGATAACAAAGTTTGTTTTTTTTAAAGTAATAAACTAATCACTAAATAAAATTATTACCAAGTTTGATGTTTGAGATAGATAATGGCCGAGGTTTGAAAGGCGATTTGAATAGTTAGCTGACAAAATATGGAGAGGAGGTTGGGAAACGTCATCAAACAACTAGGCGGTTTTTCTTTGACCAATTTATCGAAGGGTTTCGTCCTACCCACTGATAATCAATATTAACAAAAAAATATAAAGATGTCAAATTTTAGAGAAGTTAAGTGGGTTAAAATTTCCATGTACATTTTATTAAAACAACATTGAATTAATGTTCCATTATTTATGAAAACCAAATAATTTTAAAATTCATACAAGAGTAGTGGTGAAGGGGGAGGGGGTATTCCATTTTAGTTAAATTATTGATTTTAGAGGTGGACGATACTTGAAATCGGCTCGGCATCGATTATCAATATTTTAAGAATAGGCCAATTCTTTGAAGATGCATATTCATATATTATAATCATTACTATATACAAAAGAATAACATTTTAAAATTAACTAAAATTTGGAATCACTCATCTCTAATTATTATATATTTATTTTTGTATTACCTAATATTTAAAAAAATTTATTTATTTAATTTTATAATCAGATAAAGAATTTTTAAAAGCCATTGGAGAACACGTTTTCCACAAGGTGATCAAGGCAAGAGTTTTATTTTTATTTTATCATTGGATAAGTTTCATATCCTTATGGAATTTAAAGGGTGTTAATGTTATTATTATTCCTAAATATTCAATTTAAAATGATATATTTCCGCTAACAAATTTGATATTTCAATAAACCAACCCTAAGAAGGGATTCAAAATCTTTATGAATTTTTAAATTATATTTTTTTTCAAACTGAATATGGCAAGCGTCGTAATAATTCCCAGATCAATGTACAAAAATTGAGTATCCGATAAATTATAGCCTTCCTGTTTTAAATAATATTATCAATTAAATAAATTTATAATATGCGTTATTTGAAATGTCAGTGAATACATAAAAATAATATGGAATAAGCTTCCTACAGTGTTTTTAGCAAATTTAAAAAAAAATTGTTTACTAAAGCATTATGAGCCATTCCGTTTTAAAATAAGCGTCCCAATAACATGTTGATAAAAATATATATAATAACTGTGTAAAGTATAAGGACAGAAGCGAACTGAATCATGCTATATAATGCCATAAATTTGAAAACGCCAAATGAGGTAGCCAGCGAACATCTTCCTTCCCTGAAAGATTGATTTATACATTAAATTTTAAATATAATATATAGTGTGGTGACATAACTGCCGTTTTTTGTCACCAAATCATCTAAATTGTATCCTTCGCGTAATTGAAAAATGATTCTTATGAAGGTACCAAAAAATAATAGTAAAAAATCTTGCTTAAAGCATCCTCGAGTTATTTAGATTTTAAAAAAAATAATAAGGAAAAATTTGTAAAAATACGAAAAGCAGATAGCTATATCATTAAGTTATCTAATAAGTCTTTACTTATAAAATGACATAAAATAACTACTTGATAATTTTAAGAACGCAATCGATATTTTGATTCTTAGAAGTAAATGGAGAAGCTACAGATGATTCAGCGTCCGATAAAGAAATTCCAGCGTCTGAAGATTTTAAAGCCTTTTTTTTAAAAAACGGTATTAATACTTGATCTAAAAAAATGGGAGTATAAAGAAAGAAAATTTTAAATAAAATATAATAGTCAAATTTTTAGAAGGTTCAGGAATGAGTGAGATAAAAAAAATACATGGGATAGAATGGAAACCCATGACATAAAAATAATGGGGTTACCCGTATATCATGGAAATTATAGGGATCAAATTTGAGGCAAACTGGCTTCCTCAGCTTATCCTGACCATAGAGGTAATTATTCATTTTTATTATTAGTTAATATTTCCACAAATAAATCTTATGCCTTTATTATTTTTGGCTAAGGCCTTTAGTAAATTAAGTTCCTACCTACCTTTCAATATCTCTTGAAAGGTTCAAACTTTATTCCTAAAAAAATTGTTGGAGGATCAATATTTAAATTTATAGCAACTCGAACAACAAAAAGATGATAAAAATTGAGAAGTTTGATATCACAAAAATTGAAGTTTAAAAATAAGTTTTTTTTTAAATGTAATCTTATTGGATTGGTCTACAATCTTCACGCCCAATTATTATTTTCTTACCTTAAATGTTTTTGCCCTAAAAGAAAATGATGTGAATTAGCAAGGTAGAGTTTGGATGAGATAGTGTAATAAGTATCAAAATTATAAATCATATGATGTGAGAATAAAAAAAGTTGTCATTATTATAAATTTAGTTGATAATAAATTATATTAAACTCACCCCACAATCATTGGCTCCGTCCCCGCACATACTAACAACGTATCTATGATATTTAAAAAAAATGTATATATGTATATATACACACATATATATTAGCCCACAGAACTTAGTATAAGTGACTTTAGTTTTGGAATGAGAAATATAGATGACAAAGGGATTTTGGAATTTGAGGATAGGTCATTTTATTTAAGGAGTAAATAAGGCTATTCACTATAAATCTGGTGGTATTAGTAATAGTTCTATAGACTAACTGTAAGAAATAGATTATTCCAGCGTAAGTTTGGTGGTATCTTCTAGTTGTCTATAACCACTCAATCCGAGGTATCAAAAAAAATAAGAATTTGTCGAAAATTAAAAAATGTATTTCCTATATCTGAAGCAACAGGTGCAATTGCCAAATGGGAGATTACGAAGAATTCATAGCTGAGGACAACAGAACATATGTGGCCATACAAGAGGGTTAAATTATTAGGAGTAAGATAAGAAAAAGTATAATTCCAATTAACAAGGGTAAAGATGCCCAGCTAGAATTAGAAAATGAGTCGCACCGCACCAGTAAACTATTAGGCATTAAAAATATTTGAATGGAGAAAATGATTAGTCCGGAAAAGGATACCACAGATGCCTATTTTTTGCTAACCACGGGAAAAACATTAGGCAAATAGTAAGGAGTTATGCTTCGTTTTCATTGATATAGGAAAAGTATTAACAGCGTAACTTGGGGTTATTAGATAGTGAGAAAATCTGGGGTGGATACATGGTTAGTATCTGCAGTGGTTGTAGAGAGGGGAAAATCGAAGGAATGAATCTGAACTTTGAGGTAAAAGTAGAATTGAACCAAGGATCAGCTTTGATTGAAAATAAAAATTATAATTATAAAAACTGCGATTAATGGAAAGTTGATCTTGAATTAGTTAAAATAAAAAACTAACAGTCATAATATCAATCAAGTTTCTAAAAAAAGCAAAGCGTAAGTATTTTATAATTATAATTTTAAACATTGATTGATAGTAAATACATTACAAACCCGAGTTGTTTGTAAGATTCCACGAGGGAAGTTTTGTTATCGGGAGACATTCGTGCAAAAACTGATGCCTTTGTCATGATCTTATAAAAAAAAAAAATTAAATTATAGTTTTAAAAGAAGGTATGATTAATTTAAGTTTATAGAGATCTGCAAGAAGTTATAGATGTCTAAATTTTTTAAGTAAAAACTTAGCTATCTTTTAAAATTGACACCAATCAATTTCGATCTAAGACTCCGCCTAAATCTTTCATAAAGTGATAATAAAAATACGCAATTTTAAATTGATTTAAAGAGCATGAAATACGATTTAAACGATGTCTTTTTATGTAAAAAAAATAGCTAAGATACAGAATGATTTGATGATTACCTTAAAAAAAGTTTATAAGTTGTATTGTAACTTTGTTTTATTTCTCCCTAAATTTACTCATTCTTCCCATTCCTCATCCTTCTTACCTCCGTTTTTCCCCCTTTATCTTTTTCATTATAGCATTCTACATACGACATTCTGTTGCAATTGTCATTTGTAGGATCAATGGAATATTCTTTATTCTGCGATAGGATAGTATTGTTTTTTATTTAGTCATCGTTAATGATATAAAATTATATTTACAATACATTTTAAATCATATAAAGTTTAAAGTTTGAAATGCTCTTCAAAATAAACTTCAAATTTTTTCAATTGAAGATTTTTTTGATACGGGTCAAACAGGGTTTTTGATAAAATTTTACCTAAAATTCAAAAAAAAAAAAATCTTTTCTAGGTAAAATTTTTGTGATTCTGAATATTATGCATAAAAAATCTTTCATAATGAAATCACTAAAAAATTTAATTTTCTTTAAAAATATCAGATTTTTCTCTCAAAATCTCAAAATTTTGGGCGAAAATCTTCAAAATCTAAGATTTTCTTTCAAGCTCAGAGTTTAAATGCGAAGCCTTAGGAGGGGTACTTAATTTTAATCACATTTATTCGGTGATATTTTTAATTTATTTACGATTTATTGTAATCTTTATAAGTTAATATATACACAATTTCCACCTTTTAAGAAAAACTTCTATATACTTTTTATTTATTATTCTCATTTTTTAATCTATAGGTAATTGGGCTTTTGATTTCATTCATTTAATAAGTCTATCAGCTGTTAAATATTATGAATAATTTAGGATGTTTGATTTAATAAATTTCTCGATTTACAATTAACCGATATTATTAGACATGAAAGGAATATAAAATGGGCTTTAAAAACTTCGCATTCATCCGATAATTCTCACTTAACCGATTTACATTTATACAATAATATTTAACATATTTAGGCTAAATTCTTAAAATGGCGCATCTTTCGAATTTACTTTTTAAAAATTGCAAAATAAAAAAAAATGTAAATTATAGAAGTACTAAATCCAATCTTCGATACTCCTAGAACTTTTTAATTATTCGGTGTACCGGATCATATAAAATAATATTTATTCATACATTCATTTAGACCCGTCTTAAGGAGAACGCCTGTGAATTATGCGAGACCCTTCCCCCCATAATCGCGCCCGTTTTTTCATCTCTCAAGGAAGCCAATAAAACCTTAAAAAGTTTATTACCGTTAGAATGCAAATTTAATAAAAATATTTTAAAATTAATGTTGTAGACGAACGCATGAACGGAGTACATTTTTTTGAAAAAAAAATAATGAATGACGTTCCTTTTATTTTTGACAAGCTTTGAACTTGAACGCGTTCGTCTTTTACGTTCGTTCAATTTTAGAAAATCTTATTTTTATTCATTTTAAAAAAAATATTATACAATTTTTTTAAGAAAAAAAGGGTCTTTCTAAATCAGCTGTATCCTATATCACTTTTTAATCAGTTACTATTTTTTGTCCTATAGTAGAGTTTATTAATTTGAATATTATTTATAGATTAGCGTAAGCATGGATGTTGTTATTTCATTATCATCATCTGATTCTGAATTAAGACAGATGAGTTAACATAAACATGGCCCAAATATAATAAATACTTTAGAGCAACATAATATCTTCAATAAACTAATTCCATACTAATCAAATTTAAAATGTGTTCTAAAAGTATAATATCAGTTTCAAAATCTTCAAGTTCTAATTTAAAGAGATACTTGATTGTAATATTTATTATTTTATATAATATAACTTATAGGTATCTAATAATTAATTTTAGATTGTTGTATTTCATTATTAAATAATGATGATTATTATAATAGATACATAAAGTAAAAATCATTAAATATTATATACATCTAATAATTTAAAACATGGTTAATAAATTGTGTTTAAAAATATATGATATTTATTTATTAAATTAAATTTTTAAAAAAAATTTATTAAATTTTGAACGAGTTCCTTTCTTTGAAAGTGAACTTGAACGGGTTCGATTTTTGCCAATAAACATTGAACGCGTTCGATTTTTTAGAAATGTATCAGCATTAATTTATATTCATTAATATTATATCCAACAGTCGAATAAAAATTGATCGACAGTATTCAATATTTTATTCATCCTAGAGATATTATTTTTATTTATTTATTTCACATATTTTATATAAAATAATGTTTAAAAAAAATTTAATCATATATATTTTATAATAAAAATCGGTCAACATCTAGACAGGAACCCCTAAAACAATAATATTTGTGGAATCCCCTAATTTGAAAACTAAAAAACCTTATGTAGTAGCTCGTTATAATGTTCGGCTAAAAGACCGTAACTTCTGCCTGTCATCGCAAAATAATAATCATCAAAATTCGGATTCGAAAATGTGTTGGCTTCTTTCGAACTAAATTTATGAAACTTATTATTTTCAAAATTTAGTTCTATCTTGTTTCTGCCGGACTTTACTATATGATTTGCGGTGGAATAATTTTTATTCAAGAGCGTGACCCGTTCTTCGAGATTAGGATAGAGTTGCTGGGTAGGATTGGCATTAACTGGTAAGGGATTATTCATCTATATATGGTTTTATTTTTGTAATAAATAAAATTCGTTTCGATAAAAATCATTTTAAAAAATCGTTAGAATAATTCAAGCCATATATAAACATAAATGATTATTAAGCAAGAGCTAGCTTACCATTTTTATATCAATAACTAGTGTTGTTAAACGGTTCAACTATTCAATGATTTTAAAAAAATATTCGTTAAATTAAATCGGTTATTACAGTGGAAAATATTTCATATTTCAATGTAACACAAAAAAAATATCTATTTTGTTCATAAATTTAAAAAGGGGGTTATAAATATTTAAACTTAAACCGTGTTTAAATATTTTTTTTAAAAAATTTTGAATGTTTATTTTTTTTTCGGTTCAATTGTGTCTTTATTTAAGTAAATATAAAAGTATATAATATAATTAATTTTTCTAAGACAAAATTAATAAAGGGCGATAAATATAAAATTGTAATTAAGGAGAACAAAAGGATGTCTAAAAAAGAAAATAGTAAAGATAAAATAGGAAGGAGAAGGAAAGAAGATATAAGGAGGCATGGAAAATTATTCGATGGAAGAAATAAAACTTAGGTAGTTTGAACGAATAATAGATGTAGGAAGTCTTTGTCGTAAAATAAAGAGATTCGAAATTACAGCTGATTCTTCATAGCGTTAAAAATAATTTAAATATATGTCGCAACCAAATATTTATAATATAGACTGCGCCATATGCAATAAGACACATATGGGATTTTACCCATTAACATAATCCTGGTAATTTTAATTTATCAATTAAATAAATGTTTATTTACAAGATTTAAAAATTTTTACATTAACAAAATATTTACAAGCTAATCTAAATGTCCTTATAAAATAACTCTTTTTTAGGGTAATATCTTTTTTCAGTCTATTTTTGTAGCAATAGACATGCAAGAAATAAAGGTCTATCTTTTCACAATTAATTAATATTACTAATATATTTATAAGATTTATATATATTTTTATTAATAATTACATTCTAAAATTTTCTTAGACTTTTAACCTATATAATGAAAAATAAGGTAAAAATATCATTCTATAATTTTAATTATTTTTTAAATGATTATTGATTTTTTTTTAAATTATCTAGGTTTCCAATTAACAATAAAGCTCTTTTAAGTAAGTGGACCCATGCAATAAAAAGAGATTTTATACTGACAAAACTCATGTCTCTGCAATGCACATTATTCAAATGAATTTTTTTATCCAACATCTACAAATTATCATAATTCTGGTAATTTTAATTCATCAATTAAATAAATGTGTTTCTATAAATTTATTAAATTTTTCCATTAACAATATATTTACAAGCTAAATCTAAGCTTATATATATGGCAATTTCAATGGAAGAAATAAGTTTCTTTTAATACCTTTATTAATTCAAAATACAATACTAACAATTAATTGTAAATATATATATAAATAACTATTAATTTAAATGTATTAATTATTAAAAGATCCATATGATTTTTATGATATTGATTATTATTTAATTAATAATTTGAATGAACAAATTAATAAAAGGTCTGGATAATTTTTATGATATTAATAATTATCTAATTGATATTAGAAATAAAGGGAGGGGGTTTATATACTTCTTATCTAGTTATCAAGAATATGTCAAATAACATATTCATGTTTTCAAACACTTGAATTAAATAATTTAATAAAACATAAAAAGGCTACCCTTATGTTAGGGAATTATGTATTTTCGCATATAATTGGTATGCCTATTTTTCCAGATTTTGCAAGCATGTTAAATCATAGGATCCCTTATTGTGAGAAAAGAAAGCTTAAATTTAAAAATAAATATTAGAAATAAATTAGTTAAAAATATAATATTCTTAGACCAATAATTTTTTTTTCACTACATAAAACATATTTTCCTTTTTTACTTTTATGTTTTCATGAATTATAAGCAGTTAGAATTTTAAATTTATATCATTTTATATTATAAAATATATAATTCATATTCTATTGTAGATTAAACCGCTATTTTTGTTTTATAAAAAATATAAAAATTAAATTTTAAAAATACTCCATCCTGCGGAGATTTATTTGTAACTTTATTTTCTTATTATTATAATGAAATATTTAACCTTAAAATCATTATAAACTTAGACTTATTAAAATAAAGGTTATTTTTTTGTAAGTGGCGATTTTTTTAGACATGTTTATTTAATCGTTGAGCAGTGATCGCAACAGATGTTTTTCATATTTATCATCGTTATCATCATAACGATCCATATTTTTTATATATAACCTATTTATTAGCCTGATTTGCAAATAACGCGCCTCATGAACATAACGCGTTTCAAATGAAAGTGAAAGCTCCAAATTTTCGAGAATTCCAAGACCAAATAGAATATACAAATATTGGAACAAAGAAAAAAATATATAGGCGACCTGAAAAATTAAAAAAAGAAAATCAAGGATATAGCAAAATAAGTTGTTTTAAAAAAAATGATGCCATTATCGAGTTTGAGGAACAAATGGAATGATTTGAATAAATTTTAATTATTACTTTATTTATAATTAAACTCTAATGTTATTACATATTATTTTATCGAAATTATTATATTAAATGGATAAAAATTTAATGTAGAAAAAAAAACATTAAATGTCATCTAGCTAATTTTAGAAAAAATAAATCAACTATCTTGGTTGATTTCCCCAAATCTTTTTTAAGCATATTTTTTACCTAAAATCTTTTTTATGGTTTAAGTTTTAAATTTATTACAACTTCATATATGTTCATAAATTTAAATTTAAATCTACTTTGTTCATTTTTTTGTGTTGCATTGAAAAATGAAATATTTTTCACTAACAAAATTTTTAGCCTGCAAAAATCAATCCCCTCTTCCCTCTCCCTGAATGTTTAGTTCAAGTTTATTAAAAATATTTTTCCAATTTTTATAAATTGTATTCGGTATTAATGTTGTTAAACGGCTCGATTTTTAGCCGATTTTAAATTAAGATTTTACCCAATATAATACTATACAAGCTTCAAGATTTTGTTATTATGTCTAAACCATTCTACCATCTATGAGCAAAATCTCCAGGCTTGTGTAATATTTTTTAGCTAAAATATTTAACACTATTGCACACATCGATTTATTTTTATCGTACTGTTCTTTTTCAGCAGAGTTAAAGTGACTTTAAGTATCGAAAAATGGCACTAAATTTTTCCCAAAAATTCACTATACATTTACAAAATTTTTCGTAAGTTTTACAATTTTTTTAAAAAAAATTAATCTTTTTTCAAGGATAGAAAAAAACCAGGACAATAAAAATAACGACTAACCTCAATATCTATTTCGTCGTCAAATTCGTGGCAATCTATAAGATTTTTAACCGGAGATGGCTTATTGATTTTCTCCAATATCTCGTATTCCACAGTATATTCTAGGCTGGGATCATCGTCGAACTTTAAATGTTTTACTTCTTGGTCCCCGTTTAAAATTATTTTATAATCGTCCGTTGATGTGTTAGTTTCGTTCTTTCGGGAAAAAAAAGATTAAATAAATAGCAAACTTACTTTCAAAAATTAGTAATTCTACGCAACTTTCTAGAGTAATTAAATTTTGAGAATATAACCGTGATTAATAATATAGAATTGTCTACCCCCCCCCCCCTAATTGGGAGTTGGAGAAATAATTTTGTATGAATGACTAAAAAAACATACGATATTTTTTTTTAAACGTCTCGAACTTCGATTTTAAAAAAAATCAACATAAAGGAAGTTTCCTTAAATAAATGTCAAAACAATAGATCTTATTTTTAAAATAATTTTTCATTATTATTAAGTTTAGCAAAAAGTAGTATTTTATTTAAATTTGGTTTTCAAAAAAAATTTTAAAATTCTAAACAAATAAAGGGTTACTTTTTGTTATATCTTAAAATAATGTTGTTTAATGGCCCTATTTTTAAAAATGGCTAATCAAATATTTTAGCCAAAAAATATTATGCAAGCCTGGAGATTTTGTTCAAAGATAATAGAAGGGTTGACATCTATTAACATAATCTCAGGCTTGTATATTATTTTGGCTAAAATATTAATTTGAAAGCTAAATCGAACCATTTAACAACACTATTCATTCATTTTCTATATGTATGCAATGTAATACAAAATGTGTATATTTACATTTTCAGATTTGTAGGGTTTAGGATTAAAGGGAGGAGTATTGAGCTTGACGTTAATGCAAATTATCACGGCGCCATATGGAATCATAGCGCATTCGTGGGCCACGCTTATAGCAGTAAGCATGTTATCACCTTAAGATTTCAAAATAATTATATATGAGATTTTATTTGTTTCAAAGAATTGTAAAATTGCGCACCCTTTCTGATTGCCTTGTCATACCTTTTTTTCTTCGTTTTCACCATTGCATTTTTTTTAACTCTCATTTTTTAAAATATTAATTAAAAATTTGACATGTATAATGGATAATTTACCAGTTATCATAACAGGGCGGATAGATGCCGACAATAATTCACGTATCACTTGTGTGGTGTTAGGTTTAAGCGCATTTTTCATTATCAAAAACCCTAAAAAGGTCAAGTCTTTTTCCAAATCTTCCCTTTATATAATTTTGTAATATGGGTCTTAGAATTCATATAAATTTCCAAATATATAGTATAGTTTTCTTTTTCTTATTTTCCTTCTTTTTAATCTTTTCTTTCATCTTTTTATTCCTATTTTCTATTACATATTACCTTTTAGTTTTCTGAGCGTGATGCCATGTTAATTTTTTGTCCAACTTTTTGTGAGCCATCGCTATAACTCGAAATCCTTTCATAGTATACGTTTTCAATACATCCAGATAGTTATCCGGTACTAGATTAAAGAAAGAAAAGAAAATTAATAAATCATTCCATATTTTTACATAGAGAAAAAAAATTATTAGTTAATAAAATAATAATTTCACTTATTGAGGTAAATAGTTTTAAGATATAAAGTATACAAATTTTTTTATTAAATTTCAGTATAAAAAGTGAATGCCATGATAGGCTTTCGTAATTTAAAAAAATATATATTAATTACCCAACATCATTCACCCATATTTTATTTCATGCAAAATCTAAAACTTATTAAATTTTGCATTTATATATAACTAACATTATTATCTATTAGGTTATATAAAAAAGTAAAATAATGATATAACAACATTTTTTGTATTTTAAAAATTTAATCATGAACTAAATATAAGTGGCCGAGTATTACTGACGTTGGTTTATATAATCTACACTTGCCGGCTTAATAAAATCTATGCAAATAACTCCATACAAAAAAAATCTTTCGAATAAAAAAAACAAAAGAAAATTAACAAAAGGGCCAAAAAAATATTTTAAGTTTATTTTTTTCTAGCGAGCTGCATTGTTCATTTTTTTGTGAATAACTTAGTTTTAGACTATAACCATTTCATTTCTATAGAAAGACCACCTATATAATCAATTACCAGTTTCAGGCTGACAGAGGGATAAAATTTTCTCGGGGGCGCCTTTGGTGAATAGGTCAAAATGTTTGCAGGTCAAAGTCTTGGATATGACGCTCATGCATTGCAATATGGAAGAAAAGGTGAAATGCTTAATGATACCTTTTTTTAAAGTTTTGTTTTGATATTTTGAATATAAAAAATATATTATATTTTAAATTTAGCTATTTTAAATAACCTATTTCGACTGAAGATGGTAACCCACTAATAAGGTCTTGATTCGAAGCAGTTTCATCTTGAGTTTGACTAGATGATGATTTGACTATGGTAGGTAAGAGCGACGAATCGGGGCTTAATAAAGGATTCGGCTCTTCTAGCACCTATTAATTCAAATACAAAATAATTACTTTTTATTTAAAAACCCCAATTCAATTCTAAAACTATTTAATTTTATAGCCGCGCTTTAAATAACAAAAATAAATGGTCTGTTGAACGTGTAAGACCATTTATAAGAAAATTGATATATTTTTTTAATGGCGGAGGTGTTTATAAAATTTTAGAAGGTGGTCGTTTAAATATAAAATAAAATGGGTTTTGATGATGACTTTTTTTTCTTTTGGATTTTTTTATTTTTACAATTTTTTGATAACTATTTAAACATCATATATGTCTTCAAACGAGATCTCTATTATAGATAAATTAGAAAGATAAATATTTTTGATGGTAATTAGAATTCCCCTACCCCAATTAGTTGTAAATGAATAAAATTGGCTGTAGCGCTCAGTGTAAATCACTAAAAAATATTCACATTAATAACTTTTTCTTACCCATTTAGTTGATTGAAACATTTTAAGTTCGAGTGGATCCCCACATACTTCCCCATCTATAAGGGTAAGCGAATGACAACAGGCCATGCTATAAAGCAAACGGGAATTATCTAGATTGTCGTTCGATTGAATATCTCCTGCCTGGAATTTTCTTTCGGGTGATTCATCGGTTTTATTTTTGGGGCCGTCTCTATTTAAAATTATTTGTGAATGAGGGTCTTTTATGATTTGGCCGAATCTGGAAGTTTTAAATAAATAATATGTGTTTTGAAATGGTTAAAAAAAAATAAAAGTATTCGAAAATTAATTTAAAATAGAGATGGCGACCCAATTTAACTAGGTCGTCTAAACTATACAATCGTTTTGGGACCAAAAAATAAATAAAACTATTTTTTTAAAAACATTTTAATATGGTGAATTTAAAAAAATGTGTTTGAACTTCAAAAAAAAAATTTTACTAACACTTATTCATAAATTATGATCAAACTTGATCCTTCGAGTATCATTCGGTAAAACGCCGTAAAAGTCTAAACCATCTTCGGTTAACGTCCCCGTCTATTTAAAATAAATATTTTTTTTCTTCTGTAAAAAATAGAAAACGAGCTAAGATAAGAAAATTGGGCATTCAGTAGGCTCATCAAAATTGATTCGTTATTCGTATTCAATTCAAAATTTTCTAATAGAATATATTTTTTTTTATTCAATTCAGTTTTTGGAGGTATAGTGATACTTAAAAAAGTATGTGCTGGGTTATTTCAAGCCCATTTTGGGACTTCTTTCAAATCAAATTACTATTTTGGCAAAACGCATAAAAATAAAGATAACTAAAAATTTTAATTAAAAATATTTTAAATAAAGGACTTCAGAGACTATCTAAATGATACCTATAGGCTTCTAATTAAATTTTCGAATATTCTTTTATTTTAATATGTTTTGCCATAATAGGTAAGATGCCGTTTTTACACCTTGAATCCTAATATCTCTGAAACTAATAGTTAAATTATTTAAATTGCATTATTCCTCATATACCTCATAACTATGCAGAATGTCATTTGATTTGAAAGATGTCCTCTTTTCATTAAGCTTTATATAACTATAAGGGCATACAAAGCATAATAAGGCATTCCACGTGAAATAGAAGGAATGTTTTTTGATCAAATTTCAGGATGATTTACATTTTTAGTTTATTATTTCTAAAGGTCATTAGCTATATCGCGAGGTGGCATTCCATGAGTCGCAACATATATTTTTTTTCTTCATCGATCTACTATCATTTGTTAAATTTATAACTGACGTTCATAGACTCTAATTTTTCTCATAATAAATATTTTAAAAAATAATAACTTATAAAAACCTTATCAAAGCAGGCCAAATCGATTTTTCCACAAACGTTGATTCTGGGTGGGCTGATGCAAAATATAGAAGACTTTTTGAGCCTATTTTGGGAGTAAACAGTGCCCACGGTCATGGCGGCTGGAAGTGAAGGGGGTACTACTATTGTTACAACATCAAGAGTTCTCATAATGAGCTTAGAAATTGTTGCCTATTGTTTAAAAAAAATAAATTATAAACAATAGGAGGGTGAAAGAATCGTATTCGGGGTAGTGTTGTTAGATAGGAGTTTTTACGATCCAAATTTAGAATGCAGTTCAATGAACCTTATGAGCTGACTTGCGAGCCAGACTCCTGAACCGACTCGCAAACCAGACTCTTAAGCCATCAACTAAGATAACTTGCAGTTCGTATTAGAGGTCTGGGAAACCCGACCCGGCAAAAATTATTGCCAGGCCCAAGATGTAATAATCTTTTTTTTTAATTTGCCCGGTTGGGCCCGTAATATTTTACGAAAAATCAAGCCCGCCCCGTTAAACTTTTGGTAAGAGCCCGCCTCGAATTTTTTGGCCATCACATTTTTAATTTTTTTCCCAATGTAAATTAAATCTCTTATATCTCTCCTCTACAGCTCTCTATTTTTATAACAACGGTTTTATAAATCAATTGTGCTGTAATACCTAAAAAAAATTATCGTGATATTTAATCAGGGAAAAGGGGATTAAGAATCGGGAAGACCGTTTTCGCCATAAAAACTAAAAACAAATTTGATATCAATAAAATAGAATTACTGCCGCTTTCTACATCCAATACTTTAGGAGCTATGGAAGTTGGGGTAATTGATCATTTTTTCTCATATGGCTAAATTCACCTTGGTAATGACAATAAAATATTAGACAACTTTATTGTTTAATCGGACAAAATATTACAATTTTCACATTTATTTTTTATTTTTAATTATAAATTAATATAAATTATCAAAATTTGCACATTTTGGGCACATCTTAAATCTAAATATTCTTCATTTTTTAATTATATTGAATATAACAAACTAACTTTTTATCAATTTTCTTTTTGCTTAATAATTTCTTTTTTAAATGAAATAGACGTTAATATCTTCTTGATCTTTTTTTACAGCTTTTATCAGACTAAATATTTTAACGTTTTACCCAATAGCCGCTTTACCTCAAGAGAATGTCTATTATATATCGTTATTGCTTGACTACATGTCTAATAACTTTTTTCATAGCTAAGAATTTAAGGAACATGTGTTCTAAAAATTATTCGAATAAATATATTTTACTAAAAGCAAAAATTACTAGAAGGTAAATTTTAATAATTTATTGGTAAAAAAACGGGTTTTTCGGAAAATATATCAAAAAAATTTTCTAAAAGATGAACAAGGTAAAATATTTTATATAAAAATAAATCTTCAACCATATTTAACGTCTTTAACATAAGGGTTAAAATTCATAAACACTATTACCCCAATTTCTTTTAATGTTGCTAAACACCTGTACCGGTTTAATCAGCTAGTAAAATTTTCAGCTACCGGTTGCTACTTAGCTTAAAGATTAACGTTTTATAAATCCAGACATATTAAATTATTTATTAAAAATTTATCAAAAATGGAATTAAATTCAATACATGTTTTATATTCCTTTTCATATCAGATATCACATTTATATTTTCAATAAATATAAAAAAAAATAATATATAATATAAGCTATATAAATTATTATAAAATAACATTTTAGAATTATTAATTCCAAAAAATTTGGCTTAAGAGGCGGCTTATTCGGCTCCTCAAGTCGACTCAAATGATTTTTCAATTAGAAATTCGATTGAGTCGTTGTAAAGCCAAAACAACACTGATTCCGCAACCGATTAACCCAAGTAAATTTAGACGGGCATTAAATCATGTGAAATAGGAATATAAGTCAAATTGGTCTTTCTTATATGAATTCTTCAAAATTCCAGTTAATGAATCCCAAGTCTTATATCATAAATCATTTATAAAAACGGTTCTATAAGGTTCTTGAAAATTTTACACGGATTCTGTTTCCGATTCATATAAATTACCGATTCCAAGGGTTATTTAAACTCTGAATATAGTTGTGTGAGAGCATAGAATGGTTAATATTAATTATAAGTAAAATTGGAAGGGGATTTCGAAGTTATCGAGTTCATTTTTAACCAAATAAATAATATTTCACATCTGATACTAACTTATAAATTGAAAAGTAATATTAAAAAAATTGAAAATAAAGCTTTCTTTTTTCGTATATTCACTTCTTCCCTGATCTAAAAAAATTTATAGAATAAAATAATTTTAACTATTTAACCTTGCGTAAGTAGAGGATATACGCGCTGTAAATCATACCCATCCCGGCCAAACAAGCTAAAACACAAACGAATTTCAGGCTGTCTTTGTAAAACTCGAAACCCAATGGATTTGGGTGCAAGATCGATCTGACTAATTCTCCTTTCGTGGTTGAAAATCCTTTTTATATAATATAAGAAAAGCATGTTATTATTAGTGTTGCGTAATCGGCTAATTTTAGCCGACTAAAAACGGCTTAGCCGAGATTTTAGGTGGAAAAATCGGCTAAGCCTAATTAGGCATAGCCTAAAAATCGGCTAAGCCTAATTAGGCTAAGCCTAAAAATCGGCTAAACCTAATTAGGCTAAGCCTAAAAATCGGCTAAGCCTAAAAATTGGCTAAGCCTAAAAATCGGCTAAGCCTCAAAAATTGGCTAAGCCTAAAAATGGGCTAAGCCTAAAAATTGGCTAAAATAAATTAGTCAAAATTCTGCATCGATGTTAGCATTAATTATTATTTATTTATTTTAGTAAAATAATTTATTTTATTTATATTTAATGTAAATATTTTATTATTATCAACAAATAAACATGATATGATTTAATATTTTTTATTTATATTATTATATTTTGAAATGAAAATAAATTTATTTATTTGTTGTTATTTTAATAAAAAAGATAATATGCTGCTATATTGTAAAAATGTAATATTCTTTTTAATATAATTTATTAGTGATTTTCACAATCTTCTTTATAAATACATATTGAGGAATTATATTGTAAATTTTATTAGATAAATAAACAATCTTTTAGGTGAAATCTTTTATAATTTTATCATTTTTTTAAAATTATCTATTTTTTATTAAATGAGGTGGATTTTATGAAACTTTTTTGATGATTTTATATGATCTTTTTAAGGATAATATTTTAATGTGACAATTGTCATAATCGTTATTTTTAAAGTTTTTTGAATTTTTTTGACGACAATATGTTAAAATAAATATTAATAACATGTTTAAATAAAAATTTAGTGAAGATTACCATAGAAAATTGACATAATCGTTATTTTATAAGTTTTTTGAAGAAAATATGTTAAAATAAGTATTAATAAGATGTTTAAATAAAAATTAAGAGAAGATGTACCATAGAAAAGTGACAATTGTCATAATCGTTATTTTATAAGTTTTTTAAATTTTTGTTAAAATAAGTATTGATAACATGTTTAAATAAAATTTAGTGAAGATGTACCATAGAAAATTTACATTGTCATAATCGTTATTTTTAAAGTTTTTTGAATTTTTTTTATGTTAAAATAAGCATTAATAAGATGTTTAAATATAAATTTAGTGAAGACAATGAAAAGTGACAATTGTCATAATCGTTATTTTTAAAATTTTTTGAATTTTTTTGACGAAAATATGTTAAAATAAGTATTAATAACATGTGTAAATATAAATTTAGTGAAGATGTACCAATGAAAAGTGACATTTGTCATAATCGTTATTTTTAAAGTTTTTTGAAGAAAATATGTTAAAATAAGTATTAAAAACATGTTTAAATAAAAATTTAGTGAAGATGTACCATAGAAAAGTGACAATTGTCATAATCGTTATTTTATAAGTTTTTTGAATTTTTTTGAAGAAAATATGTTAAAATAAGTATTAAAAACATGTTTAAATAAAAATTTAGTGAAGATGTACCATAGAAAAGTGACAATTGTCATAATCGTTATTTTTAAAGTTTTTTGAATTTTTTGACGAAAATATGTTAAAATAAGTATTAATAACATGTGTAAATATAAATTTAGTGAAGATGTACCAATGAAAAGTGACAATTGTCATAATCGCTATTTTTAAAATTTTTTGAATTTTTTTGACGAAAATATGTTAAAATAAGTATTAATAACATGTGTAAATATAAATTTAGTGAAGATGTACCATAGAAAAGTGACAATTGTCATAATCGTTATTTTTAAAGTTTTTTGAATTTTTTTGACGAAAATATGTTAAAATAAGTATTAATAACATGTGTAAATATAAATTTAGTGAAGATGTACCATAGAAAACTGACAATTGTCATAATCGCTATTTTTAAAGTTTTTTGAATTTTTTTGATGAAAATATGTTAAAATAAGTATTAATAACATGTGTAAATATAAATTTAGTGAAATGTACCAATGAAAAGTGACATTTGTCATAATCGTTAATTTTAAAGTTTTTTAAATTTTTTTGAAGAAAATATGTTAAAATAAGTATTAATAACATGTGTAAATATAAATTTAGTGAAGAAGTACCAATGAAAAGTGACACTTGTCATAATTGTTATTTTTAAAGTTTTTGGAATTTTTTTGAAGAAAATATGTTAAAATAAATATTAAAAACATGTTTAAATTAAAATTTAGTGAAGATGTGCCATAGAAAAGTGACAATTGTCATAATCGTTATTTTTAATTTTTTGAATTTTTTTGACGAAAATATGTTAAAATAAGTATAATAACATGTGTAAATATAAATTTAGTGAAGATGTACCAATGAAAAGTGACAATTGTCATAATCGTTAGTTTTAAAGTTTTTGGAATTTTATTGACAAAGATATTTTAAAATAAGTATTGATAACATGTTTAAATAAAAATTTAGTGAAGATGTACTCTAGATAAGCGACAATTGTCATAATCGTTATTTTTAAAGTTTTTGATTTTTTTTGACGAAAATAGTTAACTTGCATCGATATTGATTTTAAAATAGAAAAAAAAGTTTACCCAAATTTTAAACAAGATTGTCTGGTGAAAATTGGTAAAAAAATAATAATTTCTAACTTAGGATTAGATATTATGATATAAATTTTGCATATTAATTTCTGACCCGATGAACAAATGTAATAAAATGCCAATTTGCTCCTGTTTTTGGGGAAGAATCTATTATTACCATATGTTTTTCTATGGCATATACTCAGGCAATTTTAATTTTACAATCTATATTTTTACCCATTTACATCAAAGAAATTTTAAAAATAACGATTATGACAATTGTCACTTTTCTATAGTACATCTTCACTAAATTTTTATTTAAACATGTTATTATTACTCATTTTAACATATTTTCGTCAACAAAAATCAAAAAACTTGAAAAATAATGATTATGACAATTGTCGCTTATCTAGAGTACATCTTCATTAAATTTTTATTTAAACATGTTATATATACATATTTTAAAATATTTTCGTCAAAAAAATTCAAAAAACTTTAAGAATAACGATTATGACAATTGTCACTTTTCATTGGTACATCTTCACTAAATTTATATTTACACATGTTATTAATACTTATTTTAACATATTTTCGTCAAAAAAATTAAAAAATAAGGAATATGACAATTGTCACTTTTCATTGTCTTCACTAAATTTATATTTACACATGTTATTAATACTTATTTTAACATATTTTCGTCAAAAAAATTAAAAAATAAGGAATATGACAATTGTCACTTTTCATTGTCTTCACTAAATTTATATTTACACATGTTATTAATACTTATTTTAACATATTTTCGTCAAAAAATTCAAAAAACTTTAAAAATAACCATTATGACAATGTCAATTTTCTATGGTACATCTTCACTAAATTTTATTTAAACATGTTATCAATACTTATTTTAACATATTTTCTTCAAAAAAATTCAAAAAACTTATAAAATAACGATTATGACAATTGTCACTTTTCTATGGTACATCTTCACTAAATTTTTATTTAAACATGTTTTTAATACTATTTTAACATATTTTCTTCAAAAAAATTCCAAAAACTTATAAAATAACGATTATGATAATTGTCACTTTTCTATGATACATCTTCACTACGTTTTTATTTAAACATGTTTTTACTACTTATTTTAACATATTTTCTTCAAAAAAATTCAAAAAACTTTAAAAATAACGATTATGACAAATGTCACTTTTCATTGGTACATCTTCACTTAATTTATATTTACACATGTTATTAATACTTATTTTAACCTATTTTCTTCAAAAAAATTCAAAAAACTTATAAAATAACGATTATGACAAATGTCACTTTTCATTGGTACATCTTCACTAAATTTATATTTACACATGTTATTAATACTTATTTTAACCTATTTTTTTCAAAAAAATTCAAAAAACGTATAAAATAACGATTATGACAATTGTCACTTTTCTATGGTACATCTTCACTAAATTTTTATTTAAACATGTTTTTAATACTTATTTTAACATATTTTCTTAAAAAAATTCAAAAAACTTTAAAAATAACGATTATGACAATTGTCAATTTTCTATGGTACATCTTCACTAAATTTGTATTTAAACATGTTATTAATACTTATTTTAACATATTGTCGTCAAAAAAATTCAAAAAACTTTAAAAATAACGATTATGACAATTGTCACTTTTCTTTGGTACATCTTCACTAAATTTATATTTACACATGTTATTAATACTTATTTTAACCTATTTTCTTCAAAAAAATTCAAAAAACTTATAAAATAACGATTATGACAATTGTCACATTAAAATATTATCCTTAAAAAGATCATATAAAATCATCAAAAAAGTTTCATAAAATCCACCTCATTTAATAAAAAAGATAATTTAAAAAAAATGATAAAAAAATTTTAAAAGATTTCACCTAAAAGATTGTTTATTTATCTAATAAAATTTACAATATAATTCCTCAATAAAAGATGTATTTATAAAGAAGATAGTGAAAATCACTAATAAATTATATTAAAAAGAATATTACAATTTTACAATATAGCAGCATATTATTTTTTTTTTAAAATAACATCAAATAAATAAATTTATTTTCATTTGAAAATATAATAATATAAATAAAAAATATTAAATCATATCATGTTTATTTGTTGGTAATAATAAAATATTTACATTAAATATAAATAAAATAAATTATTTTACTAAAATAAATAAATAATAATTAATACTAAGCATCGATGCAGAATTTTGACTAATTTTTTAGCAGATTTATATAGGCTTAGGCTTAGCCGATTTTTAGGCTTAACCTAATTAGGCTTAGCTAGGCATACCTAATTAGGCTTAGGCTAATAGGCTTAGCCGATTTTTAGGCTTAGCCTTATTAGGCTTAGGCGTAGTTTTTAGCCGATTACGCAACACTAGTTATTATTATAAACACAAGATTTCTATTTTGCATTTTAAATTTGCCATATAATGGATGATACAAAAAATATATATTATGGCCGAATAAATTATACAGAACCATAAGAATAGAGGATATTTTATCCAACTTATGTGTTATATTTATTATTCTCACCAGTTTTAACGACTACAGCTAAAGCGCAATGCCTCGAGACAGCTTTTTCATCGTAGACTTTGTTAAAATTTTCTTCGCTGTGACATGCGGCTGAGGGTTTAGCCAAAAGAATAGTTGTTCCGGCATAAATAGTGTGTTTTTTGTGAACGAGTGAATCGAATAATTCATTATCGCAACCTTGATTACCCACGGATGTTTTAATAACTGGAACACTTTCACCTTAGGTAAAATAAGTGAATATAAAATTAATATCTATTATGTATACATTACAATAACAATGGTGGATAAGATATAAGATAAAGAGGGAGGGAGGACATTAAAATTTATTATCATAGCTGTTTTAAGTTTTCTATGTTCTAACGACGACTGTCCCTTGTCTCGTATTCTTAGCTTCTAATGACTGTTTGTATTCGATTCTTGATTTCTATCTTCTGTTGCTTGTCAATTCCCGGTAAACGATTAGCTCTTCATCTCTGTAAGTGATTGACGAACCAGATTAACGCTCAATTATCGATTGATACTAGTCTTTCTTTAACTATGTTTCTTCTAAAGCTTCGTAATTCTTTTGATAAATTATCCTAGTCTTTGCTTGTTTCTAACGTTCTTTTGCTACTAATGATTAGCGCTTTATCTCGGTATTGTTTTCATGAATTCTTGTTCCTATGATCGTCGACTTCCGTATCTTATATTAATATTTCGGTAAACAATTCGCGATAATTAGTCAGCGATTAACGATTGTAGCATGAATGTCTTGACCATTTGTTCTATCTAGTGCTTTTTCCAAAGTTCTCTTGTAATTGATTAGTTCTTTGCATCTAATTCTTGACCGTATAGATCTTTCAGACTTCCGGGTCTTCTACAACAGTTTGCACTTGCCGAGATATGTCATTTATCTTCTTTGTTTACTGGAACATTAGCTCACATGTTACATGTATCACTCACAACCTTTAGCCACTTCTTCTATCTCGCTATTCATCTTGGGCAACCAAACATATTCTCGTGCTTTATTTTTCATTTCTATGATTTGATGTCCGGCATGCTGCTAAAATATCTTTTCTTAATACCATCGGAATAACTAAACGATATCCTCTCATTAGACAATTGTCTTTAATGTTTAATTCACTCTTAACCTTTTTGAACAATTTATCTTCGCTTTTCCATTCTATACCCCCTTTCAAACATGCTTTAATTCTTATTAATTCTTCATCTTGCTTGGATGCCTTATCAACTAGCTCAAAAGTTATCGGTTTTTCTCTTGTATCTACCTTCAAAGATCTTATAATAATATTATTTACTTAATTTTCTGCGACAAATTTGCAATTTCCATTTCTAAACTTTTAAACTGCCCGTAGCCTTAAAAAGGTGTAATATAATATATTAATTTACTAGATATTATCAGTCGGTGTGGTCTGACTTAAAGCCCGGACCGTGGGCTGGACAAAAACAAATGGGAAAACGTGCAAAATATTTTTAAAGACCAATCCAGAATTTCGCAAAGGTTTTTCAGCTTAGAATAATACAAGGTTAGGTCATTTTCTTCATAAAAAATTACTACAGGACTAGACGGACAACTTATATGATAATAATTTTAAGCCTCATAACATTATTTAATGTTATTAATTGTTATACTAGAAAGAAAAAGCCCAAAAGAAGTTAAGAAGCCTAGTTGATTATAACATAATTTTCCATAATGATATAAGACCAAATGCATTTCATAAATTTTTCCTTTGTTTGTAAAAAAATTTACCTGCATGATTCTGCAGTCCAGTAACTTTTAGAGACCATTTTTTACCTATCCCGGTCCAACTTGTAGGAAAATAGGCTATTCTCAGACTCAAACCAACCAGATAAAACAAATTCCATATTTCCGACCGAGAATCAAAATATAAAAAATGTGCCCTACAATTTATTTATTTTTAGTATATTATAAGAAATAAAATATTCTAATAATATTTATTTATATTTCCAAATCTGCCTCATCCGGAGAAAAAACTAACCCATCGAAAATTAAAAAATAATTACAATCCAACCTTACCCCTGATTTCTAGCTTTAAATATAAAAAAATTTTAATTTAGAATTCTATCATTTTTTCTCAATTCATTTGGACATCAATCTTAGATTTGGTGTGCCCTCTCCACTTTACAATTCAATTCATAAATTTTATTCAAACGAAAAATTATACCCAATAATAGCAAGGATGAATTGTATATTTTGAATCGTTATTTATTGTTTAATGGGATATAAATAATCCCTCCTTAAAACCCCATTTAGATTGAATTTCTAATGGGAAAAAATATTATGAAAATTGGCAGGTAAGTGTTCAATTCATGATGGTTTTCATTTTTTAACAATTATCTTTATTTTTTTATCATTATAATCCCATAATTTGATTTTTTTTTAATATAATAAACTCTAAAATATTTTCCAAATAATATATCAAAAATTTAAGAAATATGAAAATAATTGAAATATAAACCTGTCAAAACACTTTCATTGACTATGCAAGTGCCAGAAACCAGGACTGCATCGCAAGGCATAATCATGCCGCGTGAATAGAGACTGATCAAGTCCCCTGGCACTAATGAGACATTATGGACTGTTTTAACTTATAGAAGATTTTGTTTTAAATAAAATATAAGTATTTTGAATTATTATCTCAAAATTAATGTAAAAATGAGAATTAATTCTTAAATTTTTTAGATATAATATCAAACTAACCCACATTTTTATTAAAAATTATTATCTTATATTGTATTTACGTGAATAATAGTAAAAAAATATTTGGAAACTGTTTCCTTGAAGCTCAGTTTGATAAGGAATTGTTAATGTATACATGTCGTAAGTAGTGAAGGTCAAGGGCGGTTCTTTTAGTCACAAAGACTAAACCGGACCATGGTCCTCGAAAAAAGACCGGTCCCTTAACCTGTCAGGGTCTAAGGCCGATAGAACAGGACCGTTGACCACCACTAGTCGTAAGAAGTTTCGAATAGTTTCTAACAAATTTGAAAAACTTAAATTAATCATTTATAGCGCACAAAAAAATATCCAAAAATTCGTTGCGAAATTTTCTCAAATTCATAATAGATACTCTATTTTCCTTTTTTTTCTTGCAGAAATCCGTTTCGGCAAAATAAGGACTTCAAAAATTAAAAAGCGTTCTAGACATGATTTAAATTTTAAAAAAATTCAAACAAAACCCGGTTCTATGAAGCATATGAATTTGTTTAGCTAAATAACTACGAAAGAATACCGTTTTGACATTCATTTAATATCGTGCAAGTTAGAAGGTCTCCATGCAACAACCTCCAGCGACTGCCGCAATATAGGAGATATGAATTTTAAAAAAGTTTACCGATATCCCTCTTAGCCTCATCTTTAGTACTGTTTTCATTGTAAATGACATCTATATCGGTAGAAGAGCCTTTCATGACCATGTTGCGTATAGTTACACTTTGCTTAAAAAAATATCAAAAAATTATAAATAGGTGTCAAAGATCAAAACTTGTGTAAACAATGACTGTTATGTTTAGAAAATTAGGATGTCGTAAATAACCTTTATTTTTATTATGATTTAAATTATTTATACTTATATTATTATTTGTATGTTTGTTTCCATAAAATGTAATAATTCATTAATAACAGAGTTGTTAAAGTATCTAGATATAAAAATGTGGTATCTGTGTCTAGATAAATTCTTGATTAAAGTTTCTGTATCTGTATCAAGATATTATTTTAGAAGTATAACTATCTGTTTTTAGATACTTTTTAAGATACATTTTGATATACTTTTATTTAACGCTTTTTTATATTATAAATAAAAATAATTGAGTGTAAAATTTATTTTATTTCATATGAGCATATAAATTAATATTAATATATATATTAAAAAATTATATATATATGTAAAATATTAAAACTTATATATAAAAAAGAATATATAAATATTAATTAAATATTATGTCCGAGTTATCAATAACAAGCAAATTCTGATATCACAATCCATCATAAGGAATTTGCCATTTTTAATTGCAATGAAATTGGTATTTTATTTTATTCTATTATATTAATTTTTAAGATTAATATTGATGACAAAAATGACGACATTCCATGGCCAATTAATAGACCATATTTTAAAATAATATCTCAAAATAAAGAAAACAAATCTCTGTTAGTATAATGTTTGCCATGTCCAAAAAATATGAAAATCTCAGTTAGCATTACCTCAACTTGCAACATTGTAAAACAAATTTTAAGAGAAAACATCAAACACTCTTAATCCAAATAAAAAAGGGGAAGGAGAAAAAATTTATTAAAGAAAATATTGGACTAGGCTCATCATCCATTGATTTTTTTCAAGAGACCTCAGACTTTAACCCAAACCATTTTTGATGATTTAATATCTGATTTTATTATAGATAGCATTCAGCCATTTTCAATTGTTGCAAATCCATCATTTATAAAAATGATCAAAACATTAGCTCCACAAAAAAATATAATTTGCAGACAGACAGTGGTTGCTAAAATTTCCCAAAGATGGGAGAATGAAAAGAAAGAAATCATTAAAAGTCTAATAGAACCATCGTTAATATGCACAACAGCAGATTGTTGGAGTGCCTATCGCCGGTAAACATATTTCCCAGCTCTATATTAAATTGAAAAATTTTAAACAAATGAACATGAAATTTTGTTTACCACTCTTAAATGCCTTACTTAAAAAAATTGAAGATAGGTAAATTAATAATAAATTTATCAGTATTTAATAATTCTAGGTTTATTGGGACAATTTTTGAAGATGAAAATATTTTGGCAACTATGCTTCATCCTTTTTTTAAACTAGATTGGACATGGTTGCAAATGGATGAAAATTTTAATTAAAAAAACAATTAATACAAAGATTAGTTGAGGAATTATCAAAGTCTTCAAATGAGTGCAAATTAACCTGTGAAAAAAAACCAATAATTTAATATCCGATTTTTTTCAGTATCCCACAGCAGGAGATATGATTGTTAATGATTTAAATTCTGATAATCAACAAATTTTATATAGTTTTTTTTTTAAATGAATGCCGAGATTTTAGTATTTTTAAACTATATCCTGATATAAAAATGTTATTCATTAAATATAACACCACAATCCCTTCCAACGCTCCTGTTGAAAGACTTTTTAGTATAGCTAAAAATGTCTTTACAGATAAACGAGGATGTCTTAAACAAAAATTTTGAAAATATTTTATTACTGAAATCTAATAATTATTTATAATCATTTAATCATATATTATATTATTTTATTAATGATATATAATAATTATTTATATTAATCATATATTATATTAATATCTAAAAATCATTATTTTAGTTATATTTTGATAAATGTGATATCGAGTCAATAAATTTTTTAGATCATTTCATGAATTTTCACAATAGAATCCTAATTTAGGTTTATTCAAACCTTATCTAAGAGTATAATAAAAAATGTATCTGTACCTAGATACATTTTAAATTGTATCTGTATCTAGATAACTTTTTAGAAGCTGTATCTGTATCTAGATAAATTTTTAGACTATGTATCTGTATATGTATCTAGATCCATTTAAAAAGTATCTTTTAACAACTCTGATTAAAAACTACAACTAGCTCTACAAATCCATATAAATAAATGTTTCTTTGCATTAATCAAATAGGCTCTAACGCTAAATATTCATAACTTTCCTATTTTTTACAAAAGAAGTAATTTTTTTAAATATTTATGTCCTTCATTCTCCATGAATAGCCCAAATTTTGGATTTACGAATTTAGTAATTTAAGTGGAATGAAACTAATATTGAACTTGCTAAACAAATTCTTTTAATAAAGGAGAATTATAACTAGAAGGTTGCCTTGAATAGGTTTTATCTTATTTTAATGGAATGATCCAAAATATTTTTTAATATTGGGTATCCGCCAATATTTTCAATAGTCCGATACGTATATAATGGTGTGGGAAAAGTGTCTATTAATGATACAATGTTAATATTGAATCATAGAAAACATTTATTTTATTGATATATATTTTTTTGATTTATCTTTAAACATTTTTCCAATAATGTTAATATTAAAAGAATTGGATTGACTGATGGTAAAATCTAATGACATTAAAATCCATAAAAAGTGTACATATATGAATTATGCCTTTCAATGGCGTCTACTACAGCCATGACATTGACAGCAGCTGATTTTAATGTATATACATTTTTAATAAATGAATCGTCAGATTTTAACATTAATGATAAAATCAATAGATCGGCCTATAAAGATGGGTTAATTGAAACACCTTTATTATATAACGTATGAAAGAAAAAATATGAGATAAAGTGAATAAATCATTATAAACTTTTTTGGTTTCATAAAGTGATACAGCTATTGAAATCGTTGTGATAAGTATTATACAAGAGGCGTAATAATAATAATGATCGCAGAGCCATAAGACGACGCTGAAAATTTGAAATGCGTAAAATGGAGAGACTATCTATTCATGTTATGTTTTTTTTAAATAAGAGATTAGAAATTAATAGAATATGTCTAATATGAGCATATCTAACCCATTATTTTTTTAAAATATATATGAGTGCTTAATTTTGGTGTCATTGTGTTGTTATTTCAACTTTAAATGATTCGTAACACTTTTTTTTAATTTTAAAAATCTGATTTTACCCGAAATATATTACACCTACCCTATGAACTTTAGCAATTTTGTCGTTAACTTTTTTTGAGTAATTTATAACTTATATAAAAAAGTTTCAAAAATTCGCAAAATTTTCTAAAAATTACAGAGTATGTTTTATACAAATGCTAGTATATATTTCAAGCAAAATCATATTTTTTTAATTCAAAAAATGCGCTTCAAAAATTATTTAAAGCTGAAAAAATAACACAATAACGCTAACATATATGGATTTTTTTGGTAACCAATGTCATTTTTTAAATGCCTAATGTCCCCTATCCGATTAATATTGTAAAAAGGATATTAAGTATTTGAAAAATGACTATATGCGCATTATACAATTTAAAATTGTGATAAAAGGGAGTACCGACCTAAGTAATTTTAAAAATGTTCGGTTAAAAAATATATTGCCTATTAATTAAGATAATACTTGTCCGACTCAAGTTAGAAAAGGGGGAATATTATATTTATAATAAAAAATAAAGCATTACAATACCTCTTCGAAAAATAAGGTGAAATAGGATTTTATTTCAATTTCTATTTCATTTGGACCGAATATGTGAGATCTAAAAATATGTTAAAGCCAAATATAAAAATAAATGCTTATTTTATAATTACAAAATATTACTTAATTAGTAAAATTTGAAAAAATATATAACTGACCTTTGAACACGTTCTTGAGGAATTAAGCCATGAGAATAATCTTCAACTATTTGATAACACAGTAACTTTTTGTCTATGCCTCTAAAACAATGATATTTTTTAAAAAAGGCAGACTAAATAAAAACGAAAGTTGAAAATTTTTTTTAAAAAATGTATCAAACCTTGGTGATAAGAATTATAATTCTGCATTCACAGTTAGCGCAAATTCGCGGCGAAATGTATAAAATACAAAGAATTATAATTCTGCATTCACTCGATGTTAATATTTAAAATATTTCCATGGTAAATAAATTTTATACTCTAATCTTTGGAAGTTCTGGGCATGAGGATTCCAATAGAAACGGGAAAAGTGGAAATCAAAATAGATAAATTTGAAGGACCCCGTCTATAAAAAATAAAAAAAATTTTAAAAAGAATGTAAAATAAATAAAAACTATGCATTTTATGATTTTCTATAAACATAATTTTTTTTAAACTTTAGGATCGATATAATCATGTCGAACTTCAAAATCGTCTGCTTCAAGGTATGTAGATATATCATTGCTAACATTTTTAAATTTGCAATTTTTCTTTTTGATTTCAATATCTTGAGGTAGTAATTGACACAAACTAAAGTTATATGTAAGGTATTTAATAATAATAATAATTAGAATGACTATAAGTAAAATATTGAAGGCACTTATTGAAATTTTAACATCACAGATACAATAATAAATTTTTTTATGCTACCAGTTTTAATATATTCTTATATTTAAACAAATTAAATTTTAAAAAGCTTAAAAACTAGCAGAGGGTTAATATCATATTTTAATAAAATTAATCAAAATAAAGAATGATCTTTTGTTTACATTTCTGATTGAGAATCCACAAAAATGATCTTCAATGGAATGACATACTTGTGGCCGGTTTTATTCTAGAAATTTAAGTATATTTAGTAGTGTATATTTCAAAAGTATATTAGCAGCTCCATAGGATATGTATATATATGTCTGCCATATAAATGTAAGGGTTGGAAGAAAGAGTGGATAGACGTAACCTAGCGTGCTTGTATTTTAAAAGGCCACAAAGAATTAAATAAGATAATCTCGAATAAATTTAATTTAGCTAATTAACCAAATCGCCTTGAAGCAGTACACCCATCATCCGATAGTAAAATTTAACCTTAGCAAAAAATTGAAACCGGACCGGGCAAAACAGATTATATTTTGCTGATACTAAGAATAGTTTAGATGCAATTTACTATTAGTAATTCTAGTTTATAAAAATATTAATTCAATTAAACAATAACAAACATTGTGAGTATTAAAATTAAAAATTTTAATTAAATTTTATACAAGAATTAGAATATATTAAAATTATTATAAATCAAATATTAATATTGATAACATAACTAATAAAATTTAATGCTTTTAAGTCAATTTAATATTTCTAATTTAACCGGTTATTCGCAGTGGTGTCACTAGTGGGGAAGGAGAATTTGAAATTTTTTTATATCTAAAATTTTTTTGAGCCTCCGAAATTGGAAATTTTTTTATATCTAAAATTTTTTTTGAGCCCTCCGAAATTGTAAAAGCGCCACTGGTTATTCATAAATTCGACAGTATGATCGATTAATGAGGTATTTTTTACCAAGGCTTATGATTTTTTTTAGTATCAATTTTAAATCAAAATAGAGATTTCATTAATTTTTATATTAAAAAATCACGATTTTTACCAACCCCACTAAAAACTAGATGGTCAATAAATATCCCTTGGTTTAGAGTTGACATTTTATTTTGAATTTCACGTGTGTTATCCTTTATTTCTCCAAAATTTTATACCCGATCGTATCGGCAAAAAGATTATAAAAATTAGAAAACATCTTATAAAATTTTTATTTCATTTTCAATAGTTATTTTAACAAATTGTGGTCTATATTCAAGATTTTAAATAAAAAAGATGGCTCAAAATCACTGAACGTAAGGTAAATTTTAATCCTGAAGTTAACTAATTCCGAGAAGAGATATGTGTCTCATAGTTTAGAAAAATCTGGGATTTTAGCAAATCTTTAAAACTTAAATTTTAAAAAACCTGATTATGTCGGTATCGTACTCATTAAATTTTTTTTAAAAATAAACAAAAATTTATGATAAAATTGTCAGAAATAGTCCGGTAAAAATTCTAAATTTTTAAAAATCTTGCGCTATTGATTAAAGTTTTTAAAATTTGATAGAAACAGGGCTCAATGAACCATAAGTCCTGAATTAATTCCTTAAGACATATAGTAGTTAGAACCTTGAGCTTCTATGTTAGGCCTCGTTTATAGTAAGCTCGCTTCACGCAGTCATAAATTTTACCGATAATTGCTCGCTTTTAAAAAATACTCAACGATGTGTGTCGCATCGCTTGACCCAAAGGCGCTTACTATAAACGAGGTCTTAAGGATCGAAAAATAGTATATAATTTTAAAAAATTTAATATTAAAATCAAATAGAATAAGACTCGGTTTTAGTTTTTATTTTAAAAATAAAGAAATAATGAATATCAATACACTTACAAAATCACTATTAAATTTATTTTCACAAGAAATATTGGTAACTCACTGAACTCGGGAAAATTTTTAATATTATTTTTTTTATTAAAAAATAACAAATATGCGATCGCACAAATCTTAAAATTTAATATTTTTTCAAGTTATAACAATCTTAATCAAAATGGATATGACCATTACTCGGTCAATCACAGCAGAAACTTTATAGACCCAAATGATATATCGAACCAACTCAATGTTGAGCGTTTATGGAGGGATTTTAAGGCGGAAGAAAATCTTAGTGTTGTTAAACGGCTCGTTTTGAGCCGATTTTTAAAAACGGCTCACTCAATACCTCATCCAGAAAAATATTACCCAAGCCTGAAGATTTTGCTCATAGAAGGAACAAATGTCTAGACATATATTTTCGAAATCTTGAGGCTTAGGCAATATTTTTCTGGCTAAAATATTGAGTTAGCCGTTTTTAAAAATCGGCTCAAAACGAGCCGTTTAACACTAGAAAATCTTCCTCTCATTTATATATACGTGAATATTCTTATTTTGGTAATATTAAAAATATGTCAAATTTAAGTAAATTAATTAAATTTTTAAATGATATAAATTTATATAAAACTATTTTTTTCCAAATTATATATATCTATTATCAGTTTATATATTATGTTTATTTAAATAAATTGCTTAATTATCTAGTATTTGATTGAATAGTCCTAATTTAGTAGCATCCAATATAGCACACGCCTTTTAAAATTTTTAAATATTTATACTCTATTTTTAATGTAAAATTAAAGAATTGTGAAAGTTTTCACAAAAAAAAATTATAGTCCTCATTAATATAGCACAAACCTTTTCCATAAAATTAAAGAATTGTGAAAATTTTCACAAGAAAAAAAATGAAATTCTTAAAACTTTTGAGTAATGAAACTTTGAATTATTATTACATCAAAAAATTTTCACCCATATCCACACGATCGCATATTTATTTTTTTTAAATAAAAAAAAATATTTAAAATAATTTTTAAAATTTCCCCGAGTTTCAGTGAGTTATCGAAACATTTTAATTATTATATTTACTTTACTTATTAGGTAAATAAATATCTTTCAAAATATTAATATACGAGTTTTAAGTTAAAATTACATACATCTTCTAATATAACACATCCCGCATCTTCGAAACCGCATTTTTTGTATGTAAATCGAATTTTCCAAACCGGTTTTAGGAAAATAATTAGCCAAGGAATTCCGAAAAGTATTACACTCAAACAATAAGACGCGTAAGTAGATATCTTGCATTTTCTATAGCCTGTGCAATCCTATTATTTTATTTATTTTCCAGTAGTATAAAAAAATTGATGATATCTATAATATTTAGACAATTAACCCTTCATTGATTTAGCAGAGGAACTAAGCTAAGAACATGAGCTGAAGGAAAATAAAATTTAAATGTGGACTGAGCAGGGAAGGCTCGAATTCAATTAGACCCTGGACTGATATCGGAGCCGGGTTAAAACGATTGAAATTTTTAATGGGAGGGGCTTGGACAAATATTTTTATTTATTATTTCCTTGATTTTATATATAAATAGAGACCTGTAGACCAAAACCGGCCCAAGTATATGGGTCGGGCCATATTTTAATTTTATAAATATACCCAGGCCGGACCGGCCCGAAAATTTTGTTTTAAAAAATACCCGGGTGGGGTCGTATATTTTAAAACCGAATATTTTAAATCGCCATTATATAAAAATTAAAAATAAACGTAATGTATTTTAAAAAAATCCGGGCCGAGCCTGAAAATATAAATCTCGAGCTGGACAAGGCCGGAAAAAAATTTTTGAAAAAAATCCGGATCGGGGCCGTGCAAATAGTACCTCTGCAGGTCTCTGATATACATATACACTGATCTAATTGTTATGTATTAAATTGTTTATTTTATTTTTTTATAAAATGTTTATTTTTATTATTTTGGAAATCTTGTGAATTTGCTACACAAAAAGAATGGAATTTTATGATAAAATACAATAAAGAAATATATAATTTGGCTAAATTACTACTAATATATGTTAACGGTAATACAAAAATATCTGTTGAAAATACTAATATGAATTAAATATACTTTAGGAATGACGCAAAAAGTCTAACAGATTCAAGCTTGTGTTACAAAGATGGTAAGACTTAAAGAATTTAAAAACATACAACCAAGGTTAATCATCACATGAAAAATCACTGTTATTAACAGTAGGATGTGATACTTACAAAATACTGGTAAATTTATGTGTATCTTATAATCCTGTAAAAAATGGTATTAAAAATAGATAATATATTAATCAAATTTTTTCATTTCAAACCTAATATAATTATAGAAAAATATAATTTTTATCTATACAATCAAAAAAATGAAAAAATAGACTATATATAGAATCTTCGAAAATTATCAATTGAATGGATATTTGAATACTGCTTTAAGAAATAAATTTATATTTGGACTAAAAAATTCAAAAATATTACAAAGGTCATTATCCGAGGATGATTTGAATATAAATAAGGCTATTCAAATAGCTATTGCGGTGGAAACAGCTATAAAGAACACAAAATTAATTCAAAAAGATGAAACTACAATTGATCAGTTAGAAGATATGATAAAAATATAATTAAAAAGGTTAATAATGATAAACTCAAAACAATATAATAATTATAATAGGAGTTAGAAAAAACCAAATCCCTGCCACTCCTTCGGCGGAAACCATAGAAGAAAAAATTGTCCTTTCAAGGATGCTACTTGATATAAATGAAACAAAAATTGGGCACAATGCTCGAGTCTGTAGAAAATAAATAGTGAATTTTATTAATAATACTACAAATGATATAATCTAGAATTTTGGGTGGTTATCAAAATAAACAACAGTGATATCAGACCTCTAAAAAATCAATGGAAATGGATAATTAAAATTTCCAATGATGACTGAAATACCTAAAGGGGCCATACAAATAAATAACATTAATATAAAAAATGAATTTCCTCGATTTACCAAAGAATTGAACTTTTTAAAAGATTTTAAGGCACAAATATATATGAAAAACGAGAACCAAATTTCAGTAAAACATCCCGTACCATACGCATTAAAAGAAGAGGTTGAAGAAATTTAGACAGATTGCTAAAATGAGGAGTAATAGAAAAAAATATTCATTCACTGCATCACCTGTAGTAATTGTTCAAAAGAAAGATAAAACATTATGAATTTGCAGGGATTTTAAAAGAACTATAAATCAAAATATTAATATTGATTCGTACCCAATACTAAGAATCCAAGATTTATTAGCCAGTTTAGAAAAAGGAGAGAAATTTTCAATATTTATCTCTCAGATGCCTATTTTCAAATTAAAATGGAGGAAGACTCACACAAATATCTTGTAATAAATACGCGTAGAGTATTATTTAAATATACAAGACTACCTTTTGGGATATCGTCTTCTACAGTACAATTTCGGGTCATCGATAATTTATTAAAAGGTTTTGAAGGAGTAGCTTGTTATTTAGATGATATTATAATAACGAGAGAAACACGAAACAAATTTAAAAAAGGTAGTAAAATGTCTAGACAAAAATGGTATCAACTAAAGATAGAAAAATGTAAATTTTTCAAACAAAATGTCAAGTACTTAGAACACAATATACAAAAAACGAGATTACAACTACAGAAAAAAATACGAAGTAAAAAAAAGCACCAAAACCAACTAACTTAAAACAATTAGAATCAGAAACATAATATTCAAAATTTATTTCAAATTTTACAGACAAAGCCAAACCATTATATAAATTATTAGAAAAGGCAGTAGTTTGGATATGGACAAATGAATGCAAAGAGGCGTATAAAAAAAATAAAGAAATAGTAGTATCCAATATTACAAAATTATGATCAGAAATTACCTATTATATTAGCAACAGATGTGTCAGCCATAGGAATTGTGGCAGTAATATCACATATAGAAGGGGGTAAGGGAAAAATTATAGCCAAATAGAAAGAGAAGCTCTTGCCATCATATTTGGGTTTACAAAATTCAAAGAATTTATATATCGAAAAAAGTTCAAATTTAACAGACCACAAGCCATTAATGAGTTTGTTTCATCTAAGAAAAGATATGCCCAAAACATCCACTGCCAGAATACAAAGATGGACTATATTATTAGCAGGTTAACAATATGAAATAGGATTCAAAAGTAGTCGACAAATAGCCAATGCTGACAGGCTATCTCAATAACCTATGCAGGGAACCACAATATCAAAAGAAGAAATACTAGATTAAATACAGGTAAACACCAATGAGTGCAAATGAAATTGAAAGAAAATACAAGATGAGGTACTCACTAACAGGCATGCAATAGAGGGATGGCCTATAAAATACGAACATGCAGGAGTATTAGACAAAGAGAGGAAATCACAAAAGAGAGAGAGAGGTTGTTTACTATGGAAAACTAACATGATAATACCACAACAATAAACGTGTTAGACATGATACATTAAGGACATATTGAAATGGTAAAAATGAAGATGAGAGCAAGACAGTACGTGTGGTGGCCTAATATAAACCAAGATATAGAAACATGGGTGGAAAAATGTAGAGAATGCCAGGAACAACACAATATGCCTCATAAGACATCAACTCAAAATTGGTCAAAACTATCATAAGCATGGCACCTATTACATATTGATTATGCTGGGCCATTTCAAATTCATTATTGGAAAGAAACGAGGGGTATTTATAAAACAGTTTAGCTCTTTTTTTCTACAATTACCGAAATATACTCGGGACAGAAAATTAACAAAGTACCGCTGAAATAATACAAAATTACCTAGAGGATTGTTAAACCATATATTAGAACAGGGGAACATAAAAGAGAAGTTAGAATACTACACAAAAATTCGAGATAAATGAAAAAAATGTGGTCGCGCATTTACAATAATAAAGAAAAAATGGAATGAAGCCATTATTAAAACGGACTAAGATATAAAGTATAGAGGGTAAAACGATTATACGTCATATTGATCAATTAAGGAAAAGAACCGAAAATATTTTAACCGAAGAGTACGAAGTAGAAGAGAGAACCGAAAGTAAACAAAGGGGACGTAGTAAACAATAACGATGAAATGAAGCTAAAGGAGAGGAAAGAAAATGATAGAAGTCAAGAAGCTGAAGGAAGTATTACACAATAGAAACTACTGGTCATTGGGGATAAATATTGTTTATTTTATTATTTTTGTAAAATATTTATTTTTAATATTTTGGCATTATCTTGTGAATTTGCTTACACAACAATTATGGGATTTTATAATAAAATACAATAATGAAATATATTATTTGGCTAAACTACTAATATATGTTAAAGGTAATACAAAAATATCAATCGAAAATACTATAAATATGAACTAAATATACTATACTAATAAAGTGGTAACATTAAAATCATTTTTTTATATAAATTTATTTATTAAGATAAAAAAAAGGAGATAATTAGACAATTTAAATATATATGAAAGCATATTATTTCCTCAAGATAACATTCTAAAGAGCTAGACTTGGTTTTTTTATATCTATAACTGTAGAACAGTTCTGGGCCAAATTTTTTAATTTATTTTATTCTGTGGAATATCGCTGACCTTTATTTGATCTATGGACTGGGTCCGGTATGACCTCATGATTTTGTAGATGATTGAATAACTTATTTAAATAACAATCATGTTAAAAAAGGTATTTAAAAAAAACAAATATTAATATTCTAAAAAATAATAGTATGTCTCCATGTTCTAAAAAATAATTTTATTTAGCAATTTTCTATATCTTACCTAAATTAACTATTAAGTCAACTTATCCTTTATGAGTCGTGCATCACCTTGAGTTTCCATGGAGAGTATCGTACAGAACAATGAGAATGGTATTGTTAATTTGATGATTTCCGATACCTCTCCCTTCTCGACAGATTTTTTTACCCCTATCGATTGATTGAGTGGCGATAACCACCCGCCCTCGCAAATCGTCAAAATATTTACAGACTGTTAACCCTATTTAACTATTAGACTTTTTATTGGTAAATTTCAGGAAATTCGTATTCAAAATGGATGAAGGCAGTTCATTTAAAATCATAACCTGCAGACAAAATTATATGAAGGCTAGAGGGGTGGTGGTATGCTTAGAATTATTTTGAACAATCGTTTACAATCTATTTCACAGGAGTTTCAGTTGTTTTTCAATAAAAGAACATTATTCAGAGCCATATCAAAATGTATCATTAAAAAATATATGAACAAGCTGAGAGAACTTTCTGCAAAGTCAAAGACACCTGGCGGATAAGACTCAGACTCAGATTCCGAAAATTCTGTGAGATAGATCGTGTGAACAAACATAGTGACATGTAATAATGCTCTACAAAAATGATGCTGGGCATAGGTAAAAACAAGCATTGATTATGCAGGATAAAATATATGCAAAGAGTTAGCATGTTCAAATGACAAAGTAGGGAAATAATGGAAAGTCTAATTGAGCTTGAAGAATTGGTTAGCTTAGATGCAAAACAAAACGACCTCATGCCGGCGGAAAGTCATAATACAGTTAAGAACAGTTTGTAAACAAATTGACTATTTGCAAGAATGGGCCCTGTAAATTGACAGGGATAAGAGAATCTGCTAAAAGTAATAAAGGTCTGCAATGGGCGATTTTTCAGACTAAACGCCTGCCCATTGTTTTTTAAAAAAATACCCGTTTTGTCTGACAGCCATGGATTCTTTTTAATTCACCTGCCCACCCATTCCAATAAATTGGTCTAACCTACCTGTCCATTGTTTTTAAAAAATAACTCATTTTGCCTGACCGCCATGGTTTTCTTTTAATTCACCTGCCCACCCATTTATCCAATAAATTTGCCTAACCTGCCACCCAATGTCTAAAATTATTTTATTGGTTGAAGGCTCTTTATTTATTTTAATATATTTAATACTAAACTTATGTAATCTGCAATATTATAAAGTTTAAAAAAATCATTTTTAACATGTTCTGCTTATTTAGCTCAAATTTTTAAATTCACTCCTCCCCACTCTGCTCAATGTTTTAAAAATATTTTTAACCTATTCATACCCCCTCCCCATCCAATTTTTTTGCCCGCCTAGAAATTAATGAACCAACTACTAAATTGTTCAGTGTGATGTACTTTACAGAAGTGCAGGATGATGCAATCATATATTTAATACATAGATTGATTAAAGATCCATCATCTTATGTCACTTTATTTGTCATAGGGTGTTTATTCAAATAATTGTAGATGAAATTAATAGTTTTTTGAGAAAAATTCCTTGCAAAACTCAAATAATTTTTTTTTCTTGAAATGATGATTCAATTAATATTTTTAATACTTATGTAAATTTAAACAAAAATTTATTGAATATAACAAACCATTGACATCAAGAGCTCTTGTGGAGTGCTTGCTTAGTAAAGCTAACACAAGTTCTAAATGAAATACGTGGATGTTTGAATGATAATGATTTAGATAAATTTAATTATAAATAAATATTTATTATTGTTATATTATTCTATTACAATAAATTTACACTATATTTAATTTATTTTTATATTATTTAATTTTGCATTGACCATAAATTTTTTGGAAATTTATAAAACAACGTGATCCTATTTATAAAACAACGTGATCCTATTTTCAAAAAGATGTACCTAGATCCTTTTTTGAAAAGATCATGATCAGGATTGGATCCTTTTAAAAGGATTGATTAACAAACTTGCATAAAATGTATTTTATTTATAATGTAAAACTATGTAGTGGAACCCATTTTTTTTTGGTTTGTAAAAGCCTATGGTAATAATAGGTATAGATGAAGAATAAGTTAGTTTATTAAGGGAAAAATTGGTATAATGGAAATGCTAAACTTATTATTATGAAACATATATATCAAAGTTCTAATGATGTTCATTTACATCATTTTTAGAACATGGAGATATTTTATTATTAAATTTTCTAATAAATATTTAATTTTTTTTTATATTTTTATATGATTATTATTACTATCAATAAAGATGTATTTTATCATATACAAAAGTAAGCTTACCAATTGACAACACAACATAAAAATCATTATTAAATTATAAAATTTATTCAAACTATAATGTATAGATTGGTGGCATTTTATAATCTAATGTTTTAAATTAAAATTCCCTGATATCTACATAAATTTAGAATTATTATAACAAATAAACTATATAAGATATCAATTAATGGATGTATTTCTATATATTATTGCCTATAAAAAGTTATTTTTCAAAAAAATTTCTTTATCAAATTTTATTAATTATAAAAATAAAAGATTTTGTCATAATATATAGAAAAAAAATTTATAAAAAAAGTTTCATTATAAATTAGTATCATTTTACCAGCAATTCTTTGTTATCAGTATCAAAGATTTGTGTTTTCATAACCCCACAACTCTCATCTATCAGTAGTGTGTATTTCATCTTTCCATTTTAATTCTTTATTTATTATAATTAAAAAAAATTAAATTTGTGAAATAATGGGGGTAAACATTATAATTAAAATAAAATAAGGGCTAATTAATAGAATTTGTTAATCGTAAACAATGTTTATAAATATTTGTATAATTAACGTAACTAGACAAACAGCTGGTCATCATGATAAACTTTAAAAAGCAGCGAATTATCGAAATTCTGTAATTAAAATAAATCAAGAACCCCTAAAATATTCTTTGATCAGAAATAAAGAACACAACGTAATTAAGCAAGTGTCCAAATATAGGGCATCGATTCTAGTAAGAATATCTCCCGATTAAATATATGTATGCGTCCAATAATGTAATTACTTAAAATCAAGGATGTATTACTGAGGGGAGGGCTAAGTTCTCCTGCTATTTTTTTTATTTAAGGCCTATATTGAGCTCCTTTCTTATCAAAATGTCAATATTTTTTATGAAGTTATACTTGAATCCTCTTTCTTTTTATTAATACAGTAAGTGGGGCTTTACACCCATTAAAATTATTTTAAATAATTTATAAACCCCACAGAAAATTGGAAATTTTAAGGCATATAGTGTTCACACCCTAAAGTGATAATAAGTAGCTCCATTTTAACAGTTTTTATTTTGTAAAGCACAAAAAGGATTAGACCTAAATTTTAAATGTGAACATCATCTAAGCCTCGATGAAGAGCTAGACCTATTAATAGCTCATTGAAAAAAAAACTGACCTGTGCCTCACGGGTTAGCAATTTTTTTTTTGACTGGTATGACTAAGCCGATTTAACAATATTGCAGTAAGTTTATTAAAATAAACCCTTATATTATAATATTCATGATCATATAAATATTATGTTGGTGAATATTTACAGATGTTGCTCACTCAGAAATTAAACTTTTATTTAAAAAGATCAATAAAAAATTTTAAAAAACTAGTAAGATAAAAATACATATAATTTATCTAGTAAGCATCATCCAGCCCTGTCTATTGAATAGTTTTTAAAACGAGGGTAAAATAACTTAATTTTTTTAATAAAATTACTATTTTGATTTAGAAATTTTTTCCGAAATACTGTTTATTCAAAAAAATAATTAGCCCAAGTTCCTAAAGAAGGGCTTGGATAATATATCTATAAAATAATTCATAATAAAAATTGTAAAATTTCGTTTCTATGAATACTTCATCCTGCAGTGCTGCCGAGTATAAAAGGGGCTTTCATCTTATAAATTTATCATGTAAATTATTGAGCGAATTTAAGAGTAAATATCACCTTTATCAAGGGTTATATTTTTTTATGTATATATTTATTCTTTTAGCATCAAAAAAATAAATAATAATGATAATTATATATACCCCTATGCATTAACCGCAAATAATTTGTAAAATAGAATGTTCTTAAATATTAATGGGCCTTCGATATCGGAATGGTTTCGAGATCTATGTTTCAACATATGGAATCAGAATCAGAGCAAGGAGCTTATTAAATCTTAAATAAAATAAGTAATAATGATAATAATAAAATACCCTAGGAAAAATGCACTAACCGTAAATAATTTGTAAAATCGAATATTCTTAAATATTAATTTCGATATCGGAATGGTTTCCAGATCCATATTTTAACATATGGAAACATAATCAGAACAAGGACCTAATTAAATCTTTTTAAATAAAATACAGAAGAAAACGAAGCGATGAAAGATTTATGGAAATTAAATACATTTAATGAATGAATCGTCAATCTAGCAATATTTGTAAGTCATTGTAATAATACTTATTAAACTTATTAAAAATCATGTTAGGGTTAGGGTTAGGGTTAGATACCCATATTTCTCACATATCAAATATTTTTTCTTACTCAATATTTTTAATGATATTACTAAAATTTTCTACAAGTTTGCACTATAATTATATTTTGAAATTACAAATATTTTTAACTTATTAGTATGATAAATTATATAGTCATATTTTTATTAACCATAAAAATAATAATTACTGATTATGATAATTATTTGAAAAATCAATTTTAAGTAAAACAACTACAGTCTAACTCGTTTAATTGCGAATTAGGACTTAAATATTAGAAAAATTTACATTTATCCGATTTTTCCCAATTATAGGATTAAAAATTTAATAATTTATAAATTAAAATTAGTTTGTGTCTTTCATAAAAGTATTTATCATCTATGTATATTTTAAGCATATAAACCATCAAACTTAGTACTAAATACATTTTTTAATTAATGTCTTAACTATATATATTTAAATTTGAAAAGGTTTCAAATCAAATAAAAAACATAAATTATAAAACTTTCTCCATGTTTAAGCATATGAATTTGATTTTACCCGCGTAAATATAAAGATACATTATTCAAATAATAATTATTATAAATACTATATTTTAATAAATTATTTTAAACATTGTAGACTTTATACATGTAAAGTCAACTTTTTTTTATCTTTAATTAAATTTTATTTATATGATACAATAAAGAAATTCTTATATTCCTTAATCTTTGTTAATTTTTTTAAAATATCTAGTAGCTAATTAAAAAAACATAAATAAAAAACAGGCCAGGCCTGTTTAAGTTTATTAAAAGTGTTTTGATCTAATTTCCATAATATTTGATTGGAAATTATGGTAAGTCTGAAACTCGGGAAAATTTATAATATTATTATTTTTTTTATATTTTTTTTAATTAAAGAATATTAAATATGAGATCGAGTGGATATTGGTGGAATTTTTTAGATGTAATAATAATTAAAGTTTTAAGAATTGCATGTTTTTTCGTTGAATTAGGATAATTATTGATATTTCAAAATTTTTGTGCCCATTAGTTGATTTTTTAAATATAATTTAACGTATAATATTTTTTTAAATTTAACAGATTTTTTCCCCCTTTTTATTGATTACATTAATTTTATCGAAATCATAACTTTATATACAAGAACCATGGCTTCTTTAAAAGATCATGTTTTATTAATCACAGTTGTTGTTGTTATAATATGAAATATGAGAAAAATGCTGCATCTTATAGAGTAATATGCTCAACATGTTCAAAGCTAATCTATATGCAAGAGTTTAATATTGTATTAATTTTTAAGTTTTATTTTATTAATTAAGCATTATATCTGAAAATTTTAATCTTCCTGTGAAAAAAATTAATCATCTATTATATCTTTTTGAGTCCACAGGACTTCTATAAGTGACAGTCTTCGTTTAATTGGATTGGCAAAAAGTATTATTGAAAAATGGTAAAATATATCTATAAAATTTGTCAATAAGTTTATGCAATATTTAGAAATTTTTTCTGCCCATTCACAGGCAGCATCTTTTGAAAAAAAAGGGGGCCCTGGACATGTGATATAAGTATACGAATCCCATATTTTTAAAGGGAAAAATAACACAGGGAGGATTTCAAAATCAAATATCATTTAGGTTGTAAATGAGATATCAAGGAATGATAGTATTTTATTGTTGAAAATGAAAAAATAAATAAGGAGACCTTTCTGGGCATAATCAGTAAGCTCGTCCATACTAATTTAACTATAAAATATTGATAAATCTTAAAATTTAATATTTTTTTCAAGTTATAACAATCTTAATAAAAATAGATATGATCATTACTTGGTCAATCACAGCAGAAACTTAATAGACCCAAATGACATATCGACCTATATTTAAGGTATTGAGAGTTTATGGAGATATCTTAAGGCGAGCATCCCCAGAACTGGAAGAAAATCTTCCTCTCACATATATATATATATATATATATTGTTAATTTCGTAAGTAAATTAAATTTTTAAAGGATATAAATTTATATAGAACTATTTTACCTTAAAATTATATATATTTATATTATCATTGTTTACATATTATGTTTATTCGAATAAATTAATTAATTATCTAGTATTTGATTTAATAGTCCTAACTTAGCAGTATCCAATATAGCACATGTCTTTTAAAATTTTCAAATAATATTTTAATGTAAAATTAAAGAATTGTGAAAATTTTCACAAAAAAAAATTTCCACCTATAGCCACACATGATCGATCGGATAATTATTATTTTTTAATAAAACAAAATATTAAAAATAAATAATTAAATAAAAAATAACATTAAAAATTTCCCCAAGTTTCAGTGACTTACTGAAATTATTTTACAGTATACATAATATGAATATAAAATAAAGATAATTTTTTTTTGTGATAAGAGTTATCAAAGACTTGATGATTAATATTATTATTCTATTCTTTAGCTTACTTAGGGAACATGTTCCCTTGGATTATCCTGTGCCTTTTCAAAAAAGGTATATCCATAAATAGCTTGATTTTTTTAGATTAAATTATCAGATATCTCTAGATTCCTTTCACTATTTTAGAGTTTTCATTACCTTCTACAAAATAAACTAATCATTTTAAAATAAAAAATAATTAAATTTATGAATTTTAATACTATTAATGTAAATGTATTAACAGGTCAGAATGAAAGTTTATTAATGCTTTGTGTCAGGCGCGTACGCAGGATTTGATCTAGAAAAGGGGGGGATAATAAAATTTTTTAAGAAATATAATTGTTAATTAAAAAAACTAACCATAAATTTATTAGGACTAATAACTTTTCTAATACACAATTTTAAATTAATGTGAATTACAAAAAAATTATAATATAAACCGGCATTGAAAAACTATAAAATAAATGTAAATTATAAAATATAAAGTGAATAACGATATGAATCACTTAAATGACCCAAAATTGAAATTTGAATTTTTTTAAGCCTTTAAAATATATAAAGTATTTAAAATTTAAATGTTGGAATTAACACACAAAAAGTTTTTTAGGAATAATTGTATTTTGAATGTTTTGATTTTGAGCTAATTTTTCAATTATCTATCCTTGCTTGGTGTTAAATGCCTATGAATATTCAAAAGATCCAAATCATTCAATCTACTTTCAGAAGTTGTATTTCATAGGTATGTTTTTCAGAGACTTGCAGGCCCGGCCCCCGAGCCAATCCGTATTTTAATTTTTTTAAACATACCCGGGCCGGGCCCGAATTTTTTTTTAAAAAAACATCAGGGCTGGGGCTGACAATTTTTTAAAAAAATATATCCGGGCCGAGCTGTATATTTTAAAACCAAATATTTGAAATCGCCATTATTAGCTATAAAAATCAAAAATAAATATAATTTATTTTTAAAAAATTCGGGCCAGGCTTGAAAATTTTATTTTCAAAAAAGCCGGACCGGGCCTGAAATTTTTTTTAAAAAAAACCCGTGCCGAAAAAAAATTTAAAAAAATCTTGGCCGTGCCCTGCAAATGGTACCTCTGCAGGGCTCTGTTATTCTTCTTAAAAAGAGAGTGTTCTCTCATTAGTTTACTAATGGGAAGAGTTGCTAATATATATAACCATTTTAATGCATTGGAAATATGATCTAAAATAAGTTTGAAATACTGCAAAGCATCCATAGCATTTTTTGGGACTGTATCAACCATAGTAGTTACTAATATTTATAACCATTTTAATGCATTGAAAATATAATCTAAAATAAGTTTGAAATACTGCAAAGCATCCATAGCATTTTTTGGGACTGTATCAACCATTAATCTTTTAATCATAGTTATTCAGCTAATAAGGCATCATAAGATATTTTAACATCTTCATGATAAATATCTAACAAATATTTATTTTTTTCTATCATTTTCTGAAAAAAGTTGGAAAGGCTTTTGTGGAAGTAATATCTGCAGATTTGTAAATGCTGCATGATGAATTAAAAACCATTCATTTATTTGGGTTATAAATGTATCTAAGAGAGGGGACATTTGTTTTATAATACTCTTCTACTGATTCTATATTAATGTTTTGAAGATGTTCTTGGTCAATGTCATGTTTTTGAAAAGTATTACATAAAATAGTTGTATAATTAAATAATACATTCTAATGAGAAAAAAAATTTGGAGTAAGTATTGAATCCAATAATTTTCTTGCTTCTGAGGAAATATTTCCTTCAAGCCATTGTGATATCAGTAATAGCATTAATAATCGGCTCTTCTAACTCTATAAAAGCTGTTACTTATTGATGGCGGAGACTCGATCTCGTTGGACAAGCTTGCAATTTCTTTCTCCCTGCTTTACAAAGAGTTTCAGAGATATTTATTATTTGACTAGAAATTTAAATAAATAATACGCCTCTAAAATTTGAAAATAATAGGTAAATTACGCCAAGGAAAACTTGAAATCGAAATTAATTGATAAAATAACTTAGTAGATGAATGTGATAAATAAATGTAATTAAATATCTATATGAGATAGGAATAAATATTAACAAATATAAATTAATATTAACAATAATATTTTTGAAAAATATAATCCGGCATCGGGATTTGTCCCCCTCCCCCCCCCCCCGTTGCGTACGCGCCTGCTTTGTGTATTAACAGAATATTTTATTTGATCTTATTTTATTATACATGTATCATAATTATTAGAAAATAATGCAGGATTTATTAAAATAAATTTTTATTAGAATTTGGCTAGACTCTGGAGTAAATAATTCTTTTTCTACTATATTCTCTAGCCTTCTTAGTGAATCCTAGTCCTTAGATGATCATGACTATTAGCTCGGGGGCCGGGCCTGCAAGTCTCTGAAAAACATACCTATGAAATACAACTTTTGAAAGTAGATTGAATGATTTGGATCTTTTGAATATTCATAGGCATTTAACACCAAGCAAGGATAGATAATTGAAAAATTAGCTCAAAATCAAAACATTCAAAATACAATTATTCCTAAAAAACTTTTTGTGTGTTAATTCCAACATTTAAATTTTTAAAACTTTATATATTTTAAAGGCTTAAAAAAATTCAAATTTCAATTTTGGGTCATTTAAGTGATTCATATCGTTATTCACTTTATATTTTATAATTTACATTTATTTTATAGTTTTTCAATGCCGGTTTATATATTATAATTTTTTTGTAATTCACAGATTTTTTGTAATTAAATTATCAGATATCTCTAGATTCCCTTCAACTTTTTCAGAGCCTTCCTAACCTTTTATAAAAAATAAGATTAATCAAAATTATTGAAGTAATTAAACATTCCAATACTAATCTTATTTGATTACAAATGCCCCGATCCTCCAATATACCTGACAGCTTTATGGGATCAAATTTATCTTGTTCTTTGGTGAGTGCCATATCATCCTCCGATTCTCAATCAAATGCCATACTTATCAAAACAATTAGCTTCAATAAAGCATTTTATGATTATGGTACTTGTCACCCAAAGCAAATTTTATAAGATAGAGGCTATCAAAAAGTGTAAATCTTTTATAAAAAGTGGTGGTATCTTACCTTCCATCAATGTTATCATCTTTCTCATGATACTCTTTCTATAATGACATTTGAAGTTCCTAATTGCACCCTTGTCCAAAAATTGAATTAGGGATGTGGTATTTTCTGGTAAAAATAAAATTAATTTTATATTATTAAATGTTAGTTTTGTTTTGTTTCATTAATGAGGAATTCCATTCTCTTAGGATATCTTCAAAAGTTAAAGTTCATCCAATCGCTTTTATTAGAGTAGTCTTTCACTGGTAATTTTTATTTTAAAAGCACGGGTTTTTAAATTTTCCTACAACATATTTTTTTTTATCAGATCCATCCCCATTTATGATAAATAGAACTGAGACCTTTTCCTCGTCTGGTTTGATGCCCAGTGGTTGAGTTCCCCTAAATTCCATGGTCCCCTTTGGGTGCTCGGTAGTATAGTCATGTCTCATCACAATTGTAAATATTACTCCTTTGATAATCTTTAATTAAAGATGGTAGTGTATTTTTTCTCCTTTGCATTAATAAAATCTGCACTCCCTTTTTCATTGCAAAATGAAAATTTATATTCTATCTTTTCCTAAATCTCCGCAACCAGCTGCTAGTAGGAATGCTTATTATTTTTAATTATACATATTATAAAAACTTAAATTTACCTTCATTGAATGTTTGGCCAAAACAGCTTTTTTTCTAACATCACTGGCTTATTTAGAATGCAATACTTCGCATTTAGGTAAACCAAACCAATAAAGTTGCTTCTGTCTTTGGGTACAGCTCATTCTATATTTAATTGCAGGGGGTTTATTCCTTAGAAATTGTGAGTATATATTTGCTTTATTAGCTTCCAATCTGTAAATTGTGGATACATGATATTTATAACTTAACGCTATTTGTGTTTTTGAAGTAGTGTGTAATTTTTCAATGATTCCCCCCTTTTTGTTTGAGGGTTAACGTTTGGAATGCTGTTTTATTCTAAAAATAATTTTAACATGATTATATTGTTTAATAAAATTACCATTCTTGTATAAAGGTGAAGTTCATATAAAAAAGATCACGAATAATTTTTTATCGGTAAAATATTTATATTTTATCACTTATCCTATTAAATTAACGTTATTGTCATAAATGGAACCTGAAAAATTTCGCAATTATCCGATATTGTAACCTATTGGCAATTATAAATGTAATTTAACAAAGCGATATGCAATTAAACGGTTTTGACTGTACATGCTGCATTTAATTTTGTTAAAAATTAACATCCTGGCATCTTACGCCATCATTCTTAAATTTGTATTCTAGCCAACGCTAAATGTTCTCGTCATATTTTATTTAGATTTATTCTTCGTGCGTACAAATTTAGAATAATATCGAATAATAACCTTAGGCTATTGAATTTAATTAAAGTTCTATTGCAAGAAAGTAATTTCTTATTTAAAAATATAATCAAGCTCATAATCTGTGTCTGTTTACTCATAATATTATATATTTAAAAATTTTATTTATTATAAAAATTGGGTAAAAACAAATATCAAATTTAAATTTTGTAATAATTTAAATTTTAGGTAAAAAAATTAATAATTATTTTTAAAAGTCTATGAATTGAATAATACTAATTTAACAATATTATATTTTAACTAACTAAAATAATATATTTATAAAGCTATGAAATATTATTAATTAAATGAATAATCAAATTCATTGTATAAATTAAATACTATAGACACAAAATGTGTAGAATTTTTACGTAATATTTAAAAAACATTTTCTCTCAATAGAATAAAAACAGCTATAATACGTACGAAATTTGTATGAAATCACACAAATAAGATCTGTATATAATTTGGTGTAAAATGCAGTAGTCAATATTTTAAAAAATTAAACTTAGGGTTTTCTATGATAGTGATGTAGCTGGTTAGTTAAATTTATTTGAAGTTATAGGTGCTTTGTACAAATATAAATAGGGGAAAATAAAAATAATTTTAAAGATGTTAAAAAATTGTGTTTGGCTTTGGGTGCTCGAAATGAATTTTTTTATTGTAACTTAATTTTTTAAAACTTAGGTTTGAAAATTCTTACAATAAGAAATTAAAGAGCGAGTGATATAAGAAAAGGAAGAAATTTTATGGTTTCAAAAATGTCTGATTCCGTGAAAGAACCAATCGAGTTTGGTAGTCCAAGCGCCACCATAGGCCTCTGCCAGTCTCTTCTGAAAATAATCCAAAGCTTTTGTCTCGTTCTTTTCCGGGAGAGCCATGGTTTTGATCAAATAATCGATATCTGACTGGTGCTTGAGTTCGGGAATGCCAGCTCCTAGCATAAGGTTGAAAGGTTTGAGGATTAACTGATTGTGTCGACGGATCTTAAGGTAAGCTTGGCCGCACAATTCTTGAAACCTTGATTTTGTTCGTGTAATAAGAATTTTATTTTGGAAGAAAGATAACATAGAAGGATTACATTTGACACAGCCTCTAATGTGAAATTACATTTATATGTCTAGTATCGTGAGCTACTTTCTTCCTTTTAATAAATTCAATTTTGCATTTCTCAAATTGATTTATCACTTGGTAAATTTAAATAAAAAGATATAAAGGAATTTATTAAATATCCCTGTATCCTTTTTGGTATTCATTTCAAGTAGTGTAATGGCTTTTTAATCAATTCCATCTATATTTATTTACCAGGTATTTCTCTTATTTGATTTTGCATGATCTTAGTTAGTTCCTTCATATAATTTGAGGAACAGTAAAGGGTCTATCACTTACTTGAAGAATGATTTTATAATAACCTTATATATAAATTTAATTTCGCTTATTTAATTTACTCTTTTCTTTCCCTTCTTACTTATTATCCCCCCATCTTAATTTAAAAAAATATATATCACTTCAAAAATTCCTTGCTTCTTGAAGCATTATCAGCCCCCTTAGCTATTACCCTTATGAAATCTTCTGTTAGCACAAATGGCACCCTTTCCCTTTTGATCCCATATTTCTTTTTAACGTGGTGAAGGAAATGTCCAAAATCTATGTGAAATATCTGAAAAAAGATATGGTTTATAATAACAATATATTAGGCTGCATCCTAACTGAAATGTTCTTTGTCCGAATATTTTGATCAATCTTATTGCTAGTAAAACGAGCAATTTCTAACATACCTTTTTTTTTAATAAATGGGATAATTTCATATAGGATAGATAATACATAACATTCATTTATACAACGATAATCATTCATACATATAACAATAATAAGGCCGGATATTTAATTATAATAGATCTTTCTACATAACAATAATGTTATGCATAACATTACCATCCGATATTGTACATACATAATCATTATAAATCATATCTAAAACGAACATACTAATTCATAATATATATAAATAATATAATACCACATATTTCCATTCAATATTATCTATATATGTATTATAATGCATCCTCATTACTACATTTCCCCTTCATTAATTAAACGGAAGCTTACATCTCCTAGAGGCATCAACGACCTAATATTTCTCTTAAAAAATCGTTGCCTTTGGTTTCCATTTACCCGTCTGGTAATACCTTTTTTTACACCCACTCTCAAAAGACATCAATATTATCTGCCTTGATACAATAGATTTTATCTAAAATATCAATCTCTTTTCCTTGTTGATTGATCTCCCACCGGAGCATCAATGTCGACGAATCTCCCTAAGTATCCATATCAATTCTATTGTAGATTAATCTCCCACCTGAGTATCAATATCGACAGATATCCCACCGAAGTATTCTTATCGATTTCATTGTATGCTAGATCTCCCACCGAAATGTCGTTATCGAGTCTATTGTCGATTGGTCGACATTGTGCTTGAACGGCCCACGAGGTTTTTACCCGAGCTGGCCAGGAGATCGCATTCATCCTTGGATGACCCACGAGATATCCATATCCCTACATCGCATAAGTATCATTAGTACTTTAACCCAAATAGGGCCACTTCTGGCTCACGGAAGCCCCATAAATTTTTGCATAGGTTATGTGATTTGAAAACCCAACATCCCATAGTACTTATATAATTATGTTTAAATTAGCCAGGTTTCTTTATCGCATCCATTTTGCAAATGTCTATATTACCATAGTTCATAAACCCAATCTCCATGTAATTGTCACTTTATCATTAGTAATAAGTTTTTCCATAAAATTGTTCCATTTTCACGAAGATATCAATTTCCCAAAATTAATTTCCATATCCATAATTTTATATCATCACTATTTCAAATCCTTAATAAATTATATTATTATCAAAAGATTTCCAAATATTCATAACAAAATTATTCATTTAAAATATATCATATTTTTATCATTCTTATTTTTAATAATTTGAATATACTTCAATCTTCTGCAATTTCATTCTATATTTAGCTTAATTAGCATGAACATACCAAATTAGCTATTTCTTTGAACCAAAAATAATTTGCCATTAATACCATCATTCACCCATATGATTTAATCATTTTTTATCTTTTGCAAATTCATTCAACCAATTTTTGTCAGCAATTATAATATTCATTACTTTGTTCATGTTAAATCAGATATAATTGTTCCATTCATTAATCATCATTCGTATTGTTCAAAATAATATCATAATATATAAAAAAAAAATACTTCAATGTCGATTTTATAATGTATTTCATATTATCAGGTTCTTTGTCTCGTGGCCAAATTAATAAATGGATTAAAATCATGTAGAATAATTCATAACATTCATTTTTATACAACGATGATCATTCATATATATAAAAATAATAAGGCCGGGTATATAATTTAATTATAATAGATCTTTCTACATAGCAATAAAAGGCATTTAAACATTACCACTATTATACATATATATATAATCATTATAAAACATATCTAATTAACGTATATACTAATTCATAATTATAATATATTTACATTATATCAATATTAGCTATATATGTATTATAATGCAATTATACATGTAATTTCTACATTACTACACTTTTTAATACTCAATCTATATCTTACCATATGTGCTCAATACCAACAATTAAAATGGGCGATTTTATAATTTAGCATTGAAACCCTCGATCACTAATACGTTTTAGTTAGGATGCAACTTTTATTTATCTAATAATTTATAACTTTTTTATACTAATGCATTGTATATAAAAGATTTATATATTGTGATTTAAAATATGTGCTAAAATTTTGTGTGTAATAATTATTAAATATTGGAACAATCTGTAATAAATGGAAAATATCTTAAAGTTTTAGTTTCCACTATTATTTTAATGAATTATAATAAATTGATTAATATATTCTAATAAAGTAATTTGCACTTCTTTTATAATTATAATACTTTAACTTATAAAAAAATTAATTGATATTAAGTATAGTTTTTACAAAACTTAATTAATTTAGAAATGTTTCTAAGTAGTAAATTATTTAATTCAACCATTATCATCTGTAATGCAAGACATTTATTTGCACATAATCAATTACTGATATATTATTTATAATCTTTGACTCTCCCAAAATCCTACCTTAAAGACTTTTCGTGGCGGGGGAGTGGCAAAGTCTTTGGCGGCTAATGGAGGTCTAAAAGGTTCCCTGTGATCTTATCTAGAATAGGATCACCGTCTCCTCGACGGGGTGTAAAAACCACTTAAAGGGATTGATGTCAGGAAGGGCATCCGATTGTAAAAATCTTGCTATAAAATTTCCCTATGGTTACAAAAAAGCATGGGTGGGGTACACCCCAAAGTACCCCGTGGGCCTCCTCATCCGCCTCCGACAAAAAGAAGGATGGGAAACTGGTGGAACCACGACTCATGAAATGAACCTTATGACGGCTATAAACGACCGTTTACGGGGGATCGAGTAAGGGTAGCGACATGAAATGTTGGGAGTATGACGGGAAGAGCGGGAGAAATGATCGATGTATTGCATAGAAGGCATATAGATGTGTGCTGCATACAGGAGACCAGGTGGAAAGGAAATAGCGCAAGAATGATTAGCAAGACTAGTGAAAAGTATAAATTCTTTTGGCAAGGAAGTAATGATGATAAGGCTAGGGTGCAGAGAAATTGGTAGACAAAGTAGTCGAAGTGAGAAAGCTAGATAACCAGATAATGGTTATCAAGATGATTTTTATTATAATGCTATATAATATTATCTCTGCATATGTTCCTCAGGTTGGAAGAAGTGAAGAAGAGAAAGATATATTTTGGGACAGTCTATTGGGGGTGACATCGAGACTGGCAAATGAAGAGGGATTATCCTGACTGGTGATCTCAATGGACATGTAAGAGCGAGTAGTGAGGGTTATGAAGGAGAGTACAATTACGGCTTGAGAAATCTGGAAGGGGAGAGGATTTAAGATTTTTGTGATGCTATGGATATGATTCTCTGTAATACAATGTTTAAGAAAGAATCAGAGAAGCTTGTGACTTATAAGTCGGGTAGTAACAAAAGTATGGTGAATTACTTGTTATTAAGGAGATGTGATAGATGTATATTAAAAAATGTGAAAGTCATACCGGGAGAGGAATGTATTAATCAGCATCGACTAGTTATAGGAGATCTTACTTTTAAAGGGGCCACACTAAAAGAAAGTTTGTGCCATTACTGAAGGTCTAAGGTCTGGAAATTGAAGGAGGAGAGTGCAAGACATTCAATATGACATTGGCAATAAAGGAGGCGGAGGTGGCACAAGCATCTGGGGTAAATGACAAGTGGGAAGCAATGATGAAAGCCTGGGTGATGACAACTGAGGAGGTATGTAGACGGACAAAAGGGCCGCCTAGACATAAGGAGACTTGGTGGTGGAACCCGGAGGTGGCGAAAGCTGTGGATGAGAAACGCAGGTGCTTCAAAGAATGGTATAATGGTAAAGATAATAGTGATAACGATATTTACAAGATGGCGAAAAGAAATGCTAAGAAATTAATAGCGAAGGCGCAAGAAGAAAAAAGGCAGGAGTTTGCTAAAGAAATGGAATGCGCTGAAGGAATGGGAAATGTGGTTCGATTGACAAAGCAGATGTCAAAAAAGAGGCAAGATGTTGTAGGTGTTAAATGTTTGAAAATATGGAAGGAAAAATGGTGATTGATAGTAATGGTATTAAGAACACCTGGAAGATCTACATGGAAGGATTTTTGAACGAAGAAAATGAATGGGATAATGTTAATTGTGCAAAGGTAGAAGGTCCAGTGTGTAAATTTGGCAAGGATGAAATAAAGAGAGCAGTGAAAAAGATGAAAAGGGAAGGCATCGGGTTTAACAATGGTTGTATCAGAGATGTTTAAAGGTTCTGATGACTTAGGGATTGAATGGTTAATGAATTTGGCAAATCAAATTGTCACAGAAGAACTATTCCCGAGGACTAGTGAAGAAGTATATCCCAGTATACAAGATAAAGGTGATCTTTTAGATTGCGGGTCTTACAAAGCTATTAAACTCTTGGAACATGCAATGAAGGTATTTGAGTAGGTGTTAGAGAAACGGATAAGGGAACAAACTAAAATTGATGAAATAAAGTTTGGTTTTACATCGGGGAAAGGCACAACAGATGCAATTTGTGGTGTGACAAATACAGGAGAAGTATCATGTGAATGAAAAGAAACTGTATTATGCGTTTGTTGACTTGAAGAAAGCATTTTACAGGGTGCCGCGTGAGGTTACTAGATGGGCCTTGTGGAGGAATGGTTGGTTATCGCAGTGATGGCAATGTATGTGGGCGCACAAACAGCAGTACGGACGGATTATGGTGATAGTGAAAGCTTTGAAGTGAAGGTAGGACTTCATCAAGGATCCATACTGAGTCTATTATTATTTATCTTAGTAATGGATGTGGTGGCTAGAGAAATACGTGAAGGACTCCCCTTGGTGCTATTATATGCAGTTGACCTTGTATTAATGGCAAACAGTGAGGAAGAATTGAGGGATAAAATTAGTAAATGGAGGATAGCTATGGAAGGAAAGGGCCTGAAAATGAATATAGCAAAGACAAAGGTGATGATTGGTGGGGAAAATCTAAAGATGGAGGAATCCGGTAAGTGGCCTTGTGGTGTTGGGAAAGGAGTTGCTAGAAATTCAATCCAATGCACCAGATGCCATTAATGGGTACATAATAGATGTAGCGGGAAAAAAGAAAGTTTGATGTTATCAAAAATTACTTTTATTTGTAGATCGTGCATAAAAGGGGTACTTAATAATGATAACGTAGAAAATGGTGGTTTGGATATTGGCAATAGGCTAACCCTAGAAAAAGTGGATAAGTTTTGTTATTTGGGTGATATGCTAAACGCAGATGGTGGTGTAGATTCCGCCGTTGTTGCAAGGGTCAAACAAGCTTGGAAGAAGTTCAGAGGTCGTCTATTCCTACAAATAAAAAAAGTCTCTCTGAAGTTAAAGGGGAAAGTTTACGTAAGCTGTGTGAGGAGTTGTTTAGTTTATGGCAGCGAAACATGGGCAATGAAAGCGACTCACGAAGCCAAATTAGAAAGAACAGAGATGAGGATGATTAGATGGATATGTGGGTGGGGTATCTCTGAGAGAGAAAAACTAGCAAGAAATTGCGAGCAAGATTGGGTATAGAAATGATTGGAGTGGTAATGCGACGAAATAGAATAAGATGGTTTGGGCATGTGGAACGTATGGCAAAAAATGACTGGGTAAAGATATGCACCTTGATGGAAGTAGGAGGATCAAGACCTAGAGAAAGGTCCAAGATGACATGGTCAAATGTGATAGCGGCGGATATGAGAAGCATGAATCTTAAAAATATTGATGCTCAGGACCGTCAGAAATGGAAAAAAAAAATCTTAGAGAAAACTGGCCTACCTGGGTAAACTGGAAATCGCCATAAAACGGAGAAGAATTTATAATCTATGTATATAAAAAAGAGTGCTTTATTAAAGTCAATTGATTGTTTTCACAGTTCTAATAATTTATATCAGATTTTGATAATAATCATAAAGAGTTATATTTTCAAATTCCCTTTGAAACAATTTATAAAATTAAGGTAAAATCATTCAAAATAACGAAATTTTAAAAATTACGAGCCAAGCTGTAAAATTACAAAAACAGGATCGGGTCTAAAATTAAAATAGGGTTTAAAATTTTTTAATTGGTTTCTGATAAACTACACTCCATTCTTATATTTGTATATTTTGAGTCAATACTAAACTTATAAAGATAGCCTGATTCTTATATTAATTCTGCTCCCAAACAAACTTCTGATATAAAAATGATCTCCTCAAAATTGTAAAATTTGAACCTATAATGTAAATATTAGTCAAAACTTACTCCTCTAAGTGGTTACATATCGAAATTTCTTTAGTCAAGAGAAAAAAAATATCTATTCAAAAAATTAAATGGAGAAAAAGAAAAGATATAAATTAGAAGGAAGGAATAACTAAAATAAAATATGATGATGATACCTGTCCTTTTTCATTGATCATGATATTGTCTGGATGTCTGTCTCCAATACCCAATATAAAAGTAGCCACGCTATAACCAGCGCAGGATTTCGTGAATGTGTCTATCGCTTGTTCGTAACTTCAAATTGTTTTAAAAAATTATATTATCAATTAATTTTATGCAAGATCAAGCATTTGCGAATTAGAAAAAAAAAACATAAAACCATTAAAATGCTATATTTTTGTTGAAATGCAGTTAGGTAAAAAAAATTTAACAAAATTACTCTCAACCAGTCTGTCTGTCTGATAAAACCGTACTCCTGTTAATAAATATTTTGTGAATTTATAGGAAATGGCAAAAAAAGTTGATAAAAGAGTAGTTAATCGCTACTTTTAAAAGTAGCGCGCTACTGTAATCGCTATTTATCAAAAAAAAATTTAAAAAAATTTGTTTTATTTTTTGCTATATAATGTTATTGTATAATAAATATATAAAAATCAACATTTATAAAAAATATAGTTCGTTTTGATTAAAAAAAAATTATGTAATAAAAATAAATATTTATGGTAATTTGTTGCATTTTATAAGTTTTTACCTTGTGTTATGTGTCCAACTATCTGCCGTGGTACATATATATGATATCTCTGATAACTCTACTATTAGAGCATTTTTCATCACATTAAAGTTATCTGCTATTTTATTCATTAGTGTCTGGCAACATAAAATTGTTGTACCAGTAGATAGATTTTAATCATCATGATAAATGATGGATTATCAACCATGGGCATTGGCTGAACTGTATCAATTATAAAATCAACAATAACTATCAGCCAATTTCTGAGAAATATTGGCATTTGTATTATTATTTAATTTGGTTTGAATTAAATTAGTCTTTTTGGATGTAGAGTCGCCTATACCAAAATTATTTAGATGTTTCTCCATTTCCTTAAAACTATTGGCATGAACAGTCTTATAAAATAAATACTTTTAGAATGTAAAAATGACAATTTACCTTTAGGTGTTTCTTGAGGTTATAACTGGATTGATTTGAGGAAATATTTTTTACATTTTGAACTTTGAAGCAGTTTTGGTTTTTATATTTATTTTAAAAAAAATTTCAAATCTAGGGAATGGGAAATTTGTATTATGGCTCTTAAGAACATTTTCTTCCCTGGTATCTTCCATTTCATTAATATTGTAATATAAATTGAATTTAAATTGAATATAATATTAACTTTTCGTTTGTAAATTACATAATCTGAAGGATTGAATTCATGATATATATATACGTGATATTTTGTATTAAATTTACTTTTACTTACTTTTATTTAATAAAACACTTCATTGGCGACGATATTTTTAGAGAAGATTTATTTGATTTATTAAATTTAAAGTAAAAGACTCAATGGAAGTAGCTCCTATTAAAGTTGAAGATTCAATGGAAGTAGTCCCTATTAAAGTTAAAGACTCAATGGAAGTAGTTCCTATTAAATTCTATATTCCAGAATTCGTCAAAGAAAAAGTAAATATTCAGGACTACTTATTTAACTTGGAGTTAATTTATAAAGTAAGAAATATTATAGATTTAAATACAAAAAAAGACCTGCTTTTAGCCTATATCGGAACAGACAATCTTATCAAAATTAAGAACTTTCACTTTTCAATAATAGAGATGATAAATTATGATACTTTAATAAAAAGCTTAAATTTGGTGTTCAAGGATAGTTCGAGCATTTTCGTAAATAGGAAAATTTTTTTTACGCTAAAAAGATGTAATGAGACGATTATTGACTTTTCAATTAGGGTTAAAACTGTCTGTTCTCTTTGTAATTTTAAACCGCCTTTTGATGAACTTTTAAGAGATATATTTATCCTAGGAGTAGGCTTACCTGAGTTGGACAAAGAACTTCGGTCAAAGTATATCGAAGGCAATATTACTTTTGAAGAGACCGTGCGTTTAGCGATCGCGCTGTCTTCGTTGGAAAATGAAACCCAGACTGAAGTTAATAAAATAATTAAAAATAAGCCAACACAGGGTTCGAAAAATAATTATTTTAGAAATAATAATTATACTAACGTCAATAGATTCAATAATAATAAACACTTTAGTAACAATTATATTCCTAATAATAATTATAGACCTAGTATCAAACCTAACTCTATTCAAAAGAAAGTGATATGCTTTCGTTGCGGTAAGGCAAACCACATAGCGAAAGATTGTAGAACCCATGCCATACAAATGATTCTGCCACGGACACCTCGCCTGTTATTTTCAAATAAAGCTACCATCGATGCGAAGATAAAGTTGCAGCTAGCTATGGAGTTTGATACCGGCGCCGCGTGTAGTGTGATTGATGAGGTCACCTGGAATCGTATTGGCAGACCACAACTATCACCGGCTTATAAATTAGTGGGATATAATCATATCCAAATCGAAGTACTAGGTAAATGTACCGTAGAAGTCAAAGTAAAAAATATTTCGAAATTTTTACTTATTTGGGTAGTTAAAGGGGAGAATTCCCTTATTTTTGGGATGCCTTTCATTAGAGAATTTGATATAAAACTACCGGAAGAAGTTCGTATTAATAAAATAAATATGAATGTTCCCTCTTTAAATACGATTGCTTCAAAATTCCCTCAAGTTTTTAAAAAAAAATTAGGTGAAATCAAACTGCAAAAGGCAGTCATCCGAATAGAACCGAACACGTTACCGATTGCATTACCAGCAAGAAGAGTTCCTTTTCCGTTGCGTCGAACCATTGAAGCTGAGTTGAACTGACTTTTAGACGAAGGGGTTATCGAGAAGGTGGATCCAACAATAACTCCAAGCACTTGGGCTACGCCAACGGTTAATATCTTAAAGAAATCAGGTGCCGTACGGATATGCGGAGATTTTCGTTTAACAATCAACAAATATCTAGCGATCGATAACGATTTACTACCAACTTTCGTCGACCTAACAAATAAAATCGCGGGTGGCAAAATATTTTCAACAATAGATTTAAGAGATGCATTTTTACAATTCGGAGTTAGTCCAGAATGTAGGGACCTTTTAGTAATTTCGACACATGTCGGTTATTACCGATACCAAAAAATTCCATTTGGTTTGACTAGCGCTCCGATAATATTTCAACGCTTTATGAAAAACCTATTAAAGGGAATTCCTATGGTTAATGTATTTTTAGACGACATAATTATTGCAGGTGAGAATAATTCCGATCATATAGTTAATTTGGAAGAAGTATTAAGAAGATTTGAGAAGGCTGGACTGACCACGACGACCGATAAAATTAAAATCGGAGAAAAGTCAGTCACTTATTTAGGTCATGTTATTGACAGTTTCGGAATTCACCCTACAGAAGATAAGATTAGCGCTATATAAAATTTTAAAACACCTTCCAATGTTAAAGAACTACGTTCATTTCTTGGAATAGTGAATTATCATGAGGCATTTATTAAAAATTTGCATTCTATTTGTGCGCCTTTACACCGACTAACGAGTAAAAATGTTGGTTGGTTTTGGTCAGCTAAAGAAAATGAAATATTTACTAAAGTTAAAAATATATTGTCAAAAGAAGATACAATAATTCCTTATTCAGCCGATATCCCTGTCGTGATTTCTTGTGACGCTTCCGAAGATGGTCTAGGAGCTGTTATTGCACACCGATTTCTTACTGGCCAGGAGAAACCGATTGCTTACGCATCGAGGACACTTTCGGCGGCTGAAAAGAATTATGCCACAATTGATCGGGAGGCTTCGGCGATCATGTTCGCTATCGAGAAGTTTCATCAATATATTTTTGGAAGACATTTTATCTTGGTTACTGATCATAAACCATTACAATATATTTTAGGTGATAAAAGAGATCTTAACAAAATAACAAATAACCGTTTAATACGGTGGGCGACGAAACTATTAAATTATGATTATGAGATAATATATAGACCAGGTAATCAAAATAAATGTGCCAATGCTCTGTCCCGTTTGGGGGTAGAGAAAGCAAAAACCAATGAAGTTACAAAAAAATTCGAAGAAGAAATCAGAGGATTAAAAATTAATTAAATAGAGGATTTATATCTTTCACACGCAGTAAAGTCGTAAGTGAAACGAGCAATGATATAAACCTAAAAGAGATTATTAAATTAATAAAAAATCATTGGTATATTGATAATATAAATAATTATTCGGAGATTGTAAAAAAATATATTTCGATTAAAGATAATATTTCGTTCGAAGAAGGATTATTATTTTATAATGATAGAATTATTATTCCAGATATTTTAAAAAAGGAGGTTTTATATGTGATTCATCGAGGACATCCTGGGATAGTGGGGATGAAATCATTGTGTAGATATTACGTGTTTTGGACAAATCTCGATACGGATGTTGAAGACTTTGTTAAATGTTGTAAGAGTTGTCAAGAAGGAAGGCCGGGAGCTAAAGAAGTGCCATTATACAATTGGAACATTCCTACCCGACCTTGGGAACGATTACACATTGATTTGACAGGCCCCGTATCTGGAAAATATTGGTTAATTTGCGTAGACGCTTTTACCAAATGGGTTGAAGTTGCAATTTTAACACATATTAATTCGGCGAGTGTAATAAATAATCTGCGTAATTATTTCGCTAGATTTGGGTTACCTCGCTATATTGTCTCAGATAACGGTACTCAGTTTACTGGATCTGAATTCAAAACGTTTCTTTTTAAAAACAATATAAAACATTTTAGATCGGCCCCTTATAGCCCCAAATCGAATGGTTTGGCTGAACGATATATATGGACGATAAAGACGCGTTTCTATGCTGGAAGGAGATGTGGGACTCCGGACCAGTTAAATTTAGCAAATGTTTTAATTACTCACCGTAATACTCCTAATGCAACTACTGGTAAATCTCCTGCCGAGATGATGTTTGGAAGGTCGCTTAGGACGACATTGGATCAGTGGAAATTATCAACGAGAGAAAGGACGGAAAACGCTCTATGGAAACAAAAGTACTACAAAGATAGAAGTGTTGAACCTCGGGAGTTTGTAGAGCAGCAAAAAGTTTGGATAGCAAACGAAAGGACAGCAGGGTGGCATGAAGGAAAAGTGTTACAACGAAAAAGCGCAATATTGTACGATGTGGAATCAGAGGGGATCGTTAAAAACAAGCATGCAGATCAATTGAGGGATGCACATACACAAGAGAAGGAAATACCCGTTACGTTGACCGAAGAAGTGGAAAAGGCAGAACATGAGAATACAACTCTTGAAAAAAGAGTTTCGAAACCCCCATTACGTTATCACGATGAATTCAATTTATAGTGGGGAGAACTGTAATATAAATTGAATTTAAATTGAATATAATATTAACTTTTCGTTTGTAAATTACATAACCTGAAGGATTGAATTCATGATATATATATACGTGATATTTTGTATTAAATTTACTTTTACTTACTTTTATTTAATAAAACACTTCAAATATCATTATCTGAATCACTATCAACGATTTGGATATCCATAGGCGATGACATTTTAAATTATTAACACGTGATTTAGGTTTATAATACAAATGAAATTATAAATTACAAATTGAAAATATATTTCAATTTCAAATTTAAATAATAAATCATAAAAATTATAATTAATTATATTTTAAATTTTCATGTTTGTACTTATCTTCATTATATTTTTTGAAAGTACCTAAGTAGCACGCTAAAAAATTAAATAATTACAAAAAAAGTAGCCGCTATTAGCTATAGCTACCAAAAAAGTAGCTCGCTACTTTAACAACTCTGGTTGATAAAAAATTGTAAAATGGAAAAAGGAGAGAGAAGAAATACAGGTATAAAAGAGATTATTAGAGATTTCTCTAATTTTGGTGAAAATTGAGCTAAGGTCAAAATCTACAGTGAAATAGAATAAAAAAATTCCCGATCATTTTATTCTGATTATTAGATTTAAAAAGAGCAACCCTTATCAATTTTGATAAATATTAAATAGCTTCATTAACTTTCAGTAGAATTATGATTTTTCATCAATTAATTTTAAAAACATCATAAAATAATTTAGCAATAATAAGCCTTTTAAATTTCTAAAAATTATCTCTGGCCTTAAACTTTAAAATCAATAATCAGAATAAAAAATTGTAAATATAATAAAACTCTTAAACCCAAATTATTATTATTACTTCCTAGCACCACAGTTCCTCTCCTTGATCCACCTATGCAGTCTGTTAGTATTTGTAACGCTAGCGAGGGCGGCGCTGCTTTTCTTGCTTATGACACTTATTCCGTAAGAACCGGATGATATAGTGTTGTAATTGTTACTTTATTGTAATATAATTTTTTATAATAATATTTATAACTTAGAAATAGAAAAAGAGTCATTAGATTTACAAATGTGTTAGTGAGTCTAAAAATTTTCAAAAATTGTACCTCCCCCCCCCCTTATTTTATAAAAAAAATAGGTCACTTAATAAGGGCGGACGATATGCTTCCTCTTATACTTTCTTCTCCAAAAGACCCGCTGCTATGAGAGGGAACCGAAGAGTGTGAAGTCTGATGGTGTGTCATCAGATGACCGATAACGGCCATGATAGTCAAAGATTTTGGCACAACTTGTATAAAACCCCGACCAGGACCGGTCTGACGGCAACCGTATGGTAGGAGTTTTAAATCGAGACCCTGGGTGTCTAAAGCTTTTTAAATAAAAAAATTATAATAAATATATTATTTTCGTTATAAAATAAATGATACCGAATATAAAAAAAAGTAAAATATAAAACATAATACCTAAATTGTCTTCGGATTCGACATTTCTAGATATAGATGCTTGATCTTCTTCGAGTTTCCACACCCAATCCATAACCTATAAAAAATAACATAGCGAGTCTTTATCAAAATATATCAGAATATAGACTTTTATAAAACCTATTTATCTCAATTTCAAATTCCATGAAAGACAAAAATATTATATGCTTTCGTGCCTTAGACGTTACTATGAACTTAAGTGTATAAATTTAAATATATATCGCTACATATCCTAAATTATATAAACATACTTTTCTTTATAGATTGAAATATAAATCATGTGTGTGATTGTTAGGGAAATATAGTAAATTTCAGGAACATATTATTAAAACAATATTTCGACCTAAATTATTGTTAAGTAAAACTATAAGCATTATTTTATTCCTTAAGATTTATCGGAGTAAAAATAATGGTGATTTTTTTAAATATTCACTAGCGAGATAAAAAAAGATTCCTATTAAAATACTTTTTTCTCTCCTCTATAAAAGCCAGTTAATGATATTATTATTCTACCTATGTAAATCTATGGTATGAAATGTTTAAAATTGTATTGCCTTAAAATTTTCTTGTTTAATTTTTCAACATTTCTTAGTCCAGAACGTTTTTTTAAGCGATTTGCAAAGCAAGTTTCCAGCAGTTTTTTTTTATTTCCAAACAAAGAATAATTATTTGTCAATTTAATTTTTTTGCATAAAATATATAAAATTAAAACTTGTTAACGCATCTGATAGTAGGCAGACGCCATTTAATTGTTTATATTCTTCCGGTTAGAGGTCTAATGGGTGGGTGGGCGGAAGATCGGGTTAAATTTTTTTTAAAACGGGCGGGCGGGTAGGCGGGTTAAGAAAAATATTTAAACTATGGGTGGGTGGACGGTTTAAAATTTATAACTTTTATTTGTTATTTAAAATCATTTAAGTAAACATTTAAAAAAATATGCTCCCTGAAATTTCAATTTTTAATATCAAAATACCAATAACTGAGGATGTTGCCGTCGGAAGAAATTAATTAGGTAAAAAATATATCGATAACATGTTGGATTTGATTTGCATGAACTTATATGAAAATCTGATCTTACCCGTTTCCCAAGTTTAATAAATTATAAAGGCAATTTTTATAGTAGCATTCAAGATATGGCTGTTACAGAGGAGAGCATTACCTACCTAATGACATAACAAAATATTTAATATAATTTTGCAAGATTTTTTGTAACTTATTTTAGTTTAAATTTACAATTTATAAACAATTAATCTAAATTACTTTTTATATTAATTATTAATGGTTTCACTTTTTATTTAAATATGTCACTTGAGTAGAGTATATACTATTCTATATTGATTGAAAAGACAAGAAAAAGATTTATCATAGCTATCAAGATTAGCTTGAAAAACATTGGCAATTCCAGCAACCAATGCTTCTTCTGAATGATGAATAGCATTGCTGGAAGATTTTTAGTATCAAATATTAATTTTCTATTATTACATAAATATTTTATTAGATCAAATAAATTCCTTACCGTAATTTAAATTGAATATTTTTATTCTTAATATAGCAATTTCCTAAATTATAAAACTTTTTTGTAGGAATGAAGCGCTTAAACTAATTCATTTTCTTTAATGCGAGCTTATTTAAATTTTATATGGGCGGCGTGGGTTAAAATTTTTTTATAAATAATGGACGGGAGGGTTTATTTTAAAAAACTATGGGCGTGTTGGGCAGGCGGTTTAAAATTTTATAAAAATATTAGCGGACTTGTGGGCTAAAAACCTGCTATTGCAGACCTCTACTACCGATATCAAGTTTTTTCAAAAATATTATTCTAAATTTTTTCACTTTTTCCCTTTTTATATATATGATATTTGAAGTAGGTATCTGAAAAGTTAGGCCCGGCCCGAACCCGGCCCGGGTCGAATTTTATTTAAAATAATCGGGTTCGAACCGGGCCTAATATATTTTTTTCGGGCCGGGTCGGGTCGGACCTTGGAAATTTTTTTTAAATATATCTAAATTTATCAATTTTATATTGAATTTTTTATGTAAAATAAAAATAACATATGTTTTTTATTTTGAGTAATTATAAAAATTAATTTCTCTATTTAAATAAATTCAGGCCGGGTCGGGCCGGTAAATTTTTTTAAAAAAAAATCGGGTTCGGGCCGGGCCGGCAAAACTTTTTTAAAAAAATTTAGGGCCGGGCTTGAAAAATTAGGCCCGATGCAGATCACTAATTTGAAGCGAACGTATACAAATTTACTTGAGAATTACTCTCAAAAGGACTAGAAATTTAAAACGAAATTTTTGATAAAAAGCAAATAAAGGGCCCAAATCAAAACGATGAAGGCAACGTCATACGGAAATAGTGTTAAAGAGTGTTATATTGTAACTTAAATTACTCATACCTTTAAGGTTTGGAGGGTTAGCATATCTTGTCTTAAATCGTCTCCAGATTTGAAAATCAATTCTCTAAATCCCACAGAAGCTTCTGGCAGGTTAGTGTAACGGTTTATTTTATTATGCAATCTCTGTATAAATATACATATATAAATAGTGTCTAGTTATTCGTTAATATTTTTCGCATAAATGATAGTTTTTATTAAGATAAAAATTATATGTTAATTCGGCAAATTGCTCTCCTTAAAAAAAGTTAATGGTTATGGTTTAGAATTAAAATCGTTGCTCAAAAAATTAGTAATATCCAGATAACGCGAAAATAATCAGAAATGTTGCTATGTAAAGAAAAAATATAAAATATGATTTCCTTCACCAAAGAACCAACGTCAGTCGGTTGATTATCCATTAAAGGCGAACCATCATAACTTCCAGTGGGAGAAGAGTTAGGCGAATTTTTTTGTTTTTTATTTAGACGGGGTGGAGTGCCAGCCTTATTGATATCAATTATAGGATTGGCAAAATCAGAAGGGGAATGAGACGCTATAAGTGAATGAATCGAGGATGAATCTGAGTTCAGTAAAGGGTCCGGGTTTGTCCAAACTAACCAAAATGGCTTTTTGGCAGATGATAATATCTTGCATTCGTCAACGCTGTTTATGCATACATTTTTAATATAGGAAATATAGAGGTTTTATTATCAACTCAATTTTTTCATACTTATTTTTCTTTTGTTTCTTTATTTATTCTTATTTATTTTAAAGCTATTATTGATAGATTTCTAAATTTTGAAATTCAGTAGAATAAGGTATTTAAAATATTAACTTACATTAGTTCGCCGAGAATATAACTATTGTCAATAGGAGAGGGTAAATTTTGCAAGGCTTCTTGAAAGTCTGGCTGCCTCAATTGATGCCGAAAAAATTTCAATTTTTCCTAATTTTATAGAGGAAGATATAAGAACTTTATATTTCTTCCCTTTAGATAATTTTAAGAGAAAAAAAAGCTTTATAGATATGGTGGATAACTGTATATAGTAGTATTCTATTTAAAGTTGTTAAACGTTACTTTTGAAAGTAGCGCGCTGTTATTGTCAAAAAAGGAAGCCCGGTACCGCTATCCCTATTTTTTTTTAAGTCGTGTACTAAAAGCTAATGAGATTTTAATATTTTTAAACAATTCCCCCCCCCCTTTTTCACTTGTATTGAAAAGAAATTGATATAAATTAATTATATTTCTTCAGTAATTGTATATTTTTTTCTTATCGTTAATTTAATTTTTATTTTATTATTTAAAATCTAATTTATAAATGTATTTATTTATACCACTTAATATGTTTATAAATTTTGTTATAAAAAAATATATAATTTATAAATTTATAATTATATAATTAAAAATAAAATTCTATAATTGAGTCCCCAAAACGGAACCATAATTGTGTCTAAAAATTTCTATTTGAATTTTTTGTCGAATAAAAAGAAATTCTCTGGGTTCATTTGTGAAAATTTTTATACTGGGTTCATTTGTGAAAATTTTTATAAAAAACTTTTAAAATATTATAAATCTACGACTTTTCACAAATGAACCCAGGGAATTTCTTTTTATTCGACAAAAAATTCAAATAGAAATTTTTAGACACAATTATGGTTCCTTTTTGGCGACTCAATTATAGATTATTTTTAATTATATAATTAAAAATTAAAAATTATATTTTTTTTATAACAAAATTTATAAACAAAGTGGTATAAGTAAATACATTTATAAATTCGATTTCAAATAATAAAATAATAATAAAAATTAACGATAAGAAAAAAATATTACTGAAGAAATATAATTAATTTATATCAATTTTTTTCCAATACAAGTAAAAAAAAAGGGGGGGGGGGGGAATTGTTTAAAAAATTAAAATCTCATTAGCTTTTAGTACACGACTTAAAAAAAATAGGGATAGCGGTACCGGGCTTCCATTTTTTGACAATAACAGTGCGCTACTTTCAAAAGTAACGTTTAACAACAATTGGAATAACAAGTTTATTAGTCATTATTTTCTTTTTGAAATTTACAGATATAAATGAATGTAAATTTTGGTCAGGTTATAATATTATTAAAAAATCTTTTAAGGTATTGGCATTTATTAAAAAAAATAATAAAAAAAATTCCCAAACATGAAAAAACCTAAAAATTTTCTAAACAATATAAATTCATATTTCGAAATATATTTAAATTTCAAAATTAAAAGTGCGCTACTTTAACAACTCTGGTTATATTATAATTATTTATAGTTACTGAAAAGATTTCATATATTAATCAGTTTGTAACTAATAAATTATTAGCATATCGAATGATTTAATAAATAAATGAACAAACAAACGAATGAATGAATAAAGATAACAAATTTATATTTTAAACTTTAGGATTGAGATCATCCCTAGACTTGATGGTCTCAGACAAATTGCCTAACTTTTCGGACGCTTCCACCTGTTTTATGAGCGATTTCAATTGGTAAGATCCACAGGCTCTGCAATAAGCTTCTAATAATAAAGCGTAATGGGAAATGCTTTGGGATGAATACTGATAATCCGATCTTCAAATAATAATTTTTATTATATTTATTTTTTTATTTTAATAAATTATAATTCCGGCCGGGCTGAATAAATATGGATCTCTTAATAATTAAGGTTAATAAATAAATAAAAATCAGCTGATTGATTAATAAATTTATTTTTTAAAAAAAATTTCAAATATATCTTCAAAATATATATTAGGATTTACCGTAAAATCCAAAAAAAGGCGTTACCCAATTTGACATTCATCAACGATCTTTTGAGCAAAAAGCGCGCGAGAGCGTTATCTATATAATGTTCGTATTTCAGCACCTTTATATTTCCCATTAAAAAGATCATTAAAACCATTTCCCTTTAATTATTTTATTCTATATATTCTCAAATTTTCTTTTTAAAATATATATGTAGGTTTCTGAAACCTGGACCAAAGGCATAAGAAACTGACTCAAATGTTCATCGTCATTTAATAGGTGATCCAATTGTCTTACAGCGAATTCTCGGATATAAATGTCGGGGTAGCTATTAGGCTCTAACAACTGGAGCGCTTTTTCCAAAGTTAAGTTGGGCCAAGTTTTGAGAAGAAGGTAGAGCTTTTTTTTGTTAATGCATAAAAGATATACAATAATACCTACAAAGGTGACCCCCTTATTGATCCCTTCGGTTCCTTCTCATCGAAATCTTATTAAAGATGTTTATCAAAATATTAATCTTCTATAATTATAATATTAGTCATATCATCCAAAAGTGAAATTAAAATTAGGACTGTGCCGATCCACATATTTTTCACCAATCCGATCCTTTATTGCTTAAAACCCGGTCCGATACCGACCCGATATTTATACTGATTTTTCACCACCCTCCAATGAACCATAAGTATTTAAGAAATCAATATTTTTTATGCAAAAAATCGAATTATGCATTTAATTTAATTTTTTTATTTCTACAATTAGGACTATAATTAAAAAAATATATATTTAATAATATGTCCATTTTATGTTGGTATGAATTATAAAATTGTAATATTTAATATATAAAATAATTATAATATATTAGATTTTTTTAAATAAATATGAGAGCCTCGGATTTTCTGGCAATAAGCTTCTACGATATGACTATCTATATTCCCTGCCGTACTGAAGGCACACTTAGATGATTCCGCAGATAACGCATTTTGCAAAATTATCTTTGTTTTTTGTAAAATATTTCCACAGATACCATATAAAAAAATCTTTTAATTAAAGTATAAATAATAAAATTGGCGTTATTATTTAAAAAGATTTAAAATAAATAAAACTTTGGGTGTTTCTTTCTATTTTTATAAAAAACTTTTAAAATACTATAAATCTATTTTAAAAAAGTAATAATTTAGGGGATGTTGTGCATATGCATCATTGTTTTAAAAAAAATTAAGAAAATATTATAATAATGTAAAATAAATATACATAACATAAAATAACAAAAAAAAGAAAAGTAAAAAGATCGGATCGGGTTTTAGTATCGGCCAGATCCGATTTTGGAGAACGCTAAATATCGGTGCCGATCTGATATTTAATATCGGCAAAGCCCTAATTAAAATGTTTTAAAAACTTTTTTAACAAAAAAATAATAAGAGTAAAAGACCCAAAATCAATAAGTATAAGTTTTTTTTAAAATAAAAATATAATTAATTTTTTACTTTGTTATAATATAGTATAATAGAATAATTTGTAAAAATTTAATATGTACATGCGCAACTTCTTCCCTATTATTCCATCTAACCGATTTGATCAGGACAACCAAGGAGTCTGGAATAAGATGCGCCTTATCTCTGTTACGTTTAAAAAAAATTAATAATGCTGAGTATCGTTGATACATGTATATTTTGAATAAATTTTAAAAGTATCTTTGTGCTAAATACTACATCTCTAAACTAAGATACTTTTTAAAGTAACCATATCCATCCATATCAAATAAAATTGATGAAGGAAGATTTTTTTAATGATTTATTAAGGATATTGTATAATTTGTAAATTTATGAAATCATTGAATTTAACATATTTATACTATTTATATGAACAACAACGGTGGGTATTAATTTATATAAAAATGTTAATATAAAAATAAAGTGCATTATGGGGTTTTATCGTTACTTTTCAGAAACTCAGGTATAAAAATTTATACATATAATTTTAATGCCCGTTAATAGTTTTGAAAAAGAAAAAATAAAAACCTAATGTTCCACACGAATTCTTTGTCTTGCTCGGTCAATTGGTTCATCATTTCATACGATTCTATGATGGATTTGAGTTTGATTAATTCGTTTTCCAAATCTCGCAATTGGTCTACTCCAGTGATTAATTCCGTTTCCATAGCGTTCTCTTTGATATCTCAATTAATTTTTTGTGTGTAGATGGAGGGGGGGGGGGGACAATTTTAAATATTGTAAATAAATAAATAAAATTCCAGACAATGTTTTCAAAAAAAATAAGAGTTAAAAACTACAATCTGGTGTAATTTAAACAAAAGAATAAAATAAAGTATCAATCTAGGTGGATAACATGATAAGATTTGAGTGTGATGCGTCATACTCATATGCATAATCACTCCACTCTATTTTACTATTATGATACCCGGGCTATATGAAAAAAAATTAATCCACTGTGATAATAAGTAAGCTATACTTACTTATATTATTATCTTACTTCTAGCTTATTGTAAGTTTTTTGAAAAATAAAAATGATTAGAATTATCAAAAAAAAAATTTTTTTAATATGGCCAATAACAAATTCTACTAGCGTTTTTTCAATAGCAGAATTAATATTAAGTTCGAAAAGATTGTATCATCGTTGATAAGAAAAATATAATAAATAGCCGCCGCTTATTAAAATCTTGGCATACAGTTTGGACGTAGGTTATAAAGCACTTATGTGGGCTAGTGCATCTATAAAATGGTTAAGTTAATAGTATAGACAATTTTTTGTTAAAAATAATTTATTAGAAATGGAGTTCCCCATTTGTGAAAGCAGCCTTAAATATCAGCTTGGAAATTTCGACCAATCTAAAACTGAGTATAACACAAATAAAAAAATAAGGCCAAGAGTAAATTGTATCTTTCTATCACATTCTTTCTCTTACTTTCGATCTCAAGTGCTATGGTGATTCATAAAATAATTTATAATTTTTTTTAACCAGTTTTCAAAGTTCTGACAAAGTGGGCGAATGAATGAATCTGTTCTAGAGTAGGAAAGTTGGCGTTTTCAAAACGTTCAAATTCGATTTTGAGTATAGGGCCATCACGGTTAGGATTATCTCCTAAAAGACCTGTGTTTATATTATTTATTTAAAAATGTAATCTTTACTTAATATATTATAAGAAATGTTTGTATAATAAAAGCCTGAACTCATTCTTTTTGTATATATAGTAAATTGTGCCGGGTAATAGGTCAGGTATGGTTCTATAAAAGATCTAGATCTCAACCCGTTTTTACATATATGTTCTTCTTATTTACAATTCAGGCAATTATTGTACCGGCTCGGCATAAAATATGGATCTGGTACATCTATAACATAGTTGAACTATTGTTTACATGGCTCAATAACAACGATTTATAAATCAATTAATAACAAAAGGGCAAAAAATTTTTAACCCAGTGGGTTTAAAGGATAATCTCGATCCAAATTAGATAGGAAAGTCGGAGGAGTTTGATTGAGGTGCAAGCTCTTTTTGCCGCTTATGAGGTATCCGTTAAAATCAAAAAGACTTACATTGATCCAGGCCAAGCAACATTTTTCCTTTACACATAATTTTGTTTGTTATTTATATTTTCACAATTTAAAAAAGATTTATACTTCAAATTAAGAATATCTCCATAATGTATAATATATACTTTTCTTATAAATAGCTATCTAATCTAGTAGTAAGCTCATTCGAAATCTTAATCTAACTCATATACATAATCTCCTAATTGTTGTTCTTAATATTTCTTCTATCCTCTAATTTTCCGCATTTATAGATTTTTCTCCTCTCTTAATTACAATATACTTGTAGACCTGCGAATTACCTTAAATATTCTCTGTACTCTTACATTAATAATGAAATAAAAAATTTATACTAAGATAATATGATCCCCGTTCTAAAAGGCTAAAAACAAAAAAAAAATGGGATTTTGCTTTTATCTCCAAAAATAATAATGCTAGGGAAGTAAACACCTATATTTAAATTTGAGTTTTTTAATAAATCGCTTAAAGTGGTGGAAATATTATCAAGATCCCCTTTTTTTAGTGATTTAGAATCGATCCCAATAATATTAACTTCATCATTTAGAGTTTTCTTTCCCTCTTTTTCTATCATTTCTTTTTTTTCCTATTTTACTTCCTTTCCTACTGGGTTTCTTTTTTATTCTTAGGGTTTTGTTCTTTTAAACAATATATATTATAGAAATTACTCGTTTGATTTTTTTTCTTTGCCTATCGCCGACGTTAATATTGACATTTACGCCTGCAGTTCCGTAACAAAGGGCTATCCGGAGCTCGGCATTCCTAGGTAAATGGGGTAAAGTGATAGAAAATTTGATCCATTCGTTCCAAGCTAACGCGGAAGGATCGTTAATATTATATAAACTACTCTCTACAAGAGGGCATATTTGATCAGGACCCGAAAAAAGTCCAGCTTTCACGCATATCTGCATGTATTTAATAATTAAAATATCGTTAAGATACATCAACGATATTAATCAAATCAAATGTAAAACTATCTTTTCTTAATGTGTTTAAGAATTTAATAACAATATAATAGTTAAATTACCTAAATTCTATTGCCATTTAATGATAAAATATAAATATTTTTTGACAATTTATTTAAAACTAGAATCGACTAAATTTATATCATTTTAATATTGCTAAAATTTAAGGAGATATAAAAAATCCCTAATTATTTTGTCCTGTTTAATTATTATTGATTCAAAATTTATTGATACAGAATACAGATGAAGTTTATAAATATTAACTATAGTTCAAATAAAAATATTAATTTAAAAATAATCTAATATTGTTAACAATAAAGCTATAAACTCAAATATATTAAAATTATTAATAATTGGCAAATATAAAATATTGATAACATGATAAAATATTATCAAATAAAGCACTTTATTTTTATGGATAAATCTATTTTTTACCACAACCGCTCTTGAAATCGTATAATCTTAAAAAATCCAGCTGGGGCTTAAATTTTTAAAAATAATTGTAAAATCACATACTGTATCATTTAACATTTATTTTCTTGCCATATTCAATTTCTTAAGGAAAATTATTAAATCATGTCCGGGCCCAGAAAAATTAACTGCAGGTTTCATTGATAAATCTATATAATGGCTTTGATGTGGATGCGATATAATATAGTCTATTTTTTAAAAAGCTTAGTCCCATGCTACACCTCAAAGAAAGCCATAAAAGCTTAATTTTTTTTAAATAACGCTTTATAAAATAAATTAAGATAAAATAGAATATTTAAAAATCTTTAACGCCAATCATCTCAATTTATAAAAACCTTATATATAACGCAGTTTGATTCTAAAATGATATGTATATTCGAGAGAGATCTGGGGCTCGGATAAATTCTCATACATTTTTTTAATGTAACAGGAATTTCGTAATATTTTTTCTAAAAGATCCAAGAAAATTATTTAAATTTGGGATGTATCGATATTTTTTATCGGATCAGGCCGATTTTTTATTTTTTTTAAAAAATCGGTTATCGACAGATATTCATAAATTTACGTATTAGATTCGAGAAAATGGCGTCTTAATTAAAAAAAATTTATGTATTAAGAATTCTTATATATTTTTTTTAAAAACTAACAAATTGATTAAAATAAAATACAAAAGAATGTGTTGAGGTATTGAATCTCAATATTTAGTAAGCCATTATTATTATTTATTTCACCGTAATTATCTTAAATACTTATTATTTATTTCATTGTTTATTATTAATATACGTTTAACCCTTCAATACTCTGGTGGGGTGTATGAAACTCCAGATATGCTGGAAATGATATTGCATAAAAACGATTAATTATTATGATCTGGATTCTTCAGTAGCTCTATCAAATATATCTTAGAATCAATATTCCAAATTTGATATATTTCGGTTGAGTAGTTTTTTAAGATATAAGCATTTTGTGACTGATTAGGGTTTGTGAGACCTCACCAGAGTAAATTCGTAATTTTTTGAGAAATTTGTTTTTAAAATTCTTATAATTATAAATATATATATACTACATAATAAAATTTAAATATCTTATATTTTTAACAAAATAATAATTAAGTAAGCCTCAAGATTTGGTAATAAAAAAACCTATCTGTCATCTATGAGCGAAATCTCGATGATTACATTATATTATTCGGGCCGTTTTTAAATATAGACCAAATCGGGCTTTTAACAGTAATGATAGGCATATATCAGAATTGAAAATTAAAATTTTTATTAGTTAGTGAATAATGCTTCCAACATACAAATGTTGTAAGAATAATCGAAAGGGGGCAGGGTTTAGAATATAGTTACTTTTGATTGATTTAATAATATATATAATATATTTTAGCCAATTTGCGGAAACATCTTGTAACTAAACATCCTGAAGCAGTTAATGATTCACCACCTCTACCAGATTCCATTATAGGGGCACGAAAACTTACAACGGGGGATATTTTTAATCTAAATAAATTAATACTAAAATATGTCATCAACGAAAATATTTCCTTTAGAAAATATGATAGTAAAGATTTTAAAGACATCTTTACCTTTTTAAATAAAAGTTCTAAAGTATGGTGCAGACAAACTGCTGTCAAATATTTAAACACCATATATATCGAGGCAAAAACTAATATTATGAATGCCTTCGATAATTATAAATACAAGATGGCCATAACTACGGACGTATGGACCAGTAACAATTTGATTTGTTATTGTGCCATAACAGTCCATTATATCAATGATAATTGGGATTTAGCCAACTCTTTATTATCAATTGAGGAATTTGCCCAACCTCACACGGGTGAGGATGTTAAAGATTTATTAATAACAATACTGGCCGAGTATAAAATACTTGATAAAATATCATCCATTACCCATGATAATGGATCAAATATAATTTCGGCGGGGAAATTGATTATTCCTCTAATTCGCAAAACCTATAACGTGAATTTTAGCACAATACGATGTCTTGCCCATATTATAAATCTGATTGTACAAGAGGGACTATCAACGATTTCAACAGAATTGAAAAAGGTTGAGTCGTTGGTGAAAAAGATCCATAAAAGTCCTTCTCTGATGCAGGAATTTGTTAAAATTTGTAATTGTAAAATTCCGCTCGATGTATCAACAAGATGGAATTCTAAATATCTCATGCATAATAAAAATCAATCAGGTATTAATATAGCATAAAATATTTAATTATTTTATATTTCATAGAATATAGAATATAGAATCCATAATCAAATTGGGCAAAAGACGTATTAATGATAGCTTTTACATTAACACTGAAGAGGTTAAAGTGTTGAAGGATATTGAAATTTTTTGCACCCTTTTTACAATATTACATGTGAAATAAGTGCAAACTCATCAACAATAGGCATGTATCTATTATATATCGATACAATGCAACAATTGTTGGTATTAAATATTGGCACTAACATTAATAATGTTATTGTAAAAGCAGCAGAACTTATGTTAACCAAATGCGAAAAATATATTAAAATAATAGATGATTTCGATTTTTATTTATGTAGTTTTTTAGATCCACGGATCAAAAAAACTTTTATACCTATATGGATGAATAAAGTTTGTTATTATGAAAAGTTGATAGCTTTATACAATAAATATCGTTGTAATCCGTGGCCCGAAAAACCAGAGATAAATGATAATTTAGAAGTGATGTCAACAACTATTTTAAATAGTCTCAGAAGGTATATATTATTTCATTATATTACAACTTTTTTAAATGTTATAAAATAGTAGATATATTTAATTTAAAAAAAATTTCATTATATATTATTAGGAAAGCATCCCTAGTTCCGATGGTTGACGAGATAGCGGATTAACTAGCTGATCCAGTCGCCTCCTCCTCGATTATAGTGTTGGATTGGTGGCGAAGTATTTCCATGCGTTTTCCCTACCTTTCCTTAATGGCTAGGGATATTCTATCGCGACAGAGCACATCCGTTGCAAGCGAGCGTGTTTTCTCGAGAGGGGTGGACACCATTACGAAAAAAAGAAATCGCATGGCGTCAGAACGTTTAAACAATGTTTATGTTTAAATTCATGGAATACAAATATCATGAACAATAAATTTTGGACATAATTTTTATATGTATATATATATATATATTGTTAAATATAAATTTTTGTATGTTAATAAATATCATATATAATTTAAATAAAAATATTTAAACTATAAATGTATCAAAGATTTTAGATGTTTTGAGCATAGTGTTCTAGTTTCAGGCTGTTGTTTTTTTATGAATACTGGAGAACATTAGTGATTTAATAACATTTGACTTTAAATTTGTACTAAAATAGTTTTTGATATTAAGATTTAGAATTTTGAACACTTAAGAAAAATTACACATTAAAATTTATACTGGGATTAACTTTGAACTAATGTTGTTAGAGTAGAGTGTTAAACTTATTTTCAGGCGTTAATTCGCTAAAGTGGTGTTAAATGGCGCGATTTGAGCAGATTTTTAAAGCGGTTAATTCACTATTTTATTGAGAAGAATATTACGAGAGCCATTTTTCTCATAGATGGTATAAAGGTCTAGACATCACTTATCGTAATCTGAGGATTAGTCATTATTTTTCTGTCTAAATTATTACCTGACGGTTTCTAAAAATAGGCTTAAAAAGAGCTATTTTACATATAAAATACACATACAAATTATTAAGATATATTTATAAATAATTCTAAAATCTTATTCATTTAAATTAATATTAAGAATCTACATAATCTAGTTATTAAAATAATTTAAAATATCAACGATAGAGATATATATTGAAGATACATTTTGTATAGATAATATATACAAAGTTATTTCCCTGTTACAATGATGTAATTCCTTCCTGATATCGCATAAATTTTAGTCTCGATAAAAAAATCATAAGGTATTTCATTGTGAGATGTGCAGGTAGGTTTTATCATAACTAGTAGCTTCAACGAGGAAATATTTTAATTATAACATTAATGTGTAGTCCTATACTTAATCTTTAAAATAAAATATGAATAAAACATAGATGAGTTTATGTGATAGTTAATTTTATGACCCAGTCTCTGACCATAAGATATTTAAGAATTATATTTTAAATAAAAAATACATTAAATATATTAACATCTCATTTTATCATCTATTTTAAAAATTATTTTATGAGAATATAATAGATTTTTTATTTTTTTATTTTATAACCTTATCGGCGTCTTTAACGTTGATGAACGAGGCTCCCAACATCTTAAATCTGAAAGGTTTTTCTACCTGCCACACCGAGGTAAACTTGTAAGTGTTGTTGAGCAGATATCGCTTACAATTGATTGAAAAGGATGATGCTTTAGGTATAGGAAAACTTTGTAAAATATCTGGTTCATCTAAGCCCGATTCGTTTTTAAAGCCTGTAAGATTAACTGAATTTCCTCCTGTGATCGTCGTTGATGCACTAGGATTATTGGACTTGTTTAGATTAAAATTTGCACTCGATATAGAACTCGAAGATTTGATTGTAGGGAGGGGATAATAATTTTTATCGGTGTGAATTAAGTAACAGTCAAGCACATTAGTTAAACTGGCCTTGTTGTATTCTTTGGTGAGGTCCCTACATTCGACTCTGATTAAAAATTGAAGCATATTTATACAAAGAAAATAAATAATTTGAATATAAATTAGAGATCTGCAAATAACGGCCCCGCATGTACCCGACCCTATTTTTGTTTTGTGATGGACTATTAAGTACAACAATTTTTTTATTCGGGATCGAATCGAGCAGGACAAATTAATTTACAAAAATTTCGGGGTAGGCTGGGCTTAAAAAATTAAGCCCGATGTAAATCACCAATATAAATGTCGATATTAGTGTATAACTGCAAATCATTTTCAATCTTATTTATTTCAAAGATTAAGCTTAATTTAACCTGCGGAATTTTTTATAAAAAAAATTATCACTTTATGAAGATTTTCACTATTTAAAGATGAATTGCCATCTTGTTCAATTATATTTTCGATAATAAAATATTTTAATATGATCCCGATTAAGGTATTTTGAGATCTAGAATGTTAAGATTTATATAATCAGATTCGTACTTTATATTTGTATTTTTAATTTTATTATACGACAGTAATAAATTTATAAATCAGTTTAAAATAAAATAAGGGCACATACCTATTAGTATTTTCATTACAGGTCACGATCTCGTCAATATCGTTAAGTGTCGAGTTGCATTGGCGGCAATTGCAATTTGCATTAGAAGAATTCGAAGAAATGTTTGAACTTAGACTGTCTGATCTTAAATTAGAATGATGGACATTATAGGTTGCGCTTTCCATTCTATTGGCCAGAGACTCGGTAAGGGTTGATGGCATGATAAAGTCTTCACAAGTAAGTCTGGATGATTCAGATAACCCCAATGAATCGGGGTCTGTGTGGTCGAGGCTTGAAATGGTATTAACGATGTTTGGGGACGATAATGCTTGGGAGGTGAACGAATTAGAGGACGAGTTTAAATAGGTCAGCGTGGAGTATATGCCTTGTTTGGACATGAGCATTAACTGAGGAATCGTTCCATTAGAGAGACATTCTTTTATATACTGCAGAAAATGTAATGGATTATTATTTTGGGGTGAGGGGTGACATATTTAAAAAATAAGATTAGAACCGGTTCCAGTTCAGATTTCTGGAATTATCTTAATGAGTGCAACTTTCGGTTCCTATAAATTTTAAAAAAATGTGATTCTAGTATTGGGTTCTAGACATAACACTTAACTGATTCTTATTCAATTCATCAACATGTTATATTTAATGAATTATATTTTAAAGGGTTCATTTACTATTTACATTTTTTTATAATTTTATTCTGATTTGCTTTGATAGTTGGGAACCGGAAACAACAAGTTTAAAAACTGAAACCAATTTTCCAAAATTTTTGGAACTCGAACTGGAACCCCTATTAACATACAGAACCGGAATTCTTTTTATTCCAGTTTGAACCAGAACCCTATTTAGTCCAAGTTCCAAATATTGAGCTAAATCTTAAACCGTCATTCGTTAACTTTAATTATCCAATTTATATTAAAATTTAATTAATTTTAAGAATACGATTTTATATTCTAGGAGAAAAAGTGGAATTTATATTAGATTAATTTTATGGTAATATAAATAAATAATTGATAATAAGATTGTTATCAAATTAGAGACAAAATACTATATAGTTTTTTTCAAAAAATACGAGAAAAAGAATAATCTGCAGCTAAAAAAATAAATGCAATCTTACAAAATAAAAAAAAATCATGATATGAGATAATGATTTTAAAAGAGAAAAATTACAATAACCCCAAAACGTAAATGGGAATTCCTACTAGCTTAATAAAAAAATGACCCATATGATTATTACAAAATTAATCATTATTAATTAATTTTGGATAAAGAAAATTCAGTGGAAGTATTTGATGTTGTACAGCATATAACAAAAAAATAATAATCATCAAAAATTTGAATTCAAAATTAATATATCGACCAAGAGATTCGATATTTGATATGAGCAATGCCATTCGAAATGATCGACAGAAAATAAAACTACTACCTGGCTTCATTGATTTCCGACTACTCTTTTTTTAACTTATCTAAATTTTTAATATAAAAAATAGTTATGCATGAACTCTTTAAAAAAATTCAAAATCTTTATTATTATAAAATAGTAGTATCGGTTATAAATTTAAAATCTTTATTATTATAAAATAATATGGAATATCGGTTATCGGCCGATATTAGAAAATTTCCCGATCTGATAAAAAGGCGTCTTCATTGTTAAAAAAATATATTTCATAATATATTTGCTTATTACTATTATGTAAATAGATTGATGTAAATTATATAGATAAGTAATTTATCGATAATAATATTTTATACACTTTTAGATTCATGAATATAAACTATAATTATAACATGTATTAAATAACATGTTATAGTATAGAGAAAAAATAGATGTTATATTCTTAAAAAGTATATGAGATGAATAAATGTATGTATTAAAAATTAACGATTAGTATGTTTACAGAATACAAAATCAGATGATATGGGATCGGTAATCGACCGATATCAATTTAATATCGGTAATATTGGATAGGCTTCCAAAAAGTGGTATCAATATACCCCTATAAAATAGCATTAGCAATATATATAAAGAACAAAATTCAATAGAAATTATTATATATTAAAATATATATGATTCAAAATATGTAACTCTATTAAAAATTATCGCTCTACGATGCCAAAAGACCATTATTTTAGCCCTGCTATTTTAAAATGGGGTTATTCTTTGTGCATTTATTTAATAAGATCCTGGCATATATTCTGGGATAATATAAATTTTAATTTATCGTCAACGAATTTTATTTTATGTCACACTTTATAAGCTCCCGTTTCAGTATCTCATCAAATTACTTTCAAAGAGATGTTAATTTTTATTAACTAATTTTTGTAGAATCCTTTCTTCTTTTTAAATAATCTAGTAGGTTCAAAAATCCTTGTATTTTAATATTTCTATAGCATATTATCTCTAATGATAGATAGTATTTTTAATTGACTTGCTATTTTTCTTAGTTCCTTTCTTATATGAGTTAATGATCTCAAGAAATGGATATTTGAGGTTTTATTTCTACCATTTAAAGTAAATAAAACTATAGATTAATATTATTAAATTATAATATAATTGTAAAAAATAAGCGGACGACTTTAATAAGAAGGGCAACATTTTGGTGATCATATAGCAGTGGGCGGCTATTATGCTTATGGTAACAATTTTTAAAACAATAATATTTTCCTTACTGTTTATAAAAATGAAATTCTAAATAAATTTTTCATTAATCAATATAATATATTTAATTTATCTTACGGGATTAATAATCATGTTAGAATTTAAAAAATAATGTAATAAAAAAATAAAGAATGGTCGGGAATCAATGAGATGGCGTAGTATACAAATAATTAGATATCTACAAAAGCGCGGCCAGTACCCAGCCCAAGCTGACTTGTAAAATGATAAAAACTCGAATATGTAAAAATGCAAAACTGTATTGAAAAAAAATTAATTACTATAATTTTGGACTAGGCGGTCAGATAATTTTTATTTCGGTCCAGGCCAAACAATTTTTTTAATTTAGGGCTGGAGACATTTAAATTTGGGATGAACCAGGCAATTTTTTTTTAAATTTCGGGTCGGGTTTGAAAAATTAGGCTCGATGCTGATCACTAATATAAATAGCCAAGCACAAATAGATTTGATAGCCAGACAAATATGTTGGGACTATGGTTATAAATTTATTATGGTTTACCAAGACCATTTGACTAAATTATTAAGAATTTCTAAGTTTGTATACTAGTTGTAGCATATTTTAATTACCCTGTATCTCCAAAGTGGAATATCAGTTTTAAGCAGGTATTCCTCACGACCGCACACTTTGAGAGTACATCCACGTCGGTAGTTGGCGACACACCGCGCTATTTCAAAAGCGCCTCGACGCGAGGAATTTTTTCCACCCCGCGCCTTACGCGCCACGGTCTCTATGACGTCATCGGGGCGACGGGAATAATGAACTTTCACTGTAAATTTTTGCCGTTCCCCATGGGGAGATAGGACCCACACGCATATTATCAAGTTTTCTATACGCATGAATTTTATCCAATTTTGTAAATTTTTAAGTTTATATCAAAAATTTATCCAAAAGTAAACAAATTTGATTATAAAATGTTATAATGAATCCTAATTTAATTCCTAAATAATAATAAATTATCGATCATCTATCAATAATTAAGAATAAATTCTATATTTGAAATTTTTTCGGTATAAAAATTAATATAATAAATTGTAAATGGTTTAACTTGTGCTCCAACTAAATATTCAAAATTTTTTATGAGATTGTTAATTGTATTTGAATAATTTTATTTATATACTTTTTCCAAATAATGTTTTTAGATATTATTATGTAATATACCGTAAAGTGGGAACCCATACCACTAAAATTTATCTAACTAGAACCATATTTTTAAAATAAGATTTTAAGAATTTTTTTTTTTAATTTATTTTTATTATCAATAAAATTTTATAAGAATTATTTTTATTAGAGTTGTTAAATGGCTAAATTTTTAAAAAAGCCTAATATTTTAGCCAGAAAAAATATGCAAGCCTAAAGATTTTGTTAATAGATGTCCAGAGTTGCTAATCGCTACTTTTAAACTAGCGTGCTACCGCTATCGCTATTTGTCAGTAGCGCGCTATTAGCTACTTTTTAAGCTACATTTTATAATAAAAAATTTAGAAACAAATTTGTTTTATTTTTTGATTATAATGTTATTGTATAGCGAATATATAAAAATCAACATTTATAAATATTAAAATATAGTTAGTTTTTATTATAAAAAATTATATGTAATAAAAATAAATATTTATGGTAATTTGTTGTATTTTATACGTTTTTACCTTGTGTTATGTGTCTAACTATCTGCTGTGGTACATATATGATATCTCTGATAACTCTACTATTAGAGCATCTTTCATCACTTTAAAGTTATCTGCTATTTTATTCATTAGTGTCTGGCAACATAAAATTGTTGTAACAGTGGATAGGTTTTTATCATCATGATAAATGATGGATTATCAACCAAGGACATTGGCTGAACTGTATCAATTATAAAATTAACAATAACTATCAGGGAATTTCTGAGAAATATTGGCATTTGTATTATTATTTAATTTGGTTTGAATTGAATTGAATTAGTCTTTTTGGATGTAGAGTCGCCTATACATTATTTAGATGTTTCTCCATTTCCTTAAAACTATTGGCATGAACAGTCTTATAAAATAAATACTATTAGAATGTAAAAATGACAATTTACCTTTAGGTGTGATTGATTTGAGGAAATATTTTTTTTACATTTTAAACAAATAAATCTGAAGCCAGTTTTAGTTTTTATATTTATTAAAAAATATTTCAAATCTAGGGAATGGAAATTTGTATTATAGCTATTAAGAACATTTCCTTCCCTGGTATCTTCCATTTCATTTATATCATTGTCTGAATCACTTTCAACGATTTGGATATCCATAGGCGATGACATTTTAAATTATTAACAAGTGATTTAGGTTTATAATACAAATGAAAATATAAATTATAAATTGAAAATATATTTCAATTTCAAAAATAATAAATCATAAAAATTATAATTAATTATGATATTATATTTAAATTTCCATGTTTATACTTACCTTCATTATATTTTTTGAAAGTAGCTAAGTGTAGTGTGCTACTTAGCTACTTTCATAAAAAGTATCGTGCCAAAAAATTAAATAATTACAAAAAAAGTAGCCGCTATTAGTTATAGTTATAGCTACCAAAAAAGATAGCGAGCTAAGTACGGCGCTACAAGTAGCTTGCTACTTTAACAACTTTGTAGATGTCCATACTAAAACGACTCGTTTTGAGCGATTTTTAAAAACAGCTAACTCATTATTTTAGCCAGAAAGAAATATTTCCTAAGCTTCAATATTTCGATAAAATGTCTAGATCTTTGTTCCTTCTATGAGCAAAATCTTCATGCTTACGTAATATTTTTTGTGGATGAAATATTAAGTTAGTCGTCTTTAAAAATCGGTTCAAAACGAGCCGTTTCTGATATCTATGAGAAAAATCTTCAGGCTTGCGTGATATTTTTGGCTCAAATATCGGGTTAAATCGAGCCATTTAACAACACTAATTTTTATATTTTATGTAAAAAAATTTATAATAAATTTTTATAGCAAAATTTTATATAAAAAATAATAAATATTTTATAAACATTTAGGCCATGTCCTAGTTCATTTTATTTCTAAACGGTTTTCTGTATCGCTTCATATACCTTCTTCTAAATAACCTAAAAAGAAGGAGGCTATCTAGATTCATATAGTTGGTATTGTACTGAAATATATAACATATATTACTTATTTAATGTACATATAAAAAAAGCCAGAAAGGTATCTTAGTTCAAAATCTGTTTAGTCTGAGTTAACATAAATAAGTTTCAAAAATAATACAAACTAGGAAATGGTCATATTGTTGTGGGTACTAAATCTCATTAAGTGAAATTCATAGAAAAAAACAAAAATTCTATTATAAATTATTAGCGCTCATCAACATCATTTTTGTCAATGATGGTTTTCTTTTATATAATATCTAAAGTTGAAATAGATAAGAGATTACAGAGGTCAAAACCTTAAGCCTAATCTCTTAAAAAAAAAGAATATTTTAAAATCACACAGGATTTTTTTAAAAATTTTTATACTGGATCAGATTTTTATTTTCCAGATTTATAATTTTTAAAATTATTAAGCCCTGCCCAGATTATTTTGGGTTCTGAGCTAGGCTTTCAGGCCTTTTAGATTTATTTTAAAACCTTTGTCATCCAAATATTTTCTCAAGTATGCTGGTATAGATTTCTCTTCTGTGTAGTCAGGAGGATAGATGTAAAGAGCTGAATAATAAAGTCCCCTAGAATCCCTATACTTAGCTACATCCTTGCAATAGTTCAAAATATTCCATCGGTATTCTGGTATATCTGGATCTTTAAGCTTGTCCAATTTTGATACTGGAAACCCCATTACAAGAGCTGTGTTTAGGAGAAGATATTATGAAAAAACATTTAATTATATATTATATAATATTTAAAACCTAATTGATAGTCATAGATAATTAGCCTTTTATTATTTAACAAATCTGAGTTGTTAGCATCTGCTAAAAGTATAAGAGGACTAGAGCTATCTATTTTATCTTTACATACAATTTTAGATTTATTTTGACCATCTAAATTAATTGGTGGATAAATCTGATTAGGGTTAAGTATTAATTCTAATATTGGCATAAATAATTTTAAATCACAGAGTCTTCTATTTTCATCATAAAATTCTTCTTTAACACCATCTTGAGTTTGGCCAGTAAAAATAAACTCATCTGGTTTTAATTCATCTTTAAATTTACACATTTCTTTGAGAATATTGTATAGAGGTAAATCCTGTGCAACTTTCAAAACAGATAACTTAAGAGCATGTAGAGTATCCTCTCTTGCACAACATTTTTCAACTGTGAAACCATTAGGGAGAAAAAATATAACATCTATAGTTGGAGGCATCATATAACTACCCCATAATTCGCCTGAAGAAGGAGGCATTTGAATTAATTATGAGAAATTTACTATAATGATTTTTTTTTATTTAAATATTTAAATATAAAAACCAAACTCTTCGACTTCGATAGAAGAATTAATATATCGAACACCTTAACAGACTGCTTCAATCAATCATCATCAAAAAAAAGCAAATTAGAAATCAAGCTTAAAGATATAAATTTTTAAAATCTTTTCTTAAATTATTTATGATTTGTTTAATTTATGATTTGCTATAATTATCAACAAGTTAAAATTTCTAGACTTAATAAAATGAATAATTATTGATATTTTAGAATTTTGTTTCAACAAAATATATAATTAATTCTTCCATTTTATGTAATTAAAAAAATTTTCTTTTTTTCCAAAATTCATGTAATTAGGAACATTATAAAATATTTTTATAGATATAATGATTTAAAAATTTAATATTAATAATCTTTCCTATGAGTTTAAATTTAGGAATATTAATTATTCAAGAGTTAAAATTTAAGAATATTTATAAATATTTGAAGCTGAAGAATTTTAAGAATTATTGAAATTTGAAAAACATAGATCAGCATTATTTATACAATTTCTATAAATTAGAAAAATTTATGCAATATTTTTATTAAATATAATAAAAATATTAATAATCAAGAGTTTAAATTTAGGAATATTTCTTTATTAATTTAACTACATAAAACCAGATTTCTGCTGTGCTGCATAACTATTTTATTTTACTAACGTAGATTTCAAAATTGGAATTTGGGAATAATAAATTTTAAAATTGGGATTGCTTTTACAAAGATTAGGGTTAGTGTTTATATCTAAGATGAGGAGTAATACTCATTTTATTAGACACCTAACCCACTACATTTGATAAACCCTAGAAGATACTTAGGGCCAGCGTCTACATGAGCGGGAGGGGTAGGAACAGTTTGCACCCTATTTTTTTGAGGGGGTAGGGGGGTAAGCTGCTCTAATGGGGGTAGGATAAATTTTTTGGGGGGTTATCAATTAAATTTTGAGATGAAATAGGACAAAATTTATTGCTGCAAAAATTAATACTTTTATTATAGTATTATTATAATAGAATTCATCGACCAAATCTATATATTGTAAACAATCATACACATTGTTTTCCAAATAAACTATCCTTTTAAATGTAATTTAAAAGGTTTAGATATTTTAGCAAGCTCATAATGCCATAATAATAAATTCATTGTAAAAATGGAGGTTTTAATTGAATTTATTATCTAAAAAATAAATTCTTTATATTCACAAAATATCGATAGTTGGTAGTAGAGATAGATTAATTTAAGTTATCCTTTATAAATTCTTTGAAAAGAGTATCAATAAATAAATAGGTGAAAATAATGATAATTTTTAGGGGGGTAGGCAAAGGTTTTTGAAGGGGGTTTGCATCCAGTGAAAATCCTGTCATGTAGACGCTGCTTAGGGCAGTGAGCAGCGCGAAGTATTCAATAATTTTTTTAAGTTTTTACCAAACTATACGGTTCATATTAAGGAATGATTTTAAGCTAGTGGATCACTTTAGGGTTTTGCCTAGTGCTATGCAACAAAGATAGGGATTTATGTTAGATTATGAGAAATAGTATATTATATTAGCCACGGAGCTCATTATCAGTAGCATCACTATGAGGGGAGGGGCGCCGAGGCTATAGTCCATGGCTCCCTAATATCCCCCTGAATAAAATTAATTTTTTTGATAGCCCCCTGAACGATTTCTTTTATAATTTTATTGCTCATTATCAGTAGCATCACTATGAGGGGAGGGGCGCCGAGGCTATAGTCCATGGATCCCTAATATCCCCCTGAATAAAAATAATTTTTTTGATAGCCCCCTGAACGATTTCTTTTATAATTTTATTAGGCATTATATATAGATTTGATTTTATTATTTAAAAATATTAGACTAACTAAATTTTTATTAAATGAGTGCTTTTTTAATTATTAGATTAGATTAATACATATAAATTATAATATATTATTAAAAAATTAATAAGACTATCTGAATTTTTATTAAATGAGTGCAATTTTATTAATTAAATTAGCTTAATACAATTATATTTTCACTATGTCAGCTTACAATCAAATTCTGTATTAAAAATGGATTATCAATATCACTAATAATGTTTAGTTAAATATTAATTTAGCATTAACAGTTGAAGCTTGTTGATTTTTATTAATTAAATTATTTTATAACCCTAATTAAATAAATTTAACCACTAATTGAAATTAACAAATTTAATATTGTAATTAGACGAGTTTAAAATCAAATTTTTAAATTTAATTACCATACCCCTTCCTAAAAAATATTTTCAAGGTTCAAATAAGTATAAGAGATTTCTTTATAAAAAGTAAGTAGACATATAGTTGATAACTATTATATAAGAATTGTTTTAAATATTAGGTAAAATCACCATTACAGATGTATTTGACAGTTATAGAATATATTACAGTTAATATTTTAATAAACTAATAATGCTTTTGATAATGTAACAATTTGCATATTATTTAACGCCATCTATTTATTTTAAAATATTATTAAAAATTAACATCGTATTATTCATCCACAATGAATGTAATCTTATTAGATATTTTTTTTTATTCGCTTTTTTTACTTGTTTTTAGGAAAGCTATTTTTTCCTTTTTTGAAAAACAGTTTTGCGTTAAATTTTAAATACGAGTATATTTTTGATATTATTACAAACTACCATTATTTAAGATATTGTAAAATCTTAATTGCTTTCATCATATTACTCTAGTCGTTTGTATTATCATCTTCAAGAATTATTGATTTGTTTTGGCCTACAAATTTTTTCTTATTAGTCAATTCTATAAAAAATTGTTAAAAATGGTAAAACAACGTTATATTAGTAATTACCTTATGCAGGGTTGGGCACTATCGTGGATATTTGTATCTTTTTAAAATTTTGGAAAGTATCTTGTATCCAGTCCAACTTTGTATTCGAAAAGATACAGATACTTTAAAAAAAATTATATTGGTTAATTTAAATAGTATTAAAATTTAAAATGATATTGTTTTAAGATTTAAATGAAAAAATTAATCAAAATTTAGATATTTTAAGGTAATTTTTGATATATGACGTTGGTCTTCATATAATAATTTGTTAACAATTAGAACTACCATATTTGAATCGTTTTATATCTGTCTTTTTTAAAATTATGGAAGAAGAAAATAGAATAATATGTTTATCTTCGTCTTCAGATGATTCTTCAACCGAAAATTATAACAATAAATTTAAACTTAGCATACTTAATGGCAAATTTTTTGAAGTACTTCAAGATGATCATAATAAAGAAATTCATCGTGACTTTCGTATTGACGAAAAAGTTATAGCAACTGTTACAGATAACAGCTCTAACTTTAAGAAAGCTTTCAAGGAGTTTGGATATTCTATGGAAGCTGTAGAGAATGACTTTGACATCATTGATGATGAATGTATAGAATTCGAAATCATTGAAAGTATTATTTAATACTTCTTTAAAATTTAATATGATATTGTAAATTTAGTAAAAAATTTTATCCAAATAAAATTATTTATTTGTTTATTTAAGGGTCTCAACACATTCGTTGTTTGTGCCATACGATAAGTCTAATTGCCACAACAGATGTCGAGAGAGCTATTAAGGATTCTCCTAACATTTCTAAAATATATCATCCTGCAATAGCTAAATGTACTAAGCTATGGAATGCAAATAATAGGCCTAAAACTACAGAATTTATCAAAGCAGTTTTAGGAAAACAATTAGTTACACCTTGTTGCACTAGATGGAATAGTTTGTAAGATAGTCTTCATAATTTATTAAAATTTAAAGGCAAACTTCCTAAATTAAGAGATATTGAAATTCAATATTTAGAAGAATATTGCAATATAATGGCCTCATTGGCTATAGCGATTGACAAAATACAGAGTGAAATCAACTGCTATTATGGAGAATCAGCTCCAATTTTAAATGTCGTTAAAAAAAATTACAAATTTAATTCAAACCAATCTACAATTTTGCAAACCATTAGCTGTTGCCATAGAAAATTATTTAAATAAAAGATTTAAAAATATATATGATTTTGATAACAATTTTTAAAATATAGTTTTCTATTTACCCCCAAATGGGGGCACGCAGCCTCTGCCATATCATATCAATTAGTAAAATAATGAAAAATTTAATAAAAGATTTAGATTTGAGCCCTCGTATAAAAATCCGAATTATCAACGGTGAGAATGTATTGCTATTAATATTTTGATATAAAAGGCTCTAAATATATTTGTGTAACATATTTAAAATGGATAGCAATCTAAATTTGTTACCATATATTATATATAATATAATTTAACACTTAAAAAGTTTCATTTATGCTCACAATAATATAGTTGAAATCATAATTATTAGGCAGCAAGAAATTTAAACTACTGGATGATTTATTACTTATTTCACCTCAAGATCTAAAAAATATTACTAAACTCTCTGAGGATGATATATTGAAAATACTAAAGGCATTGTCTGATAAATTTTATAAAAATGGTAACATAATTTCTTGCATTTTGTTAATCCAGTCATAGACTTTTCAAATTATTTTAGTTTTAATACAGTATACACTAATCCTCAATGTATAAGTACTGGACTAGAAAATTTTGACCAAATTTTAAAAGGAGGAATATTATGTCAAGGCATAACAGAAATATCTGGTTGCTCAGGTGTTGGCAAAACTCAATTTTGTTTGCATTTATGCTCAAGATTAGCAAAATCTATATATAATAATCAAAATTATAAAAATGATTGTAATTTATATGTAAATATATATTTTACATTAAATTTATTAGGCATTATTTATGTTAACACTGAAAATGCCTTTCCTGTTAAAAGATTAGAACAAATTATGTTAAATTATTTGGAAAATTATTATGATAATAAAAATTTGCAACAACTAACACAAAATATAATGAGTTCTATTTATTTAGATCATATTGGAGATTTAGTAATTTAAAGTTTATAAAATAAATATTTGTGTTACAAGAAAAGTTTATGGCATTGTTTAACAAAAAAAGTGAATTTGATTTTCAACATGAATAAAAGGATAAGATTAATAATTATTGACTCTGTTGCATCTTTATTTAGAGGAATTCCAAATGATATTAAACAATATAAAAATAATATTAAATCAGCAGTTTCCAAATTAGAAAACAAAACTATCACTAATGATATAAAGAAAATTGCTAATTATTTACATAATCTAACTCATGAACACAAAACAGCATTGATTTGCATTAATCAAGTTTAATTAAAAAATTTATTCATAGTTTATTGATTTGAAAAGATGTCAGATATCATTGATAAAGATGTTAACTTGCCCTTTGTTCAGTATTTTAGAGGTTCTGGATATATATCTTATATTGATAAATCAGAATCTATAATTGATCAGAAGTTAAACAAAATACCTTGCTTAGGTTTGACTTGGTCCCAAAATATTACAACCAGGATACTCATAACTAAATTCACATCTTATATTAATTATGATGATCTTAAAATGAGGCATGATTATTATCAAAGAGATGGAAAAAATTTTAAAACCTTTACATATAAAAATGATACTAATTTAGTAGAAAGATACTTTTATGTAGCATTATCACCCCATGTGCCCTGCCAATACTCCTCATTTTATATAACAAAAGATGGACTCACTGAAAAAATCAATATACAAAATCAATAATAAATTAGTATGGGAAAAAAAATTTTAACTTTATTTTTTACTTTCAAAATTTCATTAAGTGTGTTTTTTTTACTTTGTTTTTATGTATTCATTCTATATAGTTATATTATTTGCTCAATAATATATATCATAATTACAAACAATATATTTTATTGTTAATTACAATATAATTTATTATTTGAATAATATTAAATGTCAATTTTTACTGTAAGTATATAATCATGTTAATTTGTCTGACTTTTATCATACAGTTTGTCCAATTTTCTTGACTTATATCATTTTTAACCCTTTTAGCCTTAAAAATAAAATTTTATGTAATAAAGCAGTTGAATTGTCATCTTAATTAAAAAAATAAGACAATTTAAAAAAAAACATAATAAATTGAATATTAAATGATAGTTTTAAAAATTTTAGCATAAAATTAATTTTTTAAAATATAATATACCTATCAAAGGAGGTTATTATTAAAAAACAAAACGCACTAAGAAAACAGGAAATAGCAAAAAAGTAGTTTATTATATTGGGGTAGCTATTTAATTATTCCAGGAAACCTGAGACAGTGAATGTTATGAACATTACAACTGGACATCAAGGGATTTCCTCTATGTGATGTTGTGAAATTTAAAAAAAATTGTATTATAATATAGATGCTTTTCAAAATTTTATACATTATGCTTGATAAAGTTTATGAGAATGCGCTATTTTTAAAATAAAAGTGATCGCCATCTATAGTTGACGAATTTTTTGCAATATATTTCCACATTCTTCTAAAAATAATTATGGTTTGGTTTATTAATACGGTGGGTCACGGATTGAAAGAATAAAATTTAAATTAATAGGTGTGACTGCGTGATGGACCTTTCCGAAATTTTTGCCGGACATAATTGGGCGTGAACATAAATTTCCCGTAAATCACGGAAATATAAATTTTTTAAATTGTTTTTTTATCAATATAAATTTGCAATTTTATATTTATAAATAAATTTTCTAATTACTCCTCATTTAAAAACATTTTTTCCCCATCTTATAATTTTCAATCGAATGAAAAATAATAAATCTCAACTCTCGTTCACCAATGGAAATTTGGTAATAAATAAATTAATTTAAATATGTTTTATTTTCATTTTTCTTTACTATATGTATTAATCATTTGCATTCAAATTATAAGCAATCAAAATTTATAGGAAGATTAAACATCTTAATAACTTATAGTATAAAATTTCTCATATTTACCTACAAATCTAAAATACCCAATTAATTATTTAATATATGTATAAATAACAATAATTTATTACATTTAGATTGACAAGTTTCTAAAAAATATGTACATATAAGTATTAATTTATCTTTTCTCCATATCTGTTCTTGGTATATTATTTTTTAAGCTTTTCCATTGCCTCAATTGTTTGAGTATATGTCAAAGGGTCTGACTTTGATATAAAATTTTTTGAATGATTTGCCACATAATAAATATACTTAATACAATGATTGTAGAGTCTTATTAACATTTTTATTCCTAATGTATGCAAATTCCCATAACTGACTCAAAGATACAATTTTTTGTTCTTTTCAGATCCCCTTACAATCCAGCTAGCCCTACTAAGTAGAAGTCTACCTCTATTATTCTTCCTTTTAACAGATGACTTATTATTTCTCCTTATGCATAAGACTATCATTTATAACTTTTCTAATTCATCCTACACACATTAAAAATATTCTAAATGAAACATTTAGATATTTCTGAAGCAAAAACATCTACCGATAAAAGTTAGGATGAACTTAGAAGATTCATCGCTCATAAAACAAATAACTGACAATATTTTGAAGTTTTGGAAGGAAGATTTTTTTGATAAAATTTTGTCAGCCTCGGCAAGCTTGGCTTCTAGTGAGAGGCTATTTTATATATCCAATCGCTTATTAGAATCCGAACAAACACAAAACATTAATTATAGAATTTAAAAAATAATTTAATATTACATCATTTTTTACTATTATAAATAAAATTAAGTTAATATTGTCTTTAGACCGAATCATATTTGACCGGCCAAATATACAACCCTGTTCTAAATGAAATATTTTGAGAATTTCGAGATGATTATGATGAAGCATCAACATTAACCAAAAGTTGTGAGGATGAACTTAAAAAGATTTATGACTCATAAATCAAATAACAATGACAATATTTTAAATTTTTGGAAGCAGAAAAATTCATTTGCTTTTTGAGAAAATTAACTAGTAAAATTTTGTCAGTCTGGGCAAGTTCGGCTTATAGTGAAATTATTTTCTATAGCCAATCGCTTATTAGATAGGAGAACACAATTTTAATAAAATACATGGACATTCTTTTTCCTAATAAAAGTTTTGATTTATATGGAATTAGAGAAATATAAATTATGGCAGAATAAATTTAAAAAAGTGTAAAAGTATAGCATTAAAGTTTTGAAAAATTTAAAAACATCGTGAATCTTCGGGAGTGATCAATATATTGTCCTTCATGTGAGCGGGCAGTTCGGGTCAAAAATTTGTTAGTAGTAAGCGTGAATTATTAATCACCATAAGCGGATTGGCCGTTATTAAAAAATTGGCCGCTCCCACCTCTAATTGCACAAGCTAACGTTTGGCAAAGCAAATTTTTTTATATACAACATATATTTTGTCCTTGCTAATTTTACACTGTAAAGGGAACAATAGACTCTTTTGGTCTTCTCTATTTATCAATATTTTTTATTTTATTTATTCAATTCTAGATTAATATCATTTTCAATCATTAATAAAAATTTATTAAAGTCAAAAAATTGACAAATGAATGATATATATAATATGAACTATGTATCATAAATCTGATTTTAATAAAATATATATAATATATTTTTAGAAGCCTGACAAAATTTGAAAATGAGTCCGCAAACTTATTTATAAATTCGTAGCATTCCTTACCTTGCAGTTATATTATTATTGATATGTTGATGTGTGAGTTCAGAAAATCTTCCATTTAATACACTTATCTTATGTTTATATTCACCTTGTGCTTTTTATATTTATTTTATTTTCTTCATATTCCATGATTATATCTCCCCAACTTCGTCTATTAATTCTAATATCATACATATTTTTGGTTGTAAATTAAATAATACAAGTCTATGAATCAAACTGAATAATAATTAAATGGATTTGTCCTAAACGTCAATTGTTTTTATTATATAGATATAAATAATATATGTTCAAAAATATGTAGAAAATATTAATTTTGTAAAATTGCAGTAATAATATGTTTGTTTGTGACGTAAAAATTTATGAGAAGGTAACAATTATATAATCGAAGAAACGAGAAGAGGGATGATAAGGAATTCCCAATATTTAGAATTATTGAAATTCTACCCACTTTTAACTTAGGAGTAACAGTGCTGATTGCGATACCCTTTATTTTCAATGATTTCCTTTTTCTTTTTTTTAAATTCTTTTTAAAAAATCTACAAATAAAAATATTTCTTTATCAAAATAAGAGTATATAAAAAAATATGTAAAAAGTTGCAAAAATAACAAGCCCTCCTCCCTCCCCATTATTAAGTCCGGCTGAATATATATACAAAATATGAATACACATAGGACGTTTTTTATTTACTCCAAAATATATATTTATATATTCCGCTCATTTTGGTGTTCTATAAAATTGCCGAAAAACACATTGTCTCAAACGACTTTATAAAGAATTAATAAATGAGACTTTCTCTCCATAAAAAGGCTCCGTTGTATTTTTCTCATCTCGGTTGTCTTTTAAATTTTTGCAGAAAAATACATCTACTCGAACGTATAATAAGAATTAAGAAATACGACCTTCTGTCCATATGAGGATGCGTTTGGAATTGTCTTTGTTATGATCTTCCCATATGAAATGCGGCTTTTTTCCAAAGGAAGACGCTATTGGAATTTTCTCTGCAAGAGCTTCCCATAACTTTTTTTAATTTTTTTTTTATTTTAGCCTTTTTTCCAAAATTAAATAAATATTTAAATAAGCTCTCAAGTGATAGTTTACAAAGACAATCTCGGGCCCTTGTTGTGAGAAGATTTTCAGGAAGCCACACCTATGATAAAATAGCAGAATTAGTGGATGAAATTCATCGTGACTTTGGTATTGACGAAAAAGTTATAGCAACTGTTACAGATAACGGCTCTAACTTTAAGAAAGCTTCCAAGGAGTTTGGATATTCTACGGAAGCTGTAGAGAATGCATCAATGATAATGAATGTATAGAATTCGAAATCATTGAAAGTATTATTTAATACTTCTTTAAAATTTATTATGATATTGTAAATTTAGTAAAATTTTTTATTCAAATATAATTATTTATTTGTTTATTTAAGGGTCTAAAGAAGCCTCAATAACATTGCATTCGTTGTTTGTCCCA